AATTGAGCATTGGGTCCCCACACACCTTCCTTGCCCCACAGTTTCCCCTGTTATTAACATCTTACATTACTATGATATATTTGTTATAATTAATGAATCAATATTGATACATAATTTTTAAAGTCTATACTTTATTCATATTACCTTAGTTTTAACCTCCTGTCTTTTTTTTGTTCTTGGATCCTGTCCAGGATACCCCATTACGTTTAGTTGTCATGTCTCCTGAGGCCCCCCTTGGCTGCAACAGTTTGCCAGACTTCCCTTGTTTTTGATGACCTTGATGGTTTTGAGGAGTACTGGTCAGGTGTCCTATAGAATGTCCATCAGTTGGAATTTGTCTCATGTTTTTCTCATGACTAGATTGGGGTCATGGGTTTGGGGGAGGAAGGTGACGGGGGTGAAGTTCCATTGTCATCACATTGTACCAAGGGGACATACTATCAACATGATTGATGACTCTTGGGGTTGACCTTGATCACAGGGTGCTCGCCGTGAAGTTACTCCCCACCCCCCTTCCACACTGCACTCTTCTGAGGTCAGTCACTGTCACTGTGAGAGCCACACATAAGGAGTGGGAGTTATGCTCCCCCTGAATATAACCATTGTTAAGGCTTTTGCTACAAATTGTAACATTGCTCTTCAGGAAGATTACACCAGTTTACACTTCCCAGAAGCAGTGTGAAAACATATCTACTTTACTGCAAGCTTGCCAGCATTGGACATCATCCTTTAGAAAAATCTCTGCTGTTGTGAAAGACAAAAAATGGCATTTCATTTAAATTTGCATACAATGGTTTATGAGTGAGTTTGTATATTTAAAAAATATATATAGGTTGTGTTGTTCATTTGCATGTTTTCTTTCAGGGATTATCTCTATATATCTTTTGTTCATTTAGAAAAATTAGGATGTTTATTTTACTAATTTTCAGGATAGTAACATTTTGTCTGGCCATATGTGTTACTAGTACTTTTTAACTTTTTCTTTTGCCTTTTGTTTATGATATTGTGGTTCAGAGTTTTCGTCGCTATCGGTCTTTTTCTTTATACTTTCTATCTTAGAAAGATGAAGCTTATATCTTGCAAAATACTCTGATAAATTTTTATTTATTTATTTAAAGTATAATTGACCAATAAAAATTGCATATATTTATGATAAACAATGTGATGTTTTGATACATGGGTACATTGTGAAGTGGTTAGATCAAGCTAATTAACATATCTATTACTTCACATGTTTATTTTTATGATGAGAACATTTAAGATCTGCTGCCTTAGGAATTTTAAAATATACAAATCATTATTATTAATGGCTGTCTTCCTCCGTGACTTCACATGTTCTTCCCTCTGTGTGTCTGTGTCCTTCTTTCCTCTTCATATAAAGACACCAGTGCCACTGGTGTAGGGCCCACCCCAATAAGCTCTTTTTTTTTTTTTTTTTTTTTTTTTGAGACAGAGTCTAGCTTTGTTGTCCAGGCTAGAGTGAGTGCCGTGGCGTCCTAGCTCACAGCAACCTCAAACTCCTGGGCTCAAGCAATCCTCCTGTCTCAGCCTCCCGAGTAGCTGGGACTACAGGCATGCGCCACCATGCCCGGCTAATTTATATATATATATATATATCAGTTAGCCAATTAATTTCTTTCTATTTATAGTAGAGACGGGGTCTCGCTCTTGCTCAGGCTGGTTTTGAACTCCTGACCTTGAGCAATCCGCCCGCCTCGGCCTCCCAAGAGCTAGGATTACAGGCGTGAGCCACCGCGCCCAGCCCCAATAAGCTCATTTAACTTTCATCACTTCTTTAAAGACTCTCCAAATTCAGTCACAATGTGAGGTATTGGGGGTTAGGACTTCAACATATGAATTTGGTGAGGATGTGACACGGCCCATGATGGCATTCTTTAATAGTTTACATATCCAAATGAGCAGGTGGAGGTTGGGAGGGGGCTGTAGGGACAGCAAAAATGATGCATTTCAGTAGCTATTTCCCCAAAATGTTTTTAGAACAATCTCTTTTACAATTTTCCCATGAGCCAATTTCAGTTGTGAAATAAAATTAGTTTAATTACTGTTAGTTGTAGCTCTCAAGGTAACACGGTGAGTATACTAGAAATAAACTAGACCTGCACCCTGGCAGAATGGGATGTGGAATGTCACCGGACGTGCTTTTCTCTTTCCTTATACTCTTCAGATTTCTTCAGTTACCTCGAGCCCCTTTCCTTACAGCCATGGCAGCCGCTGTCTTTTGGGGGAAGCTGCACAAGGAGACACCCGAAGCAAAGTCCACGAATCCCTGACTTCTACAGCCAAAGGCTCCATGCAAGGATGGCAGAAAAGGTTCTCAGAGAAGGGGAGGGAGCAGCCAGAACAGGTGGGGGTGGCCAAGTATCTGTGAAGAGCCGCAGGGTTATGTGTGAGTGTGGGGCTCTCTGGGCCCTACTTCTGATCTCAAGGCCTCATCTGAAGGGCCTGGGGGAGAAGGGGTGCTTGTGGCACCTTTCCTGACCATACCCTGAGTTTGGGGAGCAAACAAGCCAGCAAGCCTTGGGGAGAAATGTTTCACGTCATCTTGGTGTGGCGGAGTAGGAACAGTGCCCAGACACAAAAGGATTGTGGCCTGCTATCCCATCTCCCACATGTCTAAGTGGCACAGGCGGGCACCCAACATGTCCTGAAGGCTTCTGTGTGGAGTACAATGTGGCAGAGGAAGAGAGAGCCAGCGGGTCAACCCAGGAGAGGTGTGGGAGCCAGGTGAGGGGTCCCTGGATGGAGAGAACTGACGGGACCCCCTGTGGCCCACGGACCACCCAGATCCCCCTGCAAGGGCACCCCTGACCTCTGCAATGCCCAGGGCCAGGCAGGACAAACTAAGACCAAGAGATGGACTCCTTGGATGTGCCCTAGGAGCTCACATTCAATTCCAGGGAAGAGGGAGGGAAGGCAGAGAATAAGGCAGAGAAAGAGTTTAAACTGAATTGTGACTGAATTATAAACTTGAATTGCCTAAGAAAGGACCGAATTTGAATGCGTTTATCTGAAAGTGACTAGATTAAATTTTCTCTGCTTTGAGGCAGAATGGAAACTCAAGGCAGAAATTATACCCAATTATAAAAGAATAGAGAAAATGACATTTTTGCACACTCAAGTCGGTGACCGTGAAATTTGTGGCGGTTCCGATAATTGCAGGAGCCAGGTGTCAGGAGGAGCTCAAGAATGGGCCCAGGAATCATCAGCGCTGCTCTTCCAAGTTATTACCTGATCTGTGGCTGTAGTTCAAAAGGTCAACGCGATGTCTTATCATCAGAAATCGTGATGAAATCCATTCAGATTTCTGTTCAAAACAATTTTCTTGGTATCAGAAAGCAGAGCCAAGGCTTGTGAGGTGGAAAAAGTAATTTTTCAGAGTTCTGAGGAGGCCTGGCCCAGATTATGACCCTATGAGCAAAAGGGGAAAATGTGAAACTGCAGCTTGTGCCCCCTGCAGACCTGCTCTCCACACTTCTCCATGCTTCTGCATGTCCCGGGAGGCAGGTCCCTATGGAGCATCGCTGGGGCTCCTGCCCTTGAGGGACATTGGCAGGAGCCCAGAGGAAGAGAGGCAGAGAGCTGGGAGGTAGAATCCTTCGTCCTTCTGGTCCTGCAGCCCTCTTTGGAAGACCACACCTCCTATCAGAGCACCTTTTCCATATAGCCACCCTCTCTGGGCTCCGAAAATCACTCTCTGTCCTTGTTTTCAGGCTGGGGTAGTAACGTGCTGTCGATACTGCCCAGAAGTACAGCCCTTTCCCTTGGGGGTCTCCTTAAACGTTGCCCATGCCCTTGAAAATCGTGCCTTTATTCAACTCTTCTCTAATCACCTGCTGAGGCTACTATGGTGCCCTTGGCTGATGCTTTGGGGATGGTTATGGAAAGTTACGTGGTATCTACTTGGACATGGGGAGGTGGATCGTGTTGGCATCTGTAGGACCAGCAACATGTTTTTGTTGCATAGCTGAGTCGGAAGCCCCTAGTGAGAGAGAATCCTGATTTCTTCTTGATGTGCTTGCTTATCTGGTATAAGTTCCAGAATCTGTTGTGCATGATTCTAGATGTGCCGTACTTCGAGATCTTGCAACTCTGTAGGGTCATCATTACAAATAGTAACTACTGCTACAGATATCAAAATAATTGATAGAAAATTCTGGATACTAAGAGGTTGGTTATTCTTTTTAGAGAGAGTACTAAACACTTCTAGGTTAAGGATATCTAGTAGATAGACAATGGCTGAGAATTCCCATTCAGATTGAAAGAGGGAAGGGAAAAGGCAGCTTCTGTTCTGCCACAGCCAGCTGTGTTATTTCAATAGAAACTGTGTTCTCCCCAGCTCCTAGCCAGTGGTTTCCTGTGTGAAGAAAACTCCAGAAGCTCTAAGGCCTCCATCACCTTGACATGCTCAACAGATTGACACCTCCTTAATGTTCCTTATGTCATAATTCAACACTTTTTATATTTAATTTATGATCCTGATAACTGGAGTTTTCTTTTCTTTTCCTTTTTTGGAGGGAACAGCTCCCTCCTAGAAATAACAGTAACAGTTGGGTCAAAAATGCTTGCAATTTATTAAGAACTAGGATCATGCACTGTGTTACGTGTGTCAACTCACTTTTACAGTATGGAGATTAGAAAATGCCACTGCAGGTTATTTTCAGCTAAAATGAATGCAATTAGACTTCATTCATTTCTAAGGACTTGGACTTCATTCATTTCCAAAGTCTTTCTAAAGACTTGCCGCACACTGAGAAGCTCTGAGCCCAGCATTGGACTGCAGTTCTTTCCTTGAGCATCAAGTGATGGCTGATTTGTCTGCAGAAGACTCAGCAATTGTTATTGCCCTACTTTGTTTCTAAGAGTATATTAGAAAGCACAGTTTCAAAATACACTGGGGCTACATGTCTCTCAGTGGTCAAAGAAACTCCTGCAGCCCAGTCTGAGAAGGTAGGGCAATTTGGGCAAAGCTGGTAGCAAACACTCCCAACAGCCAAAGGAGCTTAGATGAGCTACCTCCTCAGTTATTACTGTTCAAGATTCCATGACATGAAGTTTATGTCTTACACCTTCCGTGACATGAATGAAGCTTGTGTCTTATAGCCAGTTCTGGAAACAGTCTTTTCTTAGCCCACCTGAAGAGGCTGGAGAAAACTTCAGGAAAACCGATATGGAAGGAGCCCCTGATTGGGATGCAGGGCCACCAAAGTCCTTAGCAACTTGACGGTGACTTTGAGAATCTCTTTAAACTTCCTGGGCTGCTTCTTCACTGTGAAGGGAAGGTCCAGGCCAGGTTTATGTTTCTTCTTCCTCTGCTGTTGCCTAGGAGGTAGGTAAAGGGTCACAATTACTAGTCTCTGGCCCTTTATATCTGGTCTCCGTAGCACCACAGGCAGTGCCATTATTATGTGTTTGTTGCCTGTAGGGACGCTGGCTGGTGCCCTCAAAGGAGGACTGTACCCACCAAAGGGAGGCAAGCCAAAGCCTGCCACCACCACCCTGGCTTTCTGTAATTGGATCGGCACAGGGGCCCCAGGGAGCCCATTATGAAAACACCTATTTCCATACACTCCCAGCTAATATTCTAAACAATTTGTGCTCTTGCTAGGGAAGACTTGTGAGGGGCTGAAATTTTTTTTTTCTGGGTGACACTGAGAAGACAGTCACATGATCTGGTAAGTCTCATCATAAAATGAACCTCCTATCTACCCAGCCCTCTGATGAAACTCATTTCTGCCAAGGCAGAGATGAGTATCATGAACAAAGTACAATATTATTTTAGAAAAGTGAATATGGGTTTCAGTACTTGAACATATACTGTGAGGCAATTTGGACATATTTTACAAAAATGCAAACTTTTGTACAAAATAGCATAATCAAGAAGTCTGTTCAGTGCTATAAGCCTGAATGGAGTATGAAAAATGCTTTAAAATCCATCGTTTCCCCCCCTTTTACAATCAATGAATGGATATTGATAAATTATTATTAACAAAAGCCCATAGTTCACATTAGGATTCACTCTTTGCGTTATACATTATATGAGTTTTGACAAATGCAAAATGTCATGTGTCCATCATTACAGTGTCATACAGAGTAGTTTCACTGCCCTAAAAAGCCCCTGTACTCCACCTGTTCATTCTTCCCACCTTCTGCCCCAGCCCCTGGCCACCACTAATCCCCTTACTGTCTCCATAGTTTTGCCTTTTCCAGAATATCACATAGCTGGGATCACACTGTATGCAGCTTTTTCAGATTGGCTTCTTCTACTTAACAATATGCATTTTAGGTTCTTTCATGTCTTTTCGTGGCTCAGTATCTCATTATCTTTATTGCTGAATAATATTCTATCATATAGATGCACTACAGTTTGTTTATCCATTCATCCATTGAAGAATGTCGTGGTTGTTTCCAAGTTTTGGCAATTATGAATAAAAGTTACTATAAACATTCAATGTGCAGGGTCTTGTGTAGATGTAAGTTTTCATATCTCTTGGGTAAATGTCTAGGAGTGCAATTGTTGGATCATGTGATAAGACTGTTTAGCTTTATAAGAAGGTGCCAAATTGTGTTCCAAAGTGACTGTACCATTTGGCATTCCTAGCAGTGATGAATGAGAGTTCCTGTTGCTCTACATCCTCGCCAGCATTTGGTGTTGTTAGTATTTAGCATTTTAGCCATTCTAACAAGTGTGTAGTGATATCTCATTGTTGTTTTAATTTGTAATTCCCTAATGACATATGATGTTAGCATCTTTTCATATGCTTATTTGCTAGCTGTATATCTTTGGTGAGGTGTATGTTCATATTTTTTTTTACCCATTTTGAAAATTGAAGGGTTTTTTATTGTTAAATTTTAAGAGTTCTTTGTATCTATATTTTGGGTAACAGTCCTTTACGAGATAAGTGTTTTGCAAAGATTTGTTCCCAGTGTATGGCTTGCCTTTTCACTGTCTTAACTGGGTCTTTCACAGATTAGAAGTTTTGAATTCTAAAGAAGTCCAACTTGTCAATTTTTTCTTTCATGTATTATGCCTTTGGTGTTGTATCTAAAAAGTCATCACCAAACTCAAAATCACCTAGATTTTCTCCTATCTTCTAGGAGTTTTGAATTTTACATTTATTCTATGATCCATTTTCAGTTAATTTTTGTGAGATGTGTAAGATTTGTGTCTGGATTCATTTTTTTTTTTTTTGTATGAGGTTGCCCAGTTGGTCCAGCACCATTTATTAAAAGACTATCATTTTTTTTCTATTAAATTATTTTGGCTCCTTTGTCAAAGATCAGTTGACTATATTTGTGTGGGTATATTTCTGGCCTTTCTGTTCTATCAATTTATTTGTCTATTCTTTTTGCCAATTCCACAGTCTTGATTACTGTAGCATTATAGTAAATCTTTAAGCCTGTAGGATCAATCCTCTGAGTTTATTCTTGTTTAATATTGTATTGGCTATTCTGGGTCTTTTGCTTTTCCACGTACACTTTCATATAAGTTTGTCAATATCCACAAAACAATTCGTGGAAATTTTGATTGGAATTGCACTGAATTTACAGATCATGTTGGGAAGAACTAACATCTTAACAGTATTGAATCTTCCTATTCACAAACATGAAATTTCTCTCCATTTATTTAGATTTTCTTTGATTTCTGTCATCAGAATTTTATAGTTTTTCTCCTACAGATCCTATACATATTTTGTTAGATTTATACATAAATCTTTCTTTTTTTGGTGCAATGTAAATGATGTTGTGTTTTGAATTTCAAATTCCAATTGTTCATTGCTGGTATATAGGAAAACAATTGACTTTTGTACACCAGTCCACCAGTCCACTTTTTAAACGCCTTCTTTGTCTTTTTCTCTCTTGGTTTTCTTCTGTCTCTTGAAAGAGAGGAACTCAGCCATTTGGAAAAAATATATTAAATGAAACATTTTTTAAAATTAATAGACTTTAGGTTTATAGATAATTGGGCAGATAGTACAGAGAATCCCTATATGCCCACTCACAGTTTCTCCTACTATTACTGTCTTGCATTAGTGTGATACATTTGTTGCAAATTTAAAATTTAAATTCAGTACAGCAAGTAGATATTGAATGCTTTTTGGCATACACGAGAAATGTTCCTTGTGCCCATGGAGTTTTCAATCTCACTAGGAAGTTAGGGGAAAATGCTTCCACATGAGCCACTAATACAAAATATTGTACAATTGGGTTTCAAAATGTGCTCTCCTTAGCAAAGGGGAGAAGTCAATCAGTTTGTAGTTGTTAGGGTGCTATTCCTGAGTAAGTGAGAGGTAGGAAGGCTCTGGAAGGTGGTCGGATTTGGACAGGTGCAGGTGGGTGACAGGTAGTCTCTCACAAGGACAGAGAGGCGAGAGTGTTAAGGGGAGGGCCTTCATCACATCACATTGCGCAGAGGTGGGAAGTGACCTTGAAAAGCCAACAGGACAGGGGCTTGAATGTCGTGTGAGCGATCAGAACTTGATAAGGTGCTTGGAGTTGAATTTCTAAGCAGATCCTGTGGGTCTGGTTCTTTTAGGACCGTTGGTTTTTGGCTTCATATATCTCAAGGCAAATATTCCACACCAATCGCTTCTTTGAATCAAAACTAAAGGCTCAAGCCAGGGAGTGTTTCTAAAGAGAAGCACTGCCCTTCTGGGAAAAATCTACCAAATGGGGCCATGGCTTGTTCATTTTCCACAAGAGCAGAATTTTGTGTATACATATCAGGAAGAAAGCAATCAGCTTAGGAGGTCAGAAATAGCAACACAGACCCCACCGGGAAGTTGCTCTGAGTTCTAGAGGCCTCTGGCCTGGGTTGAGCTCTCTTTCTTTGCAGAGATCTGTCATTTCTGGTGGGCAGGAGAACCCTGTGGGTTTTCTCAGGAGGGAGGAAAGCAAGAAGCAACTGAACAAATCCCATTGCTTTAATCTCATCTCACTACGAGGGGAAGAACAAGGAGGGTGTTAAATGCCCTATTTTTTCTTTTTCTTGATCTTAGTCAACTTGTCTTAGGAGGCCTCTCTAGACTTACACACATTTGTTTATTCAGGTCATCAATAATGAGACTGTTAGTGAATGGACACTTTCATGTTGACAACTTTGGTTACACCTTCCCCCAAAACCTCCTTTGTCATCTCTCTGTGCATCCACCCTACTCCTTCCCCCACTCCTACTGCTGCCACCTGAGCTCAGGTTGCCCATCTGACTGTAAGAGCAGCCACAAACATGATCTCTCTGGCTAGAGACCCTCTCATAGTGATGGTTCAAACACTGGGGGCATCTTGGATCTGTTCCTTTCCCTCACAAACTCCCACTCATTCTTTCTCTGATGCATTTCTTCCTTTGGACTCGTATCCTACCCCAGCACCCCAGGGCCCCAGCACCTTACCTTTAACTGCCCCATGTGTTCTGCATCAAGTCTGGACTTTCTGGCCCGGATCGCAAGGTGTCCCTCTCAAAACTTATAAGCCTGTCCTGTGCGGTTGCTCCTCTCTCTGGTTCACCACTGCTCACGTTTATCCCTCTGCCTGCATCTTTTCTTTCCTCTTCCTCCAAAGAACAATGTAAGGCCTTCCCTTTCTAGGTAGCATGGCCATTTTGAACAAATGAAAATATCACATAATGGGTTAAATTTTAATTTCAGATAGACAATAAATTTTTTAAAATATGGGACATACATACCAAAAATCACTTAATTGTTTATATAAAATTTAAAGTTAATTGGGCAAATTATATTTATCTGTCAACCCTACATCAATGGGGTCTTTTCTGAATGATCCAATTTTTTTCTTATCCTTTTTTAGTTCCTAAAACACCTGATTTAGCATTTAATTCAGTAGTTAATTCTATGCTATCTGGTATATTACTAATTCTATATATAATATTAACACTTATTGAGGAATTATTTAGTATCAGGCACTGTGCTAAGTTCCTTTCATACAACAGCTCATTAAATTCTTATGAGAAATATGATGAAGTAGGTACAACTATGGTACCTATTTTATAAATGAGGGAGTTGAGTCTTTGAGAGGTTATTTTATTTGTTCAAGGCCCCCAAATTAATTAAGAACTTGAATTTTGATCTGTCTGTAGGATGACCAACTTGTTCCAGTTTCCAGGCACTGTTTTGTTTTTAAAACTGGGTGTCCTGCATCCCAGGAAGCCCCTCAGTCTTGGGCAAACCCTATAATGTTTGATGTTAAAACCTGGGATTTCATCTCATTTCTCATTTTTTGTGAGTTTTCATTTTGTTCCCTCAGGTTATAAAGTCCCTAAAGACAGGGGCATATGTAATGGTATTTACTGATACTAAGAAATAGTAAGTGCTTGGCAAATGGAGAGTGGGAGTTTCCCTCACTGACCACACCTCTTTTCTTGGGCCTTTTTAGGTTGCAGAAGCTGAGGACAGTGTAGACCAGTGTGTTTGAGGGTGGCCAATCTCAGGTGCAGCTGAGACTTGAGTATGGCCGGTGTGTCCTTTGCAGTAGAGATATACATGTTTTCATAATGTTACAGGAAACTGCTTGCAAAGATGCTAGGCTATTGCTCCCAGCAACAATGCCTCTGAACTGGTGAAAATGCAGCTTCCTGGTAGGTGTGTGGTGTCTCACGTGACAAGCTGAACCTCGAGAGACTCCCAGCCGTGAAGTCTGAGTTGGGGTATGGGTGAGGCTGGGGAAGCAGAAGCCAGGGGGCCAGGAAGAGCAGGGTGCCTAGCGTGGGCAGCAATGCCGTCAGCACCTTGCTGGGTCAGACAGCACCCTAGGAAGGGGTGTGGCTGTTGCTTCTTTGCTGGGACTGTGCTTTTGTCCAATGGGCACATATCCAAAAGAATATATGTTAATATAATTACATTATTATGTGATAACCAAGTGGTTAAAATGATGACATGTGGGTATTATTGTTGTGCTGCAACGTGTTTAATGAGGTGTGATGTGAAAGGCAGAAATGATACATTTCCACCCCCAAAGGCATCTGTATAAGTTGTCTTAACTTCATTTTGAATGCTGGTTGTTATTGAGCACACATTAAATATAAAAACTTAGTTGTTTGTGGAGAAGTGATTTATAAAAATCATTTGCTATTTCAAAAAACCATCTAAGCTGAATTGATAAAAGCTATGCTTTCAAGGCTGTCTTTGTTTTCAGCTGCTAAATTATTTCACTTCAAAATGCTTGAAATTTTTTTATGTGTTTTAAATATTTAGGCTTTTTCTTTATTAAGAGAGTATAACAGATGTGGGGCATAAAGGTTAGGACAGTGCTGACAGGTTGCTCAGTCCTTCCCTCTCTAGAAACTCTTGTGACTGTTCCTTGTCCCCTGAGGACAGCCTCTCAGCCTGCGTGTGGCATTCAAGGCCCTTCCTCGTCCAGCTCCTGTCTTTCCAGCACATCTCCTACTAGTGCCTTGCCAGGGGCTCTGCTGCATCTAGACTGCAATGGGCTGAGTGCTTGTGTTCCCCCAAATTTGTACATTGAAACCTAATCCCCAGTGTGAGGGTTTCTGGAGGTGGGGCCCTGGGGACTAGTGCCTTTATAACAGAGAACCCAGAGACTTCCCTTTCCCTTTTCCCCACATGAGGCCACAATGAGAAATGGCTGTCTAGGAGCCAGGAAGAGGACTCTCTCACCAGACACCGAATCTGCTGGTGCCTGGATCTTGGGCTTTCCAGAATCCAGAACTGTGAGAAATAAATTTCTGTTGTCATGAATCACTCAGGCTCTGGTATTCTGTGATAGCAGCTTGAATGGACTAAGACTATACTTAGTCTATACTCTTCTATTGCCATCTTCTAAACACATGTTGAGCTTTTCTGCTGCCAAGCCTTTTCTATTATAAAGCATTGCAATTGAGGGTTTCCTTTTTGAATCTAGACTGTCTGGGTTCAAAACTTGGTTCTGCTGCTTACTGTGTGATCTTCGGCAAGTTGCTTAACTCCTCTGTGACTTGATGTCTCCAACTGGAAAAACGAAACTAAAATAATATTTATCTTTATAGGAGTCAGAGTTAAAGCAATTATGCACAGCACATCCTAAGCACTCCATAAATGCTAGCTCCTCATTTACATAACTAGATCTCTATCCTCCCCACTTAGCTTAAAATATGCTTTTTCCTTGAAGCCTTTCCTGACCACCCCATCCTGCATTGGACTCCCCCTCTTGGGGAATCCCGAGTGCTGGTGCTGTGTCTTTGGCAGGTGGTTGGTTTTCTTTTCCCATGCTTGTGTTTTGTGATGACAGTGATTTATTGAGCACACACTCTGAGTTAGGCCGGCACTCTCTATATGACAGTTGGAGGTGGATATTCTTTATCTCACTTTCCAGAGTAGCAGACTGAGGCTCAGGGAGGGTAAGTGACTTGCTAGGGTTGCAGAGCTAGAGAGAGGGGATTCTGGGGTTCCAATCCAGGTTGCCCATGATTACAACCATGACATTCTCCCTATTTTACTAGGAAATAGGGAGTGTATCATATACTTGGTTCCAGCATATTTCTGAGGATTCGATGGACCAGTGTGCAAATTGTTGCCTATCTAAGTGTCATTCAGTGCTTTATAGTTGTGATTATCTTAATAATGATAAAGATACTGCTTGATACATTTTGATGGGCCTTAAAAAGATAGAATAATTCTTTTTTGTGTTGAACCCCATGTGAATCTAAAAAAAAAAGCAATTTGCAATTATTTTTACCTTAAGGGTTCCCTGCTGTTTCAAATATGGTTGGATGAGGAATGTCAGAAACTATCTTATTATCAATGCTGTTTTTGTCACAAAGGAGACTTTTTCATGATTCAGTACCAGCTAATTGGTCTGTCAATGGCATTCTTTGGTTAGGTGAGTCATTTGATACATTGTTGACAAGGTGCCAGCTGCTTTCTACCCACTCTGTGGCAGCTCCAGTGGGCCTGACATTTTCTCAAGATGTTATTAAAGCTGCTGATGGGTTATAGCCAACTGGGATGAAACTGGATTGGTTCTGTAAACAGCTGCTGAAAGAAAACTCGATGGAGCTTTAGTGATATATGAGTGCCTCACATTTTTGAGTGATAACAAAGGCAACTCCTGTGATTTCTAAATCCCATGGATATAATAGTCTCTCTTTACTGAGACTGAAATCTTGCTTTTTAAAGATGGGGTCTTGCTATGTTGCCCAGGCTAGAGTATAGTGGCTATTCACAGGTGTGATCATATAGCCTCTAACTCCTAGGCTCAAGCAATTCTCCTGCCTCAGCCTCTCAAGTAGCTGTAACTATAGGTGTGTGCTACTCTGCCTGGCTCTGAGAATGAAATCTTAAGGAACCTGGCCCATTTAATCAACACACATTTAATGATCGAATTTGTACCATGTGCCCGATACTGTTCTATGCACTTGGGATATGGCAGTGACAGACTAAAATTCCTGCCCTTTTGGAGCTTAAGAAAAACTTTTTATTATGGAAAAATATTCAAATTTATGCAAACAAGAAAGAATAATATATAGCAGTTCCCCCCCCCCATCCACAGGGGATATGTTCCAAGACCCCTAGTGGATGCCTGAACCAAACCATATATATATACTATTTTTTTCCTATATAAGCATACTTATGATAAAGTTTAATTGATAAATTAGGCACAGTAAGAGAATAACAACAATAACTAATAATAAAATAGAATAATTATAGCAATCACTACACTACTTCAACAGTTGATCTGATCATGGAGATAGCTACTAAGGGGCAGATTCATGTCCCGACTGGGACCGAGCATGATGGCTTGAGACTTTATCACAATACTTAGAATAGTGCACAAGTTAAAACTTACAAATTGTTTGTTCCTGGAATTTTCCATTTACTATCTTCAGACAGGTTGATGGTGGGTAACTGAAACTGCAAAGAGTGAAACTGAGGACAAGGGGGCATTGCTGTACCCATCATTCAGCTTTAAAAATGACCAATATTTGAGCATTCTTTTTTCATCTATCTCCCCACCACACACTTATTTTTAAGAAAGCACTTTAAAGCAAATCCCAGACATCAAACATTTTCCATACATACTTCAGTATGAATCTCTAACAGATAAGAATTTTTTTTATATAAGAATTTTTAATAAAAACATAATCATAATGTCATTCTCCTACCTAATAAAATTAACAAAAATTTCTTGATATTATTTAATATCCGGCCCAAGTTAAATTTCCCCTAATTGTCTCAAGAATATTTTTACATTTGTTCGTTTGAATCCAGATCCAAACAGGTTCTGCATATCATAGGCTGAGGATAGACTTCTTATGTCTCTTTTGATCTGGGACAGCTCCTCTCAGCTATTTTTTGATTGTTGGAATTTGGTTACTTGTTTTGTAGAAGTTCCCACCTTTTGGATTTGGCTGATTGCATCTCCGTGGTGTTTTTTTTTTTTATGATTCTTTTTTATGCTTTACATTTCTATAAAATGATAGTTATATCTAAAGGCTTGGTCACAGTCAGTTTCAATGGGGGGGTGGAGATGAATTATGGGAACTAACATCCATGTGGAAACTGGCTTGATGCTGTTTTTGTGTGCCAGAGATGTTTCTGGAGGTGTCTTGGTGGCCAAACTTTGGGAGGCTGGTGTAAAAAAAGTTAGTTCTTGAGCCACGGAGGCAGTTTTGATTCTGATACCATGAAACATTCCCTTTGTTCCTTCTTCCTTTATGTTGGCCTATAAAGAAGACTCTTAAAAGTGGTTGTATCACGTGGCGTCTGGGTGTGGCCCCAGTCAGAGGGCCTAGGGACAGTGCCCCAGTAGCAACATGTTGGGTTTGAAAAATTCCTTTGTTAGTGCCTTCTTGGGAGGTAGGGCTAACAAAAGAAAGAATAAACTTATAGCATAGCATGAATCTAAATTAGGCCAATTGAGTTAGGGCATCTGAGGGGGTCTTTAGGGTTTGCTTTGCAAAAGATATCCATGTGGTTCGAATGTGCAACCAGGAATGAGAACCACAGAGTCAGATATTGAGGCTTGAGTGGTTCAGTGTAATACTCTTCAGTTTGTGGTCTATCTCAGCAGGTGGTCCCCAGCTGCAACCGTGAGAAAGAAGAGGAGGCAGGTCAGAGAAGGGCAAGCCTGAGTGGAAGCAGTAGGAGGAGGTTCCTGGGGCTTCCAGCAGCTACTGGTTTGTAAGGATTTCGATGGCATTGATGTAGTTCCTCAATAAATGATGTCATAAACTTTTTGAAGAATGAGGACATGGATTTTGGTTTGGGGAATCCAGAAATATGAGAGAAAGAAAGGATGATTCACGTGAACAAACTGAGTGGCCACTTATTGACACGGCTAATGTTATGGGGCAGGGTTCCCTTGAAGGTTTTATAGTTGAGGAATGTTGCACACTGTAGAGTGGCAGTCAAGTAGGCAGTCAGATGTATGCCTGGAGTTCAGGGCTGTAGATAGGAACTTTGTGATCATGAATATAAAAATGGTGTTTAAAGCAATAGACTGGGTAAGATCACCTAGTGAACAAGAGATTGACTTCCTGGAAGCCACTTGAAGAAGGTACTTATAGAACTGTTGTGTTTCTCTAAAAAGGTTTCTCTAGGAGGTTGTTGAGTCTGAAAGCATACTGATAATTTTTTCACTAAATGCTGCCAGATTGCTCTACAGAATGTATTTACCTGCTCAAAATCCCATCAGCAGCGCATGGCAATTCCCATTTCTCCATATCTTTGCCAATATTTGGGATTATCTTTCTGATTTTTGCCACCCTGATGAGTAAAGCAGTGGTGTGTTGGAGCTGGCTCTCAAGAGCTGATTAAGCACATTTCATCCAATTTCTTGTTCAGTGATTTCACCCTGGTCGCTAAATCAGTGGTGGTCAGAATATTTGCACCATGGAAATTGGTGAACACTACAAATTAGGACTTTTCCTTCCCTAGAGAGCTGGGTTTAAAATACACACCAGCATACCAGTGGCTGTGAGTGGCAGCACACTGTAAATTTCCATTCTCTGATTACTAGTGAGTTGCATCATCTCTTCCATGCTTATCTGCCATTCTGGCTTTCCTCCTGTGAATTGCCGATTCCTACCCTTTTCTCATTTTTATATTGGTGTTTAAAATATTTTATATTGACTTATTTTTGTTGCTTTGTGAAAAGTTCCTTATAAATTTTAGATATTAATCTCTAGTTGCTTTTGAACATACCATCTATCTTCTTCCAATTTGCCAGCTGTCTGTTAACTTTCTCTTCAATTGAGAATACCATAGAAAAACTTTGTGATGCAACCCCCCCCAATCTTTTGCTTCAAGGTTTTTGCTTTTGTAGCCTTGTTTTATAAAGTAAATTCTTACCCCACATTCATAGAGATAGTCTCCTAATCTTCTGTCTTTAATAGGTAGGTCTTTCATTTATCTAGAGTTCATGTTTGAATATGGCGGACATGGGGCACCCAACTTCATTTTTTCTTCATAAACTAAGCCAGTTTCCCCAAAGCCAGATTCTAAATAATTTATATTTTTTGTCATTGATTTGTGGTACTACCTTTATGTATATGGAGGTCTCATTTATATATGGGGCTGCTTCTGAGTTCTCCATTCTGTTTCACTGGTCTGTTTGTTCCTATACCAGCACCATACTATTTTTATGATATGTGGTAATGGCACAATATCTGGCAGGTCTCCTGTCTTTGCTCTTGCTTTTCAAAATTGACTTAACTGTTTAAAACGTTATTTTTCCTTATATGTTTTATATGTTTATTGAGTTCCCTAAAAATGTAGTTTCTGCTGGAATTTTGGTTGGTATAACATTTACTCTGGAGGTTAAATTGACATTTTTACAATGTAAAGGCATCCTATTCATGGTACATTGCTTCATTTATTCACTCTTCTTTTATGTTTTTAAATAGAGTTTAAAATTTTCTCCATAAAGTTCTTGCAAGTTGTTAGGTTAATTCCTGGATATTATGCTTTAGAGTTTATTAAACTTTATTGCCATTGTCAATGGTCTCTTATTGTCTGTTATATTTCTTAGTTGCTTACTGCTGATGTAGACAAAACTATTGATTTTTAGAAATTGATCTTGTACTTGGCAACCTTGCCAACTCATATTACTTCTAATAGTTTGTTGATTCTGTTGGGTTTTCCATGCTGATGATTTATCATCCAAACATGAGAGGCAGGTAGATTTTAAGGGCTCTGCCCAGTGCTCTGATCTTTTGCATTTAATCACTTCTGCTGGTTGAACTCCAATCTGATGCCCCAATTCCGACAGCTGGGTGTCTCTCATGGTCTTAAGGCCCTACTCCCTTCGTACACCCACAATGTGGAAACAACCTACGGAGATAATGTGTGGATCAACATAGGCCTTCAGATCAGACAGACTTAGGTTTGAATGTTATTTTTGCCTTAGGGCACATGGAGCAAGTTACAGCCTCCTGGAGTCTGTTTCTTCATTTGTAAAGTGAAGACAAGATCCCATAGGTAAAGTGCCTTACAGTGGTCAGCCAGTAACGTTCCTTCTCCATGCTGTAATGTTGACCACAGATGTTGGTTACCTCCTGGCACTGGGGTTGATTGCTACATTGTTCATGAACCTTATGCCTTCAGATGCAATTGAATGTCAACAGCTATAGCTGGTCCATATCCCCCTGTGTCTTCTCACCCCAATGGATAGTTGACGTTCCAGGTTCTGGCTCTGTATCATTGTCCAGTCTCTCTCCTTTTCTAAGACTTGTATGATATGTGTGGTATCCCAGGAAGCATGACTGCAATGAGTGCTTACATTCTTGATGATGGATGGTCTAGGGAGTAACTTCAGTTTTTTTTAAACAAAGGCAGCTAGGGGAATGGGAGACTCTTTCTCCGATGGGTTGGTATCCTGGGAATTTGCATATGTACTCTATGGTGTTTGGGTGTAGCAGAAAAAGCCAGTGGCCTGGCTGGTTCTAACAGAGACCTGTGTTATAGCTAAGAACAACTCAGCTAGCCACACCTCATCACTTACTAATAGTGGTATCTCAGAGGGATAATTTAAATCAGCAATAAAATGAGCTGTATGCTTGTGGAAACTTCACCAATAGCTCTTTCTGTTACACAGAGATCCTTATGAGTTTCTGTGGTTTAATGACAACAGGCCTCATTTACAGGTGCTTAAAGCAAATCAAGAGCAGACTGCGTTCCTTCTTTTAACTAGTTGAAGACGTAGTTGGATCAGACTAGAAGAGAGTGTGATGAAAGCAGGGAAAGGGAGGTGGAGTCTGCAAAGGGAGGAGGAAGCATCCCAGTCACATTATAATCCCTGAGAGAGCACAAAGTGCTGAGTCTGCAGGGACAGAGAAACTGGCAGCGGGCCAGGGACGTGGGATGGTCATGGTATTTAAGTATTGCATAAACATTGTGGGCTTCAGTTGACAGTGTGCTCCACCCAGTTCAACAACGTGATATGACTGCTGCAAACAACTATTTTGATATTTTTGAGCTTTGTTAACACAAGCACAGGAACTAGAAAGAGGTGGTAGTCTCTCTCCTCTCTGCACTTGACAGCTGCCCATTCATTCCTGAGCATCACATTTAAGAGAGCTCTAGAGAAGCTGTGAAGGATCCTAAAGAGTACCCCAAAATGCTGGTGAGTTGGATTGTAACTGTGTCTTATAAGGAGCAGCCAAAGGGACAGAGAATCCTTGTCTTAGATACCTTGAATTGGAGTTATACCTGATCTGAGAGTCCCCAGGGTAGACACAGAACCCTATAAGGAGGAGATGCAGGGAGTGGGATTTTAGCTCTCATGGGAGAAAGAAATTTTCCAAAGGTTGGTCAAAGATAAAATGGCTGCCTTAAAAGGTAGAGTTCCTTTTATTTATTTATTTATTTTTTTTTTTTCCAGCATGTTGTGGGGGTACAAATGTTAAGGTTATGTATATTGCCCTTGGCCCCTCCCCCCCGAGTCAGAGCTTCAAGCATGTCTATCCCCCAGTTGGTGTGCATGGCATTCATTATGTATGTATAAACCCATCCCCTTCTCCCACCTGCCTGACACCCAATAAATGTTATTCCTATATGTCCATTTATGTGTCGATCAGTTAATACCAATTTGCTGGTGAGTACATGCAGTGTTTGTTTTTCCATTCTTGGGATACTTCACTTAATAGAATGGGTTCCAGCTCTATCCAGGAAAATACAAGAGGTGCTATATCACCGTTGTTTCTTATAGCTGAATAGTACTCCATGGTATAAGTATACCACATTTTATTTATCCACTCATTTATTGATGGGCACTTTGGTTATTTCCACATCTTTGCAATGGCGAATTGTGCTATCAGGAGTCCTCAAACTTTTTAAACAGGGGGCCAGTTCACTGTCCCTCAGACCATTGGAGGGCCCTTGGAGAGTGCGGCGCACATTCCACACATGCGCACTGTGGGCTCCGGATGAGTCGGCTGCTAAGCAGGACAGACAGCAGTGGCAAAAACATCTGGGAGGGCTGGATAAATATTCTCGGTGGGCTGCATGTGGCCCTTGAGGCCATGGTTTGAGGACCCCTGCATAAACATTCAATTGCAGGTGTCTTTTTCATAGAGTGACTTTTGTTCTTTTGGGTAGATGCCCAGTAATGGGATTGCTGGATCAATGGTAGATCAACTTGTATCTCTTTATGGTATCTCCATATTGCTTTCCACAGAGGCTGAACTAGTTTGCAGTCTCATCAGCAGTGTAGGAGTGTTCCTATCTCTCCACAACCACGCCAACATTTATTGTTTTGGGACTTGTTAATAAGGGCCATTCTCACTGGAGATAAGTGATATCTCATTGTGGTTTTGATTTGCATTTCCCTGATGATGAGAGATGTTGAGCATTTTTTCATATGTTTGTTGGCCATTATTCTGACTTCTTTTGGAAAGTTTCTGTTCATGTCCATTGCTCACTTTTTGATAGGATTGTTTGATTTTTCCTTGCTGATTTTCCTGAGTTCTAAATAGGTTCTAGTTCAACTATGGGCACCTGGTGGCAGGGTATTGTAAGGAGGATCCAAGCAATTGGAATGGGGTCTTTTTCTGGTTCCTGGCATCAAAGATTCTAACAGGAAAAGATGCTCTGGTGCGTGGTGAGCACTTACCTTTGCTCTTGCAGGGACATTGACAGACATTCATTCAACAGGCTATTGCCAGGCACAGCTTGGTGAACACAGTACAGCGCAGTGGTCTGTGGAGGCCTCAGAGAGCTGTTACCTGGCATCACACTACTGACTCTGTGTTTCAAACCTCAGGCATGGTCTCATTAGGTCTCCTTATCAAGGGAACGCACAAAGTGTCAAGTAACACTTTCCACTAGATGACAGAGAGCTAGGATGTTGGCGTTCACGTCTGTTAGGTGTCACAGTTTCACCACTGTCTGGTTCTTGGGAGATGGAGAAGGGGATCCGAAGAGACGGCTGGTGAGAAGGGAGCAAAGGCATAGGGGACACAAACTCCTGTGTGGACTACTCACCCCTGCCCTCTGCCTCTGCTGGCACTTTCGGTTGTGTGATTGCTTAACTTGGGTATAGCACTGACAAGGCCTTTTACAGCAAGACCTGCGCACAGGATCTACCCTAGGCCATGCATGGCTAGACACTGGGGAGCCCAAAAGGGTAAGACGTGGTCCCCGCCCCCAAGAAGGTGGTAAGAGGCTGCTTCTAGCCCGGGATGCTAGACAGGCCAGACTGGGCTAGCCAAGGGCTTTAAAGGGGGTGGGTATGCCCAGTGTGCCTGGGGCTGCTGCCCCCCATCATTGCCGGGGCCAAGCGGGAGAGCCTGCCTCACCTTGGCTGCGGCGGGAATGTCACTGCGGCGCCTCCACGTGCAACAGTAACCCAAGAGGTCCCTCAGACCAGCATACCGGCCAGGCCTCCGCGACACTGCGTGCGGGCGACCTTCCACCTGCAGCGGGGCGCAGGCGCCCGCTCCCCGCCCTCCATCCCCCCCCCCACGCCCCGGCGCGTGCGCGGGGCCGAGGCCGAGGCCTGCGCGCAACCCGGGCGCCTGCACTGCGCGCGCGCGCCGACCTCGCGTGGGGCCCGGCTCCGGCGCGCGCGCGGCGCGGAGGCGGCAGGCGGGAGGGGCCCGGCTCGGTGGGGAGCGGCGCGGCGGGAGGCTCGGGTGCTGGCCACGGGAGACGGCGCCGGGCGGGGAGCGCGCCTCTCGGCCTTTCCTCCGCGCCCCCGCGTCCCTAGCCCGCCGCCCGGAGAGGACCCGGAGGAGACAGGTGGGGCGGGCGCGCGGGTGCCCCTGACCGCTGGCGGGCGGGCGGGCGGGCGGCGGCGCTGGGGCCGCGGGGCAGTTGGCAGTTCGGGTACGGCCGCGCGGAGGGGCCGGGGCTCTGGAAGTTCCCTGGGCGCCGGTGTCGCGGGGTGCGGGGAGGCCTGCGTGGGGCGGCGCGGCCCGCGGGCGGGGAGGCGGCGTGCTCGGTTCCGTGGCTGGCGGACGGTCTAACTTTCGGATGAGGTGCCGCGAGGTGGCGGGACGGGCAGGACCCGGCGGCGGAGCTGCGTCCTTGCGCGCTCGGCAGCTTCCGCCGCGGGCGCCCCCGGGCTCCCTCCCGCGCGCCTTGCCGTGCTGCGTGCTGTGCACTGACTGCCCCGCGTCCTTGTCCTGTCACCTGTCTCCCCTTGCTCATTAAATCGACAAACCTTTTCCCAGCGGGTATTCAAAGCTAGAGCAAATGACTGTCCTTCCAGTCCTTCGCTGCCCCGAGACTCCCTAATTCTAAACCATCTGCATTGGGAAGGGAGTGAGAACACTGCAGCGGTGACCGGTCCTGAACAGACCCGTTTTAGCCTGCAACCTGAGGGATTAGGTCTGTGGGCTTCTAATGTTAGCGTTCTCTCCAATTATGTGTCAGGTTGTTTGTTGGGTTCTTCCAGAGACTGTGTAGGCTACATGGATTTAAACGCTGTTCTGAGACAGTGTTGTGATATGTATCAGAGGATGGTGTTCTTACGGGATAATAACTTGCTATATATGTTGCAAGCTAGTCTACGGTTCATACTGTAGCAATATCACAGTATAAAACGGTGCCTTTGGAATATTTCAATAAACACCCTTCTAGGAGACATCTGCCAATACTTTAATTTTACTTCACCTTAACATTTGTCACTTATGAATCTCCTGCACGATTTAAATCGTCCAAACAGACCAGGTGGGGCAGGACATGTAGCAACTGTCAAGGGAAAGCAGACACTTGAAAATGACAGAATTCTACCTTTCTACGTTTTTGTGTTCCAGAACCATCTTATTTTGCTAATAAATATGATGCATTTTAAATGATTTCATTTGATATGGACTACCTGGACTGTCAGATTGAATCTTGAAATCCATGGAGTGTATTTATTTCTGTTTTGTAGGATATTTTATTTGAGACATTTTGGGTTTACTGGATACAGTCTTACCAGCAAGGCCTTTTTAAAAAAGTGATATTGATATGTTGTCTTTTGATTGCTTATAACAACTCCAGTTTTGAAACATATGTTTGAAACTAGTGACCTTTAGGTTATAAAGTCAACTTCACTCTTTCTCCCTGTATAAGTCTTCAAACATTCGGTTATTGCTCCCTTTTAATTATTTTTAATTAACTATGCGGCTTATGGGCTTACTCTAGTGTGTTAGCTTTTGTTTCTTGTTTCACACATCTGTATGCTGTTATCTAAAGAATGAGCTGCACTGTCTTCATTTAGTGCTGTTCGGTAGAACTTTCTGACACCAGGTAAGTGCTCATTTTGCATTCCACAATATGGTAGCACTAAGCCATTTATAATTTTGGAGAGCTTGAATGAGGTTAGAGCAATGGAAGGACTGAATGTTTAATTTAGTCACATGTGGCTGGTAAAGGATCAGGGGCATCTGTTTAGTACACAGTTAATTAGGGCCAACTTTTTATCTTAGGCTTACTTTATATAATCAGTTATCACCACAGTAGGATTTGGAATGAAAGTATGTACTCAACCCACATAAGTATACCTCAACATTTGACCAAGATTCTAGGTGACAAAGGTCTCCATGTACAGAAATTGCTTTTAGGGAAGGATTCTGAGACCATATGGAAGTTTATAGAGGTGTATGGTTTTCTTTGGTGGGACAAAAGGTAGAATGTTGGGTTTTTCCTGAAGGAAAGAAAATGGGACAAGGGAAAAACGCAATGAAGACACAAAGTACAAAGAATGTTCACTATGTTGTCAGGTAATATCATAGCTTCTCTGGACTTGAAGTATCTAAAATGTAAACTAATGAAATTGATTACTCTTGTTGCATGAGTTGTCTTTCCACCTTGAGTCTGGGATTTGAATAATTGTTGAATATGTATAAGACATTATTCCAGCTCCTGTGGTAAATGGTAGTTGCATAAGATACAGTTCTTTAAGAATCTTGAAGGAAATGAAAGGTACTATGGAGATCATTTTTAAAAAGTTTTTTTTTTTTTTTTAATGAGAAACCCTACCCTTTGAAAGGGAGGTCATTTGGTGGCCCCTTTGAACTGACTTAGAAAGATAACCACTTAATCACTTTGCTGAAGAATTAACAGTATAAAAACTGCCTGAATCCCAAAGTGTGATTATAGTCAGTTTAGCCTTCCTAAAACAGCTTTAATAATGCCACTCCCTTTAAAAAACGAGTAGTTTCCCAGTGCTCATGGAATGAAGTGGCTTGGTCTTTGGTCAGGTGTTTAAGAACTCCTCGGTAGCCCTAACAAACCGTTACAGACTTAACCTCTTACTCTTTTCCTAGCCTTACCCCAAGTTTCAGCCTGCTGTTCCTTTAACATGCTCCCCTTTTACATTTCTACCCCAGTTTCTTTCTACCCATCTTTCAAGACTCATCTCAGGTGATACCTTCTTCACTGCACCATTTATGATTCTTAGAAGCTTCCATAGCAAATGTTCCTGGTACTTACGTGATAGGACATATCCCATTCTGTCTCATCATCTATAGTTATTAGTTATTACTAATACTTTTATTCACCCTAGTAGATTGTTAGCTACCTAACAAGCAGGGGCCATCTGTTTCTCTTTTTGTATTCTCCGAAACATTTAGAAGAGTGTCTTTTATGTAGTGGTTCCTTAACAGATAGTTGTGAAATTTTATTTCTCTTCCTTGATTTAAAAGGAAGCCTCATACCCTGTGTAGAATATTTGCCCAAATTTACTGCCAAGGAAGTAGAGGCCAGCAAGTAGAAGTCCTGAGTTAGGGGGCTGTAGTGTTGAAGGAGGGTTGTCTTTGTGGTGTGCTTAACTGTTTGGAATCGATGGTGTTTGAGGGAGATCACCACTGCTGCATAACACTGACTCCTTCACCTTCTCATTTGCCTATTTATGTAGCAAGATTAGTGCCAAAATGATTCAGAGTATTGGGTGGCAAGTAATTTTAGCATTCAAGAAAATCTGAATACCTTTAAAATAGTAACAACTGGATTAGGTTATTTAATATATAACTTTTTGAGAAAAAAGAAAGCATCTTACTCTTTACCAGTTGCTATGAGTATTTAGAAAACATGACTCAAGTTGGGAAGAAATCAGCTCAGAGAAATGACTGTTTCTTGGAGTGGGGTGGTGATGGTAAAGATAATTAATAAGATATGCGATTGGTTAACCAAGTATAAATAGCGCACACATTGAGTAATATCTAGTATGGCATTATCTACTCCTAGATTAAGCTATCAGTTAATAACTGTCTTTTACTTTATTCTTTCTACAGCAATAGTCTAAAATCATTTTTATCTGGTTTTATAATATGATTTTCTGCTTACATTTAAAAACAGGGATTCATGACATTTCAGATTTTAAAGATCTGATGCAAAAGAAACTGGAAGGTTTTTAGCTCCATAGTTTGGTTTTACTTAGCAAGCATTTTCTCTGCTTTCTACACAATTTCTGAGCTGTAGGCTAGGGTGTAGCACAAGTCTAATTTAGAGCAAATTTATTCTAAGCACTTACAGTTTCTGGGAAAAAGAGGTAATAAAAGCCACATGGTTTAAAAGGCATGGCCTTCCATCTTCTGCTAGGCCAGAATAAACAGACCCTTGTATGTTGTTAAGTGAAACAATCTCAGTAAGCTCTTAGACTTGTAAGAATGACATGATTAATTTTCAGTAAGGTTTTCTTGGATATCAGAAAATATAGAAACATTTTAAACTAGATTATTTTCAGATGATGAACACGTGGAATGAGTTATTGGATGACAAATGATATAACCTGTGTCAGCATTGTGAGACGTTAAAGATCCATGAACAAGGGATAATTTGCCTTGTTACCATGAGTAAGAGGCTGTCACCCATTTAGAGTAGCTCAGCATTAAAAAAAAGTTTTCACCTATTATTGAGAAATGTTTTAACTTATGGTTTATTCCTCCTGAGCTTTGTCTAGAAAGATTACGTGTGCTGCTGACTGTATGAGGCAGTGTGAAGCAATGTGTGTGTTTTTTTTTTAACAACAGTTTGCTAAAATGAATTTTTTTTTCCTTTCGTAAAAGAGATTCTTGAAGTTTAAAGTTGAAAATGTAATTTAGGCATTATTAAAAGAACTTTTAGGATTTTCGTGATCGAAGACAATCATTCTAAGTTGCATACAAATAAAATAGAAACACTTTTTTCTTTCTTATTATAGGTGGTTTTCTAGAAGATGACCATAGAGGACCTACCAGATTTTCCAGTAGAAGGAAACCCTTTGTTTGGAAGATATCCATTTTTATTTTCAGGTTCTGATACTCCTGTCATCTTTTCCATTTCTGCAGCACCAATGCCTTCAGACTGTGGTATGTTAAGTAGCCGTACTTATTGTCTATCAACTGGTAACTTGACTTCTGTATTATGCCCTTTTCATACTCATAATTTTTCCTAAACTCATTTTTTATGGTTTTTATAAAATTGCTAAAATTTTCCTTTTTCAAAAATACAATTGCTTGTTGCTTTTTCTGCCTCTTAAGCAAAATGCTTTATTTCTGCAGTCAGCATTTTTATTATATTATGTTAAAATGTTCATTTTAAGCACCAAGGTGGATTTAGAGGATTTTATTTTTAGAATGCAGTGGTGCTTAGATATCTAGCATTCTTCTGCTATTGATGTATTTATTTTGGTTAAATATACTGACTTGCTAAAAAAGTCATGTATTTAGGGTAAGAGACCCTTCCCTGGAATGTGGAATAAGATTGGTTAATATTTAAATTGGTCCATTTAAATCTTCTCTGTAAAATGTTAATTTAGCAGCATTCTACTTTGCATCTATTTGGACTTTCCCCCCCCAGGTAGTTGTAATTGAATAAAAGAAAACCAGGAGATAAATTTGATAGAATAGTTACATTTCCAATTTAGAGTTTTTCAAGTAAAATATATATTGGGTCACTATTTGAAGTTGTCTTTGGAGGTAGAGATAATACAGTTTTTAAATATTAGTAGATATAAAGTTATTAGATTGGATGAAATTAAAAAGACAAATTCCCATTCTAGTACAGTATTTTCTATCTCCAAGTATCCTTGTTTTTCTTTTTGGTATTCAGATTCTGTAGCAGTTTACCTATAGCAATCATCAAAAGTATTACATAAAACCTGTACCTTGATCCTAGAAATTATTTGCAGCTTTCATAAAAATTGCCTGGGTTTATTTTCAGATACAACAATATCAGTTATGCAAGGGAAACCTTCAACTAAAGCACAATGTACCTTGCTTATGACACTTGTCTCATTCTGTCTTGAATTATAATTGTCTTATTTTCTTTCCTAGACTGTAGCTCTTGGGATGAAGTAGCCAATCGTGTTTTATTTTTATCTCGTAAAGGCTAATATAGTCATTTGTTGGTATCAATAACAGTTGCTCAATGTTTGTTGAATAAATACATTGAATGAAAGGCAACATTGGATATTGATTCCTTTGTTCTGCGGTAGAGACAGGCAGGAGTAGTCATCTGGAGGTTCAGAAGAAGCAGGTCTCAAGAAGAGAGAAGGGAGAAGTGTTCCAGGAAGAAAAACAGAGCATTAAAGGCAGCCTTGGGGGGAAACCTTGATGTGTCCCAAGAATTACTGGAAGGGCCTGGTGGCTGATAGGCGAAGTGCATGAGGGAAGAGTGGGAGGAGGTGAAGCTGGAGGGTAAGGCAGGGCCAGGCCAGGCAGGTCACATAGCTGGGCCTTGGTAAGGAGTTTGTATGTGAAGCAGACTAAAGAGATTAAAACCAAGAAACAAAAACAAACCACTCCACAGAGACCAGAGGCATGCAACTCAGTGTTGACTCTCACAGTGGTTACCCTGTAACACCAAACACTGTCCTTGCACAAAGATCTTTGGAATTCTTTGCTGTGAAATGCCTTCACTGCCAGTTCACACAGAACACAATTACATATATTATAAACACCATAATGCCTTAGTATTATTTTTGCTTAAAAGGTGAGTTATCTGTTAAAGAAATTTAAATAATAATGTAAAAATCTTATTTACCCATGTAGTGGCCATTTGTAGTGTTCTTCATCCCGTTGTGTAGAGCCCAGTTTCCACACGATACTGTTTTCCTCCTGCCTAAAGGACTTCCTGTAGCATTTCTTACAATGCAGGACTGCCAGTGCTGAATTCTTCTAGCTATTTTATGTCTGAAAACGTCTTTATTTCGCCTTCTTTTTTGAAGTATGCATTTGCTGGGTATAGAATTCTGGGTTGATAGTTTTCATTCAGTACTTTAAAGATGTTGCTCTCCTCTTTTCCCACTTGCATTGTTTCTGATGAGAAATCTATCATTTTTGTTTCTCTGTATGTAATGTCTTTTTTTTTTTTCCTGGCTACTTTTAAGATTTTCCTCTTTATTGTTTTGGAGCAATTTTACTGTGATGTACTTAAGTATAGTTTTATGTTCTTGTGCTGAGCATAAAAACCATGCTGATCTGTGGGTTTCAGTTGTCATCAAGTTTGGGAAATCATTATTTTAGATATTTTTTCTGCTCCTCTCCCGTTTCAGAGACTCAGAGACTCCAGTTACATGCTTGAAGTTGTCTCACAGCTCATTGATGCTTTTTTCATATTTTAAAAACGTTTTTTCTATATGTTTTGAGTAGTTTCTATTGCTGTGTCTTCAAATTCATTCATCTTTTCTTCTGCCATGTCTAATTAGTTAGCTACTTATCTCATCCAGTGCAGTTTTCATTTCATTCGGATGGAATTTTCATCTCTAAAGTTTGATTTGGGTATTTTTTATGTCCATGTCTCTAATCAACCCTTGAACATTTGGAATATAGTTGTAATAACTGTTTTAATGTCCTTTTCTATTAATTGTAATGTCTGTGTCGACTCTAGGTCTGTTTTGATTTATTCTACTGGTTATGAGTCATGTTTTCCTTCTTTTTGTATGCCTGGTAATCTTTAATTGGATGACAGACATTGTGAATTTTGCCTTTTTGGGTGCTGGATATTTTTTATATTCCTGTAAACATGCTTGAGCTTAATTCTGGGATGCAGAAACATGGAAATTTGGCCCTTAGAGGTCCTTATCAGTTCATTCAGTCCCCTGTAATTAATTCTTGTTCTGCTCGATTTTGGGTTAGCAGCCTCACAAATCCAGCAATTTTTCATTAGCGTTCTGAAAATTCTTACCCAGCCCAATGGTATGATCTTAAAGCTATCAGAAACCTGTACTTGTCAGAGTCTTTTCCATAAATCTTCTTGCAATTTTATATCATAGCTGCTTGCAAAAGCTTTCAGGAGAACATCAGAGTAAAATGATAACTTTCTATAGATGACAAAAGCCTTAAAATGGCCATAGTTAAAGATTTGATGACAGTTCATTATAATGCAGTTGACAAGGAAATTTGGTTATTTCTGTGACAATATTTTAAGATAATAACTGGAATTATGACTGATAACATACCAGAACATATTAGATTTTTAGGAATTTCATACAATTTCTGAAATGTTGATAACAGTCATACAAAAATAGCATACAGAAGGTTCAGCATCACCTTTATTTGACAATGCTTTCCATGCAATATAACATCAAATAATCCTAATTAGTTTCACCTTTATTTGACAATGTTTCCAATGCAGATAAACCTAATTAGTTTAACATCTCTGATGTTAATCTGAGGTTAGTCTGAGGTCAAGAAGACTTCATCCAGAATTTGATTTTGGGGAAGTTTGTCAAAAATCTCAAAAGTTGCCAAACAGTTGATTAAATTGGATCACAAGTATTTAGTTATCCATTTAACCAAAGTGACAATCAAAGATTTCAAAGGGAAATTACAGAAAGCCATATATTAATAGTTGTTTAAAAAAGACCCCAAAACCTGGCTCTTTAATAGAGAAGTCTAAGTAATCAAAGACCTGGCCAAGACAACATGAAATACAGGAAGTTATCTTGACAGAATACAGAATCTGTATTTCCTAGGCAGACCACTCAAAAGTTAGAAACCTTTTACAATCTCCCATCAAGAACAGACCAATACTCTAAGAACATTTTGTCATTTTAACACAGAGGAACACAAATGCTAGTTTTGCATCATTTTGATAATGCTGGTAATAAATTCATTCCATTTTAGCCAGCTTGACCACCCAAGATTCTCTCTCCCTGTCCCTCTCTGTAACTTCATATAGCCATTTAGTTTTTGTCCTCAATTTTCCTTTTTCCTCAACAAAAAACACATCTTCATTCCTCATACTTTATCTTGACTGTCATGCCAACATTCTGTAGGTTGGCAAATCTGTGAATACACCGTAATTTCTAGAATCTTATGTTTCCTCATAGTATAGTTTTTCAGGGTAGCACAGGACATGCTTACTAACAGACCCAAATATCTTTAGTTCCTTTGTTCAAAAATAGATGAACTTATGTTTAGCAATTAACATTTCAGAGTTTATTTTATGTGGACTTACATCAATTGAATTCACTTGTTTTTAACAATTGTGCTTGGATTACTCATGAAAATTTCATGAGACATTAAATAGCTAACCATTATCTTATTTTTCTTGCTCAAAAATTTTGTAATATAGAGATAGCATGAGATTATTTGTAATTCTCTTATTTTTAACATGAGCTCATTTGAATAGTAAAACCTAGGTAGAATGAAAGTTGTATGTCTGTATTATATTTAATGCTGACAAATTTTTAAAAACTAAACCAACAATATTTTTATTTATAAAAGATTACCCAAGTCACATGAACTTGGAAAGCATTTAGTTTAGTTCCTATTTTTCTAAGAGTTTTAGGAGTACTTAATTTATATAAGATCTTGTTTTTACTTATGTCTGTTGGACGTACTTGAATATACATAAACATACAGACATAGAGATCTGATAGCTTTTATTTCAAACTTTTAGCCGTGTTTCAAGTACAATAAATAACAAAGCCTACTAGTTTATAAAAGAGGCTGGATCCAAATTGAGCCTCTGGCAGATGGAACAAGTCAAGGTTAGTCAGATGGCTAAAGCTTTTTACTAAAGATGTTTCATTTGCATGCTGTAAGGATTTTTTTTTAGAGAAGATATTTTTGATTCTGCTTTAAAAAAAATTCCCTACCTTTTTTGATTGTTCAAGATGGTAGAATCTGATTTTTTTCCTCTTGAAATGTTTTTTTTCCTTGAGTCATTCTCTTTTCATGAGTTATTCTCTTTTATTCTCTAGTCATGAAATGATACTAACTTTTCGATGAATCTTAGGAAAGAAAGAAGTTTTAAGAAGTATTTAGATCATGTGTTCACTTTTGTTTAGTATTCCATGCTATTACTAATTCAGATTCCAAAATAGCCCAGTCACATTGTCCCAAGCTTTCTTTCATTTCTGCATTGCAAGATACTACTTCTGTATTGGTTGGAATAGCATTTCCCCTCATGTTTCTTCAGTGGGTAAAGAGTGATGTTTGCTTATGATAAAAAATTAGGAAAACACAGAGAAGTAAAAAGAATGTTTGAAATTAGAAGCTTTCCTAGTACATTTAATATTTTGTCATATTCCTTCTTTTTATATATGTTTTAATCACAGATGTGAATCTGCTGTTCATAACATTTATGTTTTGAGAGGCAAAAATATTGATGAAATTTGACAAATTTTCTGTGCCTTAGAAATAGTACCTGCAAAATTCAGGGTTTCAGATCTGTGCACTCCCACTGGTTTCATTTGAAATAAAATGTGGCATGATACCTGGAATTCTTGTGTCACAGTACTTTAGATATGCCTCAGACTTTCTCAGGATCCTACTTTGGTTTTGAGAATTGCTTAAAGTGAACCTACGTTTACTAGTATCTAAAGATATTTTTGTATTTGAACCTTGGTCTTATTGTTTGTTATTTGCAATATATTTATTTGAAACTTCTAACAAATTTAATTTATGCCTTTTTTGTTGAAAACAGAATTTTCTTTCTTTGATCCTAATGATGCATCATGCCAGGAAATTCTCTTTGATCCCAAAACTTCGGTCTCAGAATTATTTGCCATTTTAAGACAGTGGGTTCCTCAGGTACAGCAAAACATTGACATTATTGGAAACGAGGTAAGGAATTCTTAAATTCTAAGTTTGCATTGTTAGGATTGGTAATAGTGTAGAATTTTTTTCCATCTGAATACAAAGATGGTGATAAAGGAGAAGTCTTTTAAAGGTTCCGATGTTTATTTTTGTTTGTATTCCCAGGTTCCTCAGGAGGCAGTGAGTTGGCAGGATACATTCTCCCTCTTGTTCCTCACACTCTGCACTCTCTACCACCTGGAGTTCTGACGTCAGGGACTCTTGGTGGGAGCAGGGAGAGGCATTTTCATATTTTCTTCTTTTTACAAATGAATTTTGCAAACTTTATGCATTTCATGAAGTGATTTGATTATCATTATGTTCTACCTACACTTGTGGGTGGTTTGTTAAAGATCTAGGCTTTATCTAGATCTATTTTTTTTTTAATTTAATTTTTTTTTATTTCGGCATATTATTTGATAAAAACATAATTTTTTTAATATTTGATTTTTTGAGGGAGGATTTCTTGACCAGCATGTTGTCATATTGTAGGAAGAGAGTGCTTATATGTTTTTCAAATATCGTTACACCTATTAGAAAGAAAATTCTGCTTGTGTTTGAGAGGAACATATTTGGAGTGCCAGATTACTTTGGAATAATCTTTAAGAATTTTTTTCAGTCTGGTGATGAGTTCAATTTTCATTATTATTGTTGAGTACAGATTTAAAATTTACTCTCCAGAGAAGCCAGTTCTATACTTTTTACTGAGAAGTAATTCAGATAAGAAAGACTGACTTGGTTCCTCAGCTTTGGGTTGAAAGTAACCAGTACTTCAGTAGTTAGGTTGTTACCATATTTTCCTTGGCTTCTTCAGATTCTTAAGAGAGGTTGCAATGTAAATGATAGAGACGGACTGACAGATATGACTCTTTTACATTATACCTGCAAGTCTGGAGCTCACGGCATTGGTAAGTATGTGGTAAATCTATTAATTGCTTACATCGTCTGCATTGTTCTTGTACAGTCAATGTTTATGCCAAGTGGGACTCCCTGGCTGATGATAATATTGCCTGAAGATGTGAGGATTCAGTTAGGGTTTTCCAGGGTAGTCCTTGTTCCCTTTTCTCAGGGATGTGTTTATACCTGCCTGGTCCCTCTCAACTTTTCTGAAACAGGCTTCGTGTCTGATTGCTTACTAGGTGAAAGTAACTGGTAACACCCTAAAATCTTTCTGAAGGTTTACAGCAAGGTTTGACAATCCAAGGTCAGTCTTCCAGGCATAGACCTCATTCTTTAGGCCTGTGTAAGGTCTATTCCTACATGTGTAAAATATGTATGTATTTTCCAAAATGGGTATTCTCCTGCGGTTTACAATTTTATAAACTTGCCTCTCTTATTTAACTATAGGTTGTGATCATCTCTCCCTGTTTCGATAGGCTGATACAGTGCTTCTTAAACTGTTGTGGTGAAGGATTCTTTTTTTCTCTTTTTGCAATCCATCGTGGACTAATACTTTTATAAAATAAAATAAAAATGAATTTGTAATAGAAAAATGAAATGAAGATATAAAATATAAGCCCAAATATTTTTCAAAAGGCCTGAAATTACATTTCTATTAATATAATCAGAAGAAATATTAAATAGGGGGGAAAAGTTACAGAAAGTAAAAACAGATTACAGTTTGGCCCTGGCAGTGGTCCACAGAGTTCACTTTGAGTAGTACTTAATAAAGTACGTTGTATGTCTCTGTGGTTTCACAGTGTTCCATTATATAGATGTCTCCACTTGAGCAGTTTCTTATTCTTGTACTTTAAGATTATTTCAGAATTAGTAATAAAGAGTGCAGTGATGAACATCTTTACAGCTAAGTGTTTATTTGCGTCCCCAAATATGATTGTTTTCTTAGAATAAATTCCTGAAAGGGAAAATTTTGAGGCATAAGTATATATTCAGTATGTTGTTTGCTTCGGCTTTTAAAATGAGGTAGTAGAAAGTCATCCATTGGAACCTAATATTTGCGCTGCAGAAAAATAATTTAGAAAATCTTCTGTAGGTGATGTTGAGACAGCTGTAAAATTTGCAACTCAACTTATTGATCTGGGAGCAGACGTTAGTTTGCGGAGTCGCTGGACAAATATGAATGCTTTGCATTATGCTGCTTATTTTGATGTCCCGGAACTTATAAGAGTGATATTGAAGACATCAAAACCAAAAGGCAAGTATTATCAGATCACCATTAGATATTATTAAATGAACACTTTAGTAGTAGCATAAAAATTGTGATTCAAGCAGGTTCGTACGTCTAATCCATCTTGTTTCATATGCCTTTTTACCCCCATTTTATTTCTGAAATAGTTTAAAATTTTTTTATTGAAGATCAATTACTATTCTTTCAAGAAAGTCATTGTACAAAGAGATACAAAATACAAAAGCATTCCCTGGATTTTCATGTGTGTACAAATTCTCCAGTATAACATGGATTTTATATGTAATTAATTCTGCATGGTTTATGATTCTTCGTCTTGCTTGGGTATCCAGAAATAGAGCAATAAAGCCTGCAGAAGTAGGTATTGAAATAATAAAGACTATTTATTTTAGATGGTGTTCAGTTCTGAAATTCTGTGCTTTAACTTAAAGGGTAAAATTTAGGTTTTTTTTAATTCCTATTTTGATGGAGATATCCTAAAATTGAAGATCTGAATGTTTAAGTAATAGTCCTGGTATTTTGACTTTCTCTCTGGTCCTGCATTTGGGGGTTGTTTGCAAGTGAATAGTATTACTTTAAATTAAAGCGAATATATACTGTTTTCCCTATTGTAGAAGACGTGTTTTAGAAATTCAATAGATAATTTTCTTAGAATGTTCATTTCTAACCTCTGATTTGCATAATTGTCCATTTTCTCTTTAAAATTATAACTTTTCACTTTCTGGATGATATTAGGAAGAAAACTTCTGTCATCAGTACTGTGTCTTTAATAAGTTAATAAGGATGTTTGTCCTGAGCATGTCTGGGCTGTTTGAAGTAGTTGGTAGGGCATGTGGGGGTGGTGTCCTTCAGATTAGGGTCGGATTTGTAGATCCAGAGGAATAGCAAACCTTTGTTATAGAACACATTCAAAATGGGATTGCCACATCTGGAAGATTTCTGTGTTTTGCGTATAACATGATGATTTATTAAAAGTTATTAAAATGTCCTTAGAATGACAAGACTCTTTTTCTTATAATGAAATCCAAATTCATTTATTGAATGGAATATTATGAATCAATATGTATGTAAGCATTTGTATGTTTAATTAGACTTTAACTGCTTTGAAAATTTTGCATTGTTTTACCTGCCAGGGTTAGCAGTCTTTTTCTACAAAGGGCCAGATGGTAAACATTTTAGACTTTTTTGGACCATATTGCCTCTGTTCAAACTACTCAGTTCTACAGTTGTAGCACAAAAGTAGCCATAGAGAATATGTAAATGAATGAGTATGCCTGTGTTCCAATAAAACTTTATAAAAACAGATGGGTTAGATTTGCTCTGGGGGTCATAGTTTGCTTATCCCCGACCTCAACCCTACTACTATACCTCACTATAGTTGTCATGGAAAATATGTAAGAGATTTAGGGAGAGATTATGGTAAGCTAGTTACTTTTACAAATATGTATTATTGCCATTATTTGTTTAAAAATATGGTTTAGCTTGTTATAGTTGGATAAGCCATGATGATATCACTCCATTTTGTAATGAATTTTGTATTAAGAAAATAATCATTTTAGCCAGATTGTAATATAAAGATTTTGTTCCATTGTGAAATGGTGCTTCTAGTGGGTTGATTTAAGTCTTATAAAGGCTTTAAAAAGTCCCTTCCCCCCCAAAAAAAAACCTCCTGTCTCTTTTTAAGTTATATAGCTAAATTTAAAATTTTAATTAATATGCATGTGATGTTTAATTGCAGATGTGGATGCCACTTGCAGTGACTTTAATTTTGGAACAGCTCTGCACATCGCAGCGTACAACTTGTGCGCAGGGGCTGTGAAATGTCTGCTGGAGCAGGGAGCCAATCCTGCATTTAGGGTAAGAGGTTAAATTAAAAGTGAGAAAAGAATATTAAAAGAATTTAAGTTAAAGAATTTAAAAGTCTTTTATAATCTTCCGGTAGAGTATTGAATCTGGATGTTTTCTTGATTATAGCCCCAATTTTGGAATTACGAAACTCTAGTCCCTGTTTCTTTTCTTTTTAAGAGATGGGATCTCGCTGTCACCCAGGCTGGAGTGCAGAGGTGTGATCCTAGCTCACTGCAGCCTTGAATTCCTGGGCTCAGGCTGTCCTCCTGCCTCAGCCTCCCCAGTAGGCTGGGACTATAGGCGCATTGACACACCCAGCTACATAGTTTCTATTTGTGAAGTCTGAGTTCCCATGAGTGGGCAGGAGCGATCACAGAGCCAAGGTGGCAACAATGAATAGTTGGGTCTGGGATTGGGAGGCCAGTCAGTCCTGTGACTTCTGTCTCCAAACTTGCCTACCCTGTGCCTGTGCAGCCAAGCCAGGTGCTCAGCTCCACTCATGGCCCGAGCTCTTGCCTGTGCACGCAGTGCTCTGCCCCACCAGGTAACCTGCACGGCTGCTCCCTCAGCAACTTTAGGTCTCTGAATGCATCTGATCAGCGAGGCCTCCCTCACCACTCTGTATGAATAGTTCCCCCTACAACCACCTCTGTCCCCTTGTTCTTCATTCCCCTTTCCTCCTTTTTTATTTTGTTCCTCTAGGCCAGTTGTTACCATTTATTATACCATATAATTCGCTTGTTTTATTTTTTATGGTTTGTATGCCCCTCCAGAATGTGTTCTCTTTGAGGGCAGGCAGGGCCTTTGTATTTTCTTCACTGCGGTATCTTCAGCACCTAGGATGGTGCCTGGCATATCGTAGGTGTTCAGGAAATATTTTTGAATAAATAAATGATGAATGAATTTAACTTAAAATTCCCCCAACAAGAATTTTATATGACCGTCTAGTGCTCTAAGTACATGAGAGTTGAGAATTTTTCTTGTCTTTATTTGTAGAATGACAAAGGACAGATCCCTGCCGATGTTGTCCCAGACCCAGTAGACATGCCGTTAGAAATGGCTGATGCTGCAGCAACTGCCAAAGAAATCAAGCAGATGCTACTGGATGCAGTGCCTCTGTCTTGTATCTCAAAGGCCATGCTTTCAAATTACGATCATGTCACTAGCAAGGCAATGCTGACGTCGCTTGGCCTGAAGTTGGGGGATCGTGTTGTTATCGCAGGACAGAAGGTATAGTAAGTAGCTTCAATCTCTAAAGCCATGTCCAGAGTCATTGTGTCTGTGGCCTCTATTCAAGGGAGCATACACTATGGTCAGAGTTTTGAATTTTTTAAAAAAGTTTCCAACATATAGATAGAAAGATAATGGAAAATGTAAAACTTAGATGCAAATTTCCTACAAGGTTTTTTTTTTTGAGACACAGTCTCACTCTGTTGCCTGGGCTAGAGTGTCGTGGCGTCACTCTAGCTCACAGCAACCTCAAACCCCTGGGCTCAAGTGATCCTCCTGCCTCAGCCTCACAAGTAGCTGGGACTACAGGCACACGCCACTGTGCCCAGCTAATTTTTTCTGTATCTATTTTTAGTTGTTCAGCTAATTTCTTTCTATTTTTAGTGGAGGCGGGATCTCACTTTTGCTCAGGGTGGTCTCGAACAGTCCTCCCGCCTTGGCCTCCTAGAGTGCTAGGATTACAGGTGTGAGCCACCGTGCCCAGCCAACTATAAGTTTTAATATGATCTAAGAATACAAACTATTTGAATTTAATAATGAAGACATCTTTATTTGAATAAAGAGCAGCGTATAGTGGAACTGTTGAGTGGATTTAGAGGCGTGAGCCCAGGAGTGGTCTGGCCTGGAGGGTTCTCCTCGCAGCCCCCAACAGTGCTTCTCCTGCTGCCACTACTCCTCAGAAGTGGAGCACAGGAAACCCCGGCCGTTCGTGGGTGTTTGTCTTTGAGATCCCATAAATAGGGAAATCTGAAATATTATATGACCTGACAACAGGTTTATGTGGAAAAGAGGACTCCTCCTCCTCCCACCACCCCACTGAAAATTCTCCAGACGCCTCTTTTTCTCCAAGCTTCAGTTTCCAGGTAGCAGTCACTTGTCAGTTTCTTTTCTTTTAATGCCTCACGTAGGAAGCGTTTTTGTTTCTGTTCTTGATGTTGAGGTCAATGGGGAGCCTGGTAGGGAGAATGGGCAGGGCATTCCAGCTGGCGTACTGAATTTCCCAATATGGTCACGTCTCATCTGGGTGGTCTTGTGGGGAGGGCGATGCAAGTTTCTGAGAAGAAACTGAAATTTAAAAGTTTGATTTATTGAGAAAACTGCTTCAAAATGGAAACAAAACTATAAGGTATTATGTTAAGAAAATGACATTCACCAACTTACAAAATGATGCATTTATAGGACATTTTTTAGTTTTTCATTGTCTTGTCTGTGGAGCTAAAATATGAAGGAATTACGAATGCATGCTTTTTAAAATTTAGGGTTAATATTCACCTTCTTAGTCTTTTTGTATTGTGTCTGAGAGTGAACTTAAGAGTTCCATTGTTTTATTTTACTTTTTATTTTGGATAATTTTAAACTATACAAAAGTAGAAGCATGTATAATGAATATGCTTATGCTGTTACTAATCAACTAGGTTTAATTTTATCAATTTATGGACAGTCTTGTTCTCTTTATATTTTCTCTCAGTCTGTTGCTTGTCTTTTCATTCTTGTAAGAGTATCATTCAAAGATCCAATGGTTTAAATTTTGATGAAGGCAACATTTTTTAAGGATTGTATGTTTAATATCATACTCAGAAATATTCTATGCTCATTTAGAAGTTTATAGTTTATTGTAGTTTTATATTGTATAGAGTGAGTTTCTTTCTTTTTTCTTTTTGCATATGGCTATATATTTGTTGGTCCAGTACCATTTTTTGAAAAGACTATTCTTTCCCCATTGCATTGCCCTTGCACCTTTCCAACAATCAACTGGCTGTATATATGCGGGTATATTTCTGGATTCTACTCTGCTCCATTGACCTAAAGACTACCCCTTCTCCAATACTGTCATGATTATTGTTGCCTTACATACATATTGATTCATAATATTCCATTCAATAAATGAATTTGGATTTCATTATAGTGAGTCTTGCAATCAGGTAGTGTTAGGTCTTCAATTTTTTTCCCAAAATTGTTTTGACTATTCTACTTCCTTTGCCTTTCCATGCACGTTTTAGAATCACCTTGTATATTTTTATTAAAAATCCTTCTGGGATTTGAATGGAGTTGTGTTGAATCTGCAGGTCAGTTGAGGAGAATTGACATCTGAAAAATACCGAGTCTTTGAATTCATAAGCGCAAGATACCTATTTTTATGATTCTTTGGTTTGTTTCATCAGGGATTTGTAATTTTAAGCATACAGATATTGCTTATGCTTTGTTAGATTTCTATCTAAGTTTTTCATGATTTTTGGTGCTATTGTAAATGGTGGTGTTTTTAAAATTTCATTTTCCAACTGTTCATTGCTAGTATATAGAAACACAGTAGTTTTTTTTGTATTGTCTCTGTATTCTGTAAGCTTGCTAAATTTATTAGTTTCATTGGCCTTTTTTTTGCAGATTCTTTGGGATATCCTATGTAAACAGTCATGTTTTCTGAGAGTAGAGTCAGTTTTCTTTCTTTCTAATCTTTTTATTTATTTATTTTTCTACCCTATTTCATTGCCTAAGACTTCCAGTAAAACAATGATAGCAGTGACAAGGGCTGAGGATGTCTTAGCCTTGTGATGTTTGTAATTTGTATTCTCTCTCTCTTTATCCCCCTTGGTCTCCAGCTAGAAGTTTATTAATCTTTATCCTTCCAAAGAACCTGCTTTCAGTTTCATCAATTTTTCTCTATTGTTTTCCTGTTCACAATTTCTTAATTGTTTCCTTCCTTTTGCTTCACTTTCTAGTTTCTTAAAGTAGAAATTTAGATAATTATCCTGAGACCTTTTTAAATATAATCATTTAATGCTATAAATGCTCCTCTAAGCACTGCTTTTGCTGCATTCCACAAGTTTTGATAAATTATCATTTTTACTCAAAATTATTTTCTAATATCCCTTAAGACTTCTCTTTTAGCTGTGGCCTATTTAGGAATATATTGTTTAATTTCCAAATATTGGGAGATCTCCATATATTTTTCTGTTAGTGATTTCTAGTTTAATTCCATTATGGCCTGAGAACATATTCTGTATGATTTCTGTTCTTTTACATTTGTATTCTGTTTTGGGAAGAATGTTTTATAAGTGTCAGGTCAAGTTGTTTTATAGCTGATTTTAAACTGATATTCTACTTACTAGGTCTATTGATTACTAAGCGAGGTATATTGAAGTCTCTAATTGGAATGTGGATTTGTCTATTTCTCCTTTCAGTTCTATTGGTTTTTACTTCATGTATTTTGAAGCTCAGTTGTTGGGTGCATACACATTTAAGATTCCTAGGTTGTCTTGTGAATTGACTCCTTTATTATTATTTGATGTCCTTTTTATCTTTGGTAATGTCCCTGTTCTGAAGTCTACTTTGAGAGAGTGAGTTTTTAAAAATGTCCATGGTAAAGTAAATTTTCAAAAGTAGGACTCTTGGAATTACTAGTAATACTCAAAAGTAATTCTGATTTATATTTTATTTAGGTTGGGACATTAAGATTTTGTGGAACAACCGAATTTGCAAGTGGGCAGTGGGCTGGCATTGAATTGGATGAACCAGAAGGAAAAAACAATGGAAGTGTTGGAAAAGTCCAGTATTTTAAATGTGCCCCCAAATATGGTAAGGTTGATATTATTTAACCTAGTAAGACTTAATTAAAAATAACTGTTTTACTCTTTTACCGTCTTTATATGAAACTTTTCTCCTTGTTACTTAGGTAACAAATGAAGGCAATGTGGATTTGGATTTGGGGAGGACTTTTTAAAGACAGGATATCATTATGGCATGTTTATTCATATTGATGGGAATGATATAAGAGAGGGAGAAATCAAGGTTTCAGGAGAGAAAGTAGAAATTGTAGGAAGAGTGTTCTTAAAAAGTTAAAAGGAGAATGGGATTCAGTATAAGGGTTAGCCTTGCATTAGATCAGGCACAGAGGAGAGAGGTGGTGGGAAGGGGAGGTAATTCACTTTGGATTATTTCTGTTTTCTCAGAAAATAAGAAGTGAGGTCATTAGCCGATCTTAGGAGAGGGAAGGGTGGTTGGAGGTTGGAGGAGAAAGAAGGTGTGAAGTACTCATCTAGGAGAGTGAGAATGTGAGTGGTTCAGGGAAACGTAGTGGACAGCAAAGCAGTGCTGAGGGCCCATCTGAGATTTATGGTGACAAACTTAGAGGCCAGTGTATGGAGTTAGGTGTCTTTCTTCAGTCATGTTAAGCTGCTTGGGTATGGGTACTGCATAAGTAGAGTTTGGTTTCACTGGGGTTAGTTTTTTCTGGAATATGCAACAGAAGGAAAGAGGGAAAGGAGTTGAGGGTATATACAAGGGAGTGATTAGAACATTGGATCATGGAGTCTAAGCCGGTTAGGGAGGAGGATGAGGACATGGCGGGGAAGATGGACTATGAGAAAGTGGTGGGACCGGTCATTCCCCAGGAGGTGGAGAAGCTGAGTGTGGGCGCTGGAGTAGGGCGCCCGGCATGGCAGGAGACGGCAGATAGTCTCAGTGAGGATTCTGAAGCGGAGAGGTGGCGATCAGCCTGCTGAGCGGGGGCAGAGGGAAAGCTCCCTGGAAGTAAAGCACTTGTGAAGCTGGCAGCCAAGGTGTTAGGCGGCTGTCTGGGTGGGCGTTGAAGTCACCAGGAGTGGAGACAGGAGGAGTGGAGGAGAGGAGGGCAGGCAGCCAGCCTGCTGCAGAGGTTTTCCCTGAATGAGTGAGTAGTAGCGACTCTAAGTTGAGTTGGTGGCTTCCAAAAGGAGAGGTAGTAGGTAGAACAGTCTGGTGGCATATGCCTCAAATAGCTTCTCTCTCTCTCCCTCTTTCTCTCGGAGAAGTAAATGTTGTGAAAATGGGAGTGATGGCAAAAACAAGCAAAATAGCCACGTTGCCCTCTCAGGGCTAGTGCTGGGTGATGGTGTGGGCCACACGCAGCTACTGTGTGAGAGTGCTTCAGGGAAGCCGCGTCTTCAGGAGAGGGCCAGGGGTCGGCTGCAGGGAAGAGGCCACGGAGCTCGCAGACAAAGCAGGGGCCGTGACTGACGTGAGACCATGAGTTTCCCAGGCTGTGCTACAAAGGTGTGGAGGGTGTGGGGAGCATTGGGTTATTGGGTCAGGTTAGTGGATTTAGGGAAACAGTCGACAGGAGTCTCAGGCATCTGGTAGTGACCAAGATTGTCTGGATGGTCTTTTTGGGAAAGCGTTTTTCCTTGCAGTTGGTCTCTTGGGTGGTTTTTAGTGGGGAGACAGCGATGATGGTGGTGCTGGCAGAGAGGGGTGCTCTCATCAGTAGAGCATGAGCTGCGGGCTGGCCGTGATCCTTGCTGTGAGCAGTGGTTGGCAGGAGCCCACCCCGCCCGGGAGGCCTCCCTGAAGTCCTGCTTACGGTGGTGTGGAGGCTGGGGAGGGAGGCCGGCCTCCGTCGTTGGGGAAGTACAGGGGGTGGAGGTCGCGAAGAACTTGAGAGATTGCAAAGGCAAATGCGGCCACCTTTACGTCCGTGCTCCTGAGCTGGGGTGGTTCTTTCTCTTCTGACAGATGTCTAGTCAAATTCACACACACGCACACCTGTTCCGCATGTTGGTTTCCATCTGATGTCGTAGTCACTTCTACGTTGTGAAGATTTTTCCTTGCGCCGAAATATTCTCCGTGGCGTCATTTTCCATGATTGGACGGTATTTCATCCCGCGGCCCAGAGGGGAGGCCGTGTAGCGTAGTGACAAAGCGGCGACGTCCGACCGCGTGGGTGGGAACCGGCCTCACAGTCTGCAGCCACGTGACCTCTTTCTTCGCGCGCCTCAGTTTGTCCTCTGCAAAATGGGGGTAGCACAGCTCCTGAGGATTCATGCCCGGATTCCGTGTGTTGGTAAATTGTACGGAGCACCCAGAACAGAGCTTGATTCCCTGTAAACACGCAAGTGCCAGCTATTGGCCAGCTGTTACAAATTTACCGAAATCACAAGTTTCCTGTCATCACACGCTTAGGTGGGAATCTCATTTTTTGGTTTATTAAAACATTTTTTGTTCATGAAAAATGCTCATTGCATAAGAGTTGAAAAGCATAAAAAAGGAGAAGAAAATTAAAATTCTACATTTTTACTTGATATCCTATTATAATTTCCCGAAATCCTTACATATTATTTGAAAATGTGATTTTTAATGGCTCCATTTCCTTTGATTTTTCCAATTTGATGGGTGAAAATTTCTATGCTTGCATTCATATTTCTCTGTAGTTAAAACATTTGAAATGTTTTGTTGTGGTATGCGTATTTTTTATGTTTTCTTGACAATTACCTGTTCATTTTATTTAATTGGGATATTAGTGGGTTTTCTTAGAAACTGATGAGTTTAAAAAATATATTATTTAGTATATTATGCTTCTATATTTATTGTAGATAATTTGCTCAGTTTGTCACTTGCCTTTGAACTTTATTTGTAATGTTTTTGGCCATATTGTTTTATGCAGTTAAAAGACTTTTCCTTGATAAACTCTGATGTTGCTTTTATGCTTTGATAATTCTTTCTACTCCAAGGATTAGTTATAAATTATATATATTATTCCTTTGAATGTCTTAATTTTTTTCTATTTTTAGTTGACATAATTGTACATATTTATGAGGTACAGAGTGATATTTGGATATATGTATATTATATGTAATGATCAAATCAGGGTAATTAGGATCTCTATCACCTCAAACATTTATTTCTTTGTGTTGGGAACATTCAGAATCCTCTCTTCTAGCTTTTAAAACATGTGCAAATTATTATTAACTATTCACTCTACAGTGCTATAGAACACTAGAACTTAGTCCTGTCTACCTATAATTTCAGTGTTTTAATTTTTTACACATATTTACTCCATTTGGAATTTTTTTGGTTGGCAGCATGAGGTAAAGAGTTTCATTTTCATTTTCCTCTGATAGCTAATTTTGGCAACTGTCAAGCAGGCTAAGGCAGGATCAAAAAAGCCCATAGCAACACACAGGGCCAATGTCAATCAGATTTATGGGAAATATTTAGATTGTCAACAGAATGCCATGTGGACTCCCAAACTCTCATCACCCCAGGAGAGACAGGCGTGGCTAGGACAAAGCTAGATACCCCAAGAACCTTTGATCTGCCCTCCTTTACGTACTTAAGGCAAGTTGGGGGGCAAGGGCCATGCCTTGGATTGTGTAGAAATGGGCGTAGCCCTTCCTGCCAAGTCAGCTCAGTACTCTGACCCTTGTCCTGGCTAAGCTGCTTAAGGTGAGGGCAGGTGAGTTGGGGAATCCCCTGCCAGCCAGCAGCCAAAGAATTTATCTTTTATTGGCAGTAGTTTTCTTTCTCCCTTTCTAAATCTATATTTTTTTCCCTTTGACTTGTTGTGCTTCTTTTATTATAAATTAAGTTCTTATAAATGCTGTGGTCCCTTTCAGTATTGTTTTATTCCATTGATGTGTTAATTCTAGCACATATTAAATTTTTTTAATTGCAGAAAATTTATAGTAAGTTTTAATACTTGTTGGTAATACTGTTGTTATGTCTTTCGGTAATTACCAAAGTGAATACATGTACATAGCTTAATAAGTCAAATAGTATCATAAGCCTTGTAAACAACAAAACCCTCCTTTGTCTTGCTTTTCCCTGCCTCTGAGTCCAGCTCCTTTGAGGCAAGAACTTTTTCGACTTCTTTTGCTGTGTCTTCTGATATTAATATCTGTTTTTGTAAATAATATATATATGAATCTTTCTTGACTTTTCCAATTTGAGACATCTGTTGACTTCCTACTATGAAGAGAGAGATTTAAAAGTTTTGAAGCTTTTTAGTTTAATGAAGTCCAAGACCATTCTTCTAAGCAAAGTTATTGCAAGAATGGAAAAACAAACACCACATGTACTTCACTATTAAATTGGAATTAACTGATCAACACCCATGTGTATATATGGTAATAAAACTCCTCAGAAATGAAGTAGGTGGGAGCGGGGAGGAGAGGGGATGGGTAAATTTGCACCTAATAGGTACAATGCACACTACCTTGGTGATGGCACACTTATAACTTTGATGCAAAGAATTCTTCATAGTATGCTTATTTTTAGTTAAGCCTTGTATGCTAAGATCTGAAATTTAAAAAAGTCTGAGAAAAATCCCATCAGTACTTTGATTAGCATGAGTAACTGCATAGTGAGGTCTCCTGTCTACTGTGCATCCAGTCATTGTTTTGAGTTTTGGTTCTCCCAAATAATACAGTTAATTGAAGAGTGAGAACTATGAGATTTTGTATGCTATAGAAATATTTTTAAGCAAGAGAATGAAATACTTAGTTCTTTTAAAAAATACTAGCATATAGAAATTGTCTGGTAAGATCTTGAAAGAAAAACCACATATTTCCGCTCAAATTAAGACAAACATTTGTTGAACATTATTATGACATTAATGATACAGATCAAATTAGAAAAATAATACTTAGTCTGATTGTTCTCATAAAGATTTTAATTTTCAGTTTTTTCCAATCCTGCCTATATCCACACATATAGTTTTTTACAATGTGATCATAATATCAAAGAACTTATTTTTATTTATCAATTTACTTTTCATATTTTGTTGTTTCTATGTGATCTTTATTGTTTTAATTATTAATGGTGATATAATAGTTTAAAGATATGGTTACTTCATCATATTGCCAGATAGTTATGTTTTCTCCTGTTTATGAATAATATTATAATGGTGGCATATTCAGGCATACAATCTTTTTCTTCTGTTTGGATTATTTTCTTATGATTAGTTTTCAGAAGCGTAATTGGGTCATAGCAGTAAACTAGAAATTGGGGCATTCTAGTAGACTAGAAATTGTTTTAGCTCTTAAAGTGTGTCTGTTCCTTATAGTGTACAAATGTAACCTTGTAACCTTTACACCATTAAGTATAATTATTTCCTTATAAGTAATTCCATCAAGTGGATTAATTAGGTCAGGATTTTTGCCTTTTAGAAAAATTGTACAAATTTTACATTCCCAGAGTATGGAATAATTTCTTTCTTCAAATACTTGGCAACACTGGTTATCATCATCATCATCATCACCACTGAGCTTGACAGAGTGAGTGTGTGTGTGCATGTGTTTGGGAAGGAAGAGAATTTAGAGAAAGAATAGAAAGTCAAGGAGAGTTTCATAGGTAGAAGACAGAAGAGAGAACATTGTGAACAAGAAAAAAAAAGAGGTGGGAAAATCAGAATAAATTAGTATAGAATCCAAGGTTAGGAGAGAATGTCAAGATTAGCAGAAAAGTAGTATAGTTGGCGCTTTTTAGCTAAAAAAGCAGTAATTTTTTATAGTCCTGAGCATTTTTACACTGCTTTAACACAAGTTATTTTTAATATAGTCCATTTTTGTCATTAGGTGTATTTGTTAGGTTGTAAACACTTAGTGAAAGAGGGTAATATACATATTATGGCTTTATTTTCTCTTTTTAAATATCTTAGCCAGATTATCTTGATATTTATAGTCTGTATGCACCATCTCTAGTGTCTGTGCATACTTATTTATACTGGCTATTTTATTGCCTGGATGAACTCCTTTTTAATAGTATTTTATACTCCCAGCTGCTGTAGACAGGCAGCCCTAGCCCCAGCCCCTGCCCCTGTGCGCCACCCCTCCCCAACACACTGCATTGTTTCTGGTTGTCAGGAACCGAGAACTCAAACTTTGGTAAGGTTATGTTTTATAGTCAGAAAGATTTGTTGTATCCCTACTATGTGTAAGGTGCTGTAATTATGTACAATGAAGGAATGCAGAATTGAGTAATGTTTGAATTTTGTCTTTAAAAAGTGCACAGTCTGTAGGAGAGATGAGACTTGAATGTAAAAAGCTATGATGTGGGATAAATATAAGTTTCCAAAGGAGATAAAAGGTGACATGGAAGAATAAGATTTTATATTATATAGCTCACTGTTACTTGCCAATAGCTTATAAATAATACAAAACTATTATCTTTACTTATTTTACTTTTTCCCTGAATTTCACTTAACACCCAATTACATATCTTTCATGTGGTTCTTAAATTATTGCTGTGTTGTTAGTCTTGACAACTAGATTGTAAGCTCTTTGAGGGCAAGTATTTTTTTTTTTCCTGTCTCTCACTACAAGACACGTAGGCACCAAAAACAACTTAAAGATTTATATTATTAAATACTTGTACTTGCCCCTTTGAGATGTTTTTAATTGTTTAACACTAACTAAAATTCTGCATTCTCCTTCAGGTATTTTTGCACCTCTTTCAAAGATAAGTAAAGCAAAAGATCGAAGGAAGAATACACTACACACTCCTTCTACAAAAGCTGCTGTACCACTCATTAGGTCCCAGAAAATTGACATAGCTCATGTAACATCAAAAGTAAATACCGGTAGGTCAAACCAGAAAGTTAGCTCTCTTCTTCAACATTATAATTTTATTTGTGAAATTTCTAATATTTATATTGTTTCACTCTTTTTTTGTTAGCCAACTGTGAAACCAGAATTTAATAAAACCTGCCTCTTATGTGTTTTTAAACCTCAGCCATGATTAATGATTTCATCTTCTAACAAAGAGAATTTCAGATTTGTTCCTTCCTTTTCTTCCTATTGTCTCCATACCTTTATCATCCCATAATCTAACCTCAAAGTTAGATTTTTTTTTACCTCCTTCAAATCTTTTTGAAACACAACTAGCTTTATGTCCCTCACCTAATCGAGGATGTGTAGTGACTTCTTTTTTATCAGAAAAAGTCCTGACTCTTGAAACTAGCAGTCAAGTCCTCTTTATTTGATGTAGCCTCATACTGCTTCCATTGTTGAACTGTGGTTTGTTACATCTCTTCCCTGTCTTTCCCGTGCATTGGTCTCACTCCTCCCTTCATGATTTTATCTGGGTATGGTAACTTCTGCCTTTTGAGTCCTCACCATTCTTTACCTCCTTGTGTGCAGATCCTGTTTCTCCATGAAAACTTCCCTGATGACTTCAGCTCTCTTTAATCTCTTTATTCTCTAACTTTGTATGTACTTTTTATCCATACCACGATTGCTAATTGTTATCTTGGGTTTTGTCATGTAATTGCTTTATTTATGCAAATCTTTTATTCTCTTGGCAAAATTTTTAAGCTTTACGTGGACTGTGGGAGTATTTTGTAATTTTGTATTCATGTTAGCACATAGCACAAAATAGCTGCTTCATAAGGACTTGTTAATTCATCAGTAGCTGAAGCAGAAGGCTTTCTACCAGGATGAAAGGATTTTGTCCAAGAATTTGGCTAGCCTTTCTGTTCTCTTCCGGTAGGCTATTTGAATATCCTGTGTCAATACTGTACTCCCTTAATTATTAAAGTTTTAAGAAATAAGTCTCGATACTCAGTAGAAGAAAGCCTCCTACCTTATTCTTCATAATTGTCTTCCCTATTTGGGCCTTAATAAATCATACTTCCATATAAATTTTAGAATAAGCAGTTAAATTTATTTTTAAAAATCTGTTGAGGCATTAATTGGTATTTCATTTAAACCTTAAATCAATTTGGAAAGAACTGACATCTTTGTAATAGTTTGTCTTTTATGAGCTTGAAATATCTTTCTATTTAATTAGGTACTTTAAAAATTTCCTAATAAGATTGTATAATATCTTCTGTAGATATTTTATGCCTGTTTCATTAGATGTTCTCCTGGGTACTTCATACTTTTTGATGCTGTTATAGATGGTATCCCTTGAAGCTGAAACTTGGAAGTACACAATGGGTATGTCAGGAAGCTCCAAGAGTAGCCCCTCTATTTCTGGTTTGGGGAGCAGAAGAGGGGTCTCCTATTAGACAGGACATGGAAGAAATCCCCTGTTTTCTTTCTTGCTCGCTTTTCCCCCCTTGGTTCTCTCCCACTCCAGTCCCTAGCAGTCCTGCATGGCACAGCAGCAACAGTCCATGGGCGGCACCCAGAACCCCAAGGAAGGGGAAACTTGTCTCTGACCAGAGAAACTGTGGTCCCAAGAACATGGATGGAATCCCCCTTGGTTTTTCTTGTTTTCTCATTGTTTGACCACAGAGACAGAATCATGCTCAGGAGATCGTATGACAGAGCAGGAAGCGAAAGCCTGGGCATTCTACTCCGAATGTGAGGAAGGGGTGCTCTGGAGCAGGAAGTGTCAGGGAGACCATGGAGAGGGGCTCAAGAAAGTGACCTCAGATTGCTGGATGTGAGCTCCTAGGCCTGCTGCAAGTTATGCTTGTATGGATCTAACCAAAGGCTTTGGTCTCCTTGGTAGACCACTACTTAGGTCCCAGACTGACTGCTGGGTAGCACAACACATGGGACAGTTCCAAGTAGCGGAGCAAAAGTGGTGAAACTGAACTGACATTGGGACCAAGGTGCAGAGAAGGTGGGCAGGAACTTCCAGCCTGAACCTACCTGGGTTGACTACCTGCTAAAGCAAAACAAAACAATCAACATACTCCATATGATTTCAACAAGACCTAGTGTACCATGACATAATGTTCAAGATATATAGGCTACAATCCAAAATTACTCAAAATATGAAAAACCAAAAAAAACCTCCACATCTTGCAAGGAAAAAGGCAATGCATGGGAGCTTCAAAATGACACAGATGTTGCAATGAACATACAAAGACTTTAAAGACTATATTATAACCATGCTGCAAGAATTAAGGGTGAACATTCTTGAAACAAATGGAAAGAAAGTTTCAATAGAGAAGTAGAATATATGAAAGAGAACCAAATGATACATGTGTGTACAGACACACACAAACAAGTTCAAATAAACCTGTGATAATCTAAGATTGGTGAATTGCATCAATGTTGGTGTCCTGGTTGGGATATTATACTCTGGTTTTGCAGCATGTTACCCTTGGAGGAAGCTGGACAAAGTGTACAAGGGATCTCCTTATATGTTTTCTATAACTTGATATGAATCTCTAATTATCTCAATAAAAATTCACATAAAAAGAACCAAATGGATATTTCAGAACAGAAAAATTAACTGAAAAATGAGAAATTCACTCTGCAGGTTGCCTTCATAAAATCTCCCTAACCCACCCCCTCCAATTTTTGCTGGTGTAGTTCAGACTCTCATACCTGGACTATTGTAATAAATTCTTGCTTCCAGCCTCCCCTCCTTTGGTTTCCTTCTAGACCTTGCTGTCAGGAGAGTTTTACTGAACTAGAATTCTGTTCATGCCAGTCCTCCTTTTCAAAGCCCAGCCAAGGCTTATTTTCTACCGTAGAGTTCCAGTTCCTTAGCCAGGCACTGCTGCCCTCTGAGGTTTTGCTGAGATTTGTCTGTCTAGTCTGTCTTCTCTCACATCCTAGAAGTACTCTGTTCCAGCCAAGCTACCCACCATTCTCTGTGTCTTTACAATTTTCTTTTTGTTCAACAGGAATTACTACCCTCTGTTGTTCCTGGTCATACCACTGTATTCTCTAGAACAGGGGTCCTCAAACTTTTTAAACAGGGGGGCCAGTTCACTGTCCCTCAGACCATTGGAGGGCCATTGGAGAGTGCGGTGCACATTCTGCACATGTGCACCATGGGCCCGGGACAAGTCGGCTGCTAAGCAGTACAGGCAGTGGCAGCAAAAACACCTGGTGGGCTGGATAAATGTCCTCAGCAGGTCGCATGTGGCCTGAGGGCCATAGTTTGAGGACCCCTGCTCTGGAAGAAATCTGACCTAACCCTCAGTCCTTATTGGATTGTTATATAGGTTAAAATGTATTTTAGTGCTATTTGGGGAAATTGGGGTTTCTAGATGGGCTGGGAATGCATTCTTTTCTTTCTCCTTTAAATAATGAAATATTGGTCTCTGCTGTCTATGAATTTATTATCCAAGATGTTTTCACAAGTGGGTAAGATTTAGATAATGAAGGATGTGTGTGCTTTTAAAAAGTACAGTTTTAATGTTAAACAGAATTATTGCTGAAAGTGTTTTATTTCGTGTCCTAGGATTAATGACATCAAAAAAAGATAGTGCTTCTGAATCAACACTTTCATTACCTCCTGGTGAAGAACCGAAAACTGTAACAGAGAAAGATGGTAATGTAATTTATAACTTCTGTTTCTCAAGTTTTAATTTCTGATGGAACTTTAAAATAATATAGTAGAAAAACAGCTTATTTGGGGGTTGAGTTTTAAAGTTGGTAAAAATTACCCTGATAATCCATTAAGCAGCACATAATAAAGTATATACATTTTTTTTTGGTATAAAACCCCGTACTGTGATTCTTATGTCTTAGTAAAATTAGAGAGCTACTGGAATAGATTAAAAGAGGGCATAAAAGGAAACTCTATAGTACAAATGGCTTGAGAAAAATGTTTAAGTAGCCTTTAGCTACCAAATCACTAGGTGAATACAGCATGAGTATTCCTGCTTGCCTTCTGGTTTAATTCAAAACATTTTAATATTAAACTTTGGTTACCTTAAAACATACTAATAGCATTTTTTGTTTTTTGCATAAATAAGATGGGATTCCACTATCTCATCTAAGATGAGAGATGAGAGATAGTGGTGGTTAGATTGGGTAGGCAGTTTGCATTAATTGATACAGTAACACCTCCTATGTAAGATTGTGATATTAAAGTGTGAATCCTTAAAATGCTATTGCTTGTGATATAAAATCTTTTATGTGTAAACTACCATATATTTGGATGAAATCAGGCATTTAATTTGACACTAGATAATCTATACTTGAGGAAGCTAAATGGAGAGTTCCAGAAAGATTTGCCTGGAAGAGCTTATTGGTCCACTTCTTGTTTTCCAGCCTTTGATATGTTCTTTTTCGTTACCTGTTTTAGTTACCCTGAATGGATCTATCAGCAGCTCCTCTTCTACATCGTCTTTGGAACACAAACAGAGCTACCCCAAGAAACTGAGTGCAAGCAGCAATAACAAGAAGACAATGAGCAAAAGCTCTTCTCTGTCATCCAGAGCCAGTGCTGGTATCTATGGCTTTTTCAACCAGGCTTTCTTGGTGTTTTTTATCTTGGTTTGTTTGTAAGTAGATTTGCTCTTTTTAAATGTGTAGAAGGAACCCTTTACTTCAATCAGAGTGAACTACTTTGCACTCTTCCCTACCTCCCCCTGAGCCTTAAGCCTTAAGGTCTCTTCATTTTGCTGTTGGATAGATATAAGACTTTGCATTTATTTTCATTTAATTTATTCTTAGTGGTTTTGTCCCATCTGAATTTTGTTTCTTGCATCTTGCATATTAGCTTTTTCACATGCCTTTGTGTCATCTTCATATTTAAAAAGCACATCCTCTGTTTTTATTCAAGTGGTTGTTTAAACCCATGTAGGAGAAGGTCAGAGGGTCCCCTTCCAGTATGACAGTGACATCCTGTTCTGAGATGGCTTTTTAACTAGCCGTGGACCCTGCATAATCTCATTCAGTCCACATTTCTTCAGTTACATGTAAGGATATATAAAATACTTTATCAGGTTTCTTTTTGAAATTTACATAGATTGTGTCTATTGCAGTTCACTTATTTATTCATTTAGTAAACTTGTCCAGAAAAAAAATGAAGCCATCTTGGCATAAATCGTTCTTAACAAACCTCAAAATAATTACTAGATTCTTTTTCTAATACTTATAATACTTGTACTGAATAAATATTTTATTATAGAAAATGTTCATGACAGGATTTTTTTTTCCTTTTGAAATACTTATTTTATTGGATAGGGGAAAAAACTGCAAACCTTCAACAGTAATGTTGACATAATTAACCTTAAAGGTGGGACCCTAAAAGTAGGGGACATGGAAGTTTTGCTGAACTAATTATTCTCTGAATAGCTCCCTCCGCCCACACCCCAACCAATTTTGCTTTAAGGTGTGGGGAGCAGAGGTGAGGAGGTGCAGTAAGATCCTGCTTGTCCTCCTTTCTACATTTCAAGGCCCCTTTCATTTGGCATTTGGACTTTTGACATTTACTTCCTTTTAAAATTTATATGTGGGCATGGAATTACTTTTTTTTTAATCTTTTATGCCAACTAGTTCTAGTGTGCCTATATATTTACCTTTTTTAAAAAAAAACTTGAGAGTTATATAGGTTTAAATAATAATGAAGATGAAGAGAGTTCTTGGAGTGAGAAAGACGATCTTTCATGGGGGAGGGACAGAGGATGGGAGGGTCTTTGTTAGGAACTCCAGAGACATTACCTAGATGAATAGATTTTCCACTTTTTCTATAGATTTGCATTTGAAGGAGAGAACTAGTAGTAATGGAAAGTTAGGTTAAAGAATTAGAGAAAAAGAACGGAAAGAAACGATCTGGGGAATGGGAAAGGCAGGGGAGGAAGCCTGTGGTCTGTGCTTCAGCCTCATGCACCCCATTGTTGAACTTGCCATCTTTGGTCCATTGTCTACAGGCAACATGGGGACAGGCCTGAGATTTCTGGTCAGAGGGTCAGGGTTTTCGTCTAGGTGTGCCACTTACTGGCTGTGCACACTCTGCCTTAGTTAATTCTCGAGTTTGTATCTTATACAATTTTTATGAAAAGCACTTTGTGAACTGTAATATGCTATGGAATATTAGTCATTATGAGGGCCTGGGACTTTTTGGTGTAGCCCTTTATCCAGACCTTCCTTCTCCATGGGTTTATGCCACTTCTTTAGTTACCGTATTTTTAGTTTCTCCCATTTTCACAATATGACTTATCCTCCATCCCATGCACTTATCTAGGGTTCTCTGGGCCTTCCTGGATGACAGCTATTCAAATCTCAGCTTATGTGCTGATGGAACAAGTCTCCAGGGCACACCTCTTGTCTTTCAGCTGTTATACTTGAACAGCTATTTAGACGGTATTTCTCTAGGACTTCCTGATGTTTAATAGTGGGCATTTCAGGGTTTAGTTTTGAATCAAGTTGAGAAGAGGGGAGGTGTTTTGTTCTTAATAAGGAAATCAATTTGAGGTAATTGGAATCTTACAACAATTTTACCTCCAAATCAGATTCCTTTTTGTATTATTTACACTGAATCCAGGTAAACTACTATAATCCTAGCACTTTACTAGAATAGGAATTGGCATACTATGGCCCATGGGCCAAATCTGACCTACCACTTGTTTTTGTGAAGAACACATCCATGCACATATTTTTCAATGTGTTGTTTATCTTCACTTTCATGTTACAATAGCAGAATTGAGTAGTTGTGATGGAGATGGTATGGCTTACAAAGGCTAGAATATTTACTATCTAGCTCTTTATAGAAAATGTTTGCTCACCCATGTTCTAGAAGAGAGTGTACCAGGCAGTCCTAGCAGAGTTGATACTTTACTAAGAATCAGGTTTTGTGAATTTCCTATGGTAATAATTTTCTCAGGAAATCCTTTCCTTTCAGTAGCTTGACCTCATATGTGAGAAATATAGTATAATTGTAGATGACATAAGGAAAGCCATAGAATACACAGTGAGTTTTTGGCTAATGTGCTTTTTGAGTTTTTTCCCTCTTTGTTTTCTCTCCTCTTTTCTTGCCCTGCACCTTTCTGCCCACCAACCACTTAAACAGGTTTGAATTCTTCAGCAACATCTGTAGCAAATAATACCCGCTGTGAAGGAGAACTCCACCTTGGAGATCGTGTGTTGGTGGTAGGCCAGAGAATTGGTACCATTAAGTTCTTTGGGACAACAAATTTTGCTCCAGGTAACTCATCTGTGTATTATTTGCTCAATTTGAAGTTTCTAGAATTTAAGTTTTAAAATTTTACATGTAAATAAAATTGAATTATAGAGAATTCTTTAACAGTTCTTTTGGATGATAGCTATTGCACAGAAAATGTAAGCAGTGATTAAAACCAGACTGTTTTTACTAGGTTAACTATTAATCATCCATAAATTTTTCTTGCCAATTTTGTTTTAAATTTTCTAATGTTAAAATTAATTATATATATATATATATTTATTATTTATACCCTGGATATGCTAAGAAAAAATTAATTATAACTCTCCAATTCGACTCTCACTGATTGTCAAGTGTGCTAAATGACAGGAAAAACATATTAAGATTAGATTTTTGCTAAGCATAATCTTTAAAATGAGCAGATAATGAGTTAATGATACAGCTTTTAGCAGAGTGGCTTGGAGAGAAAGGTAGGCACAAGGGCTTAAAGGAAACTGAAAAAGCTTTTGCCTCCCCTGGGCCCTTAAAAAGACAAGTTTGTATATTTATATTTACATTCCTATGTATACTTAATATTGTGTTTCCAAAAGTAAAGATTACTTTCTTTTGCATTTTCAGTGATTATAATTTTAAATAGAAGCCGGTTGAACGAAACCATGTTTTTATGTTTTAAATAGCAGTATGCTATTTTAACACATGGTGGCATTGCAGCATTTTAGGAAAAGGTTACCTAGAACATTGATTATTATTATTTTTTTTTAAAGTTTGTAGCATTCTGTTGAGAATGCTGAGGGATCTGAGGTTTTACCCTATTTGCAGGCTAACAAATTAGCCTGCCACAAGTGTTTTATAGATGTTGGTAGAAGACATGAGAATCCTGAGTCAAAGACAAGGGACTTTAGTACTCACAATAATAGCAGTAGCCAGAGTATCAGCATTTTCTTGAATTGTTCCCTGAGCCCCAGTTCCACAGGGTGAAAGAGAGAGGGCTAGGTGGCACCTGCATGCCCAGTGGTTTATGTTCCAAAAGAGGAACACTGAGCGCAGGGAATCTGAACCCTTGCACTGAACTTATGGTTCAGCAGGCCTTCCTTTTGCTTTGGAGAGAGGCTATGTCTGTCCCCCAAAGCTGTCCCCTATACAGACATCCATGAAAAGATAGTCTGGAACAGGCAGTCGCTGCCTCTGCCCATAAGGCACAGAGAAACACGACAGAGCCGTAGAGATCTGTCTACCCACACATTCTTGTTTCATTAATACCACCTTTAATTGTAAGTCAACTAATGGGTTTGAGATGGGTTATATGTTTTATAATTCATGACTCTGTTAGGTCTCCAGGTAGTAATTGAGATTAGTTAGGATGTACTTAATATAGTTCTCAAATAATAACTTGAGAATCCCACAGGTAGGTTATTTTTCATAATTATCCTATAATCAGAGAGTTCTCTGGTTAGAATGGTTTGATTTTTTTGAAGGTAATTCATCATTTTAGATTGACTTTTTTTTTTTTTTTTTGAGACAGAGTCTCGCTTTGTTGCCCAGGGTAGAGTGAGTGCCGTGGTGTCAGCCTAGTTCACAACAACCTCAAACTCCTGGGCTCAAGCAATCCTCCTGCCTCAGCCTCCCAAGTAGCTTGGGACTACAGGCATGCACCACCATACCTGGCTGATTTTTTCTATATGTATTAGTTGGCTAATTAATTTCTTTCTATTTATAGTAGAGACGGGGTCTCACTCTTGCTCAGGCTGGTTTCGAACTCCTGACCTTGAGCAATCCGTCCGCCTCGGCCTCCCAGAGTGCTAGGATTACAGGCGTGAGCCACCGCACCCGGCCCGTAGATTGACTTTCAATTTCTAAATCCCTAATGTAAAGCATTTAGAACTTATTTAGAAATTTAGGGAGTAATAAGCAAACATAAAAGTTGGTAACTTTTTGTTGAAGTCGTTCTGTCTTGGTAAAGAAGATAGTGGCCCATATCTCTTTTGGCATCAGAATTTAGATCAGTCATTTCTATAGAACAGTGGTAATATCTAGGTATTTTCTAAATCATGAGATCTAGGACCTGGGAGAGGTCATGTTTAGCCTCTTCACCATACTTATCTGTGCCACCTTGAGAAAGAAAATTAATATTTTAATGGGAAGACATCCATACCACATGATTACCAATGTCACTTTAACACTCGTCATAATGCATTTCTGCTGTATGTTACACATTTTCAAGAGTTATATGGTAAACATGTAGCAATTATATGATAAAATGGGAAAATGCAAAAATTATAGAGGAAAGCATCAAAGACAGAAGTAAAACTTGAAAAATTATAGCTGTGGCACTCAGAGAAGTAACAATGGCAACCAGACTAACCTGGTTTGGGACATTCAGAGACTTGGCAACCTATTTTCAGAGCATTAGTATGGCTTAACAAAAGCTTTGTGGACATTACTTATATTACATAGTAGAACTATGTAAGAGAGCAAATACAATTACTACCGTACTCTCCTTTTATATCATAAATGAATGGACTGTTAGACATTTTAAATGTCTCGAGGCCCCCTCAGGTTGAATATCCTCATTTTAGGAGTATGTGTCCATTTATATCGAGTGGAACTACAATAAAAGCAACCTTGCTACTTTAATTTTAGGTTCTCTAGTAAAGGAAATCCCATCATTTTCCTCAGAGTAGGTAGGTCCTTTTAAATACTAAAAATCTTTTAAAACATTATTATTAATAGCTAGCCTAAGTCTTCTCATTTAGGTAAAAAATTATTTTTCTTTTTATGTTGGGTGGAAGAAAAAAAGAAAAAGCAGAGTCATTATGTCTAGGGGTATTTTCTATATAATTTTTATCCTTTAAATATTTGAGAACTATTTGTGGTATTCTAATATTGAGAGAATAAAAAAGATTGCATGTTCATTTTATGATTTATACATCTCAATATTATGTTTCACTTCTTTTACTGAAACACACTATATTACGGATTCAAGGAGTGACAGTTTCTTATTCATTATAGCTTTCAGATATATTTTAGTCATACATTGCTTGCATAATAGCTGATCCTTGCCCAATCTGTTTTTGCATTTTATTTTTCTCCCTTAATGTACTACTCTGCAATTATGCTTGTGAAAGGTTTTTTCCTGTTCATTGTCAAATTTTATTTTCTAATTTCATCATTTGAAAGTTTAATGGTTATGGTGATCTTTCATCATTTTGGTCATGTGAAAATGTTAAACCTTCTAGACTTTGGGGTTGTATAATAGCATGATGATTTTGGATAAAGTACAGATGCTTTTAAAATGCAATATTCATGTTCTAGGATATTGGTATGGTATAGAGCTTGAAAAACCCCATGGCAAGAATGATGGTTCAGTTGGAGGTGTGCAGTATTTTAGTTGTTCTCCAAGATACGGAATATTTGCTCCCCCATCCAGGGTGCAAAGGTGAGAAGATGGAATTTATGTTTACTCACAGGAAATTTTTGTAATTTGCAGTGGTTTATAGAGACCTAATTTATATTAAAGACATTCATTCCCTGACTATAGCTCACGTCGACTTTCAAGGGGTTAACCAACCACCTTCTTCAGAGAGAAGGCTCATGGAAAGCTAAATTTGCTTTGCTGAGGATTTGCAATTTTGAAAAACTCCTTTATTCCTCATTTGCAAACCCTATGAGTATGTGTAGGCTATTAGAAGTGGCGTTTGCAGCTAAGAACAGTGAGAGCAGCAAGCTTAATCTGTCATGCAAACAAAAGTGAAAATGCTCTCTGATTGCTTCAGTCACATCCTAACTACATTAAATTTCCTGCCAGCAGGCACCCCATTCATTCTCCTACAAACCTAATGGAACCAAAGTGGCTTTTTCCTCTGATTTCTTTAGTTTTCAAAAATAGATAGGCAGTAGATCTTTGGGGGGAAGTGAAGCTTCAAGGATTTTTATATAATATACCTCCTCAGTGTTTCTTCTTAAGATAGTTCACTTCCGTATGGCCTTATCTGGTTTTAAAATATAAATTGAACAGAAGCAAGTCCTCATGAAATTCCAGGTACCATAAGATGAAATGACTTCTCTTACGTGCTGAAAGAAGTTGGCTTGGTATGCTTTTCAGTGGATGGGAAGTGGGATACTAATTTTTACGCAAGAAATAACATAAATGGTACAATCACATTCATGAGACTAGAACTACGATTGCAGTAGTTCTAGGCGTCTTGTCTATTACAGCTTTCCCTTAGAGCCGGACTGTTGTGACTACCTCTTGGCCAATTTAAGTTTTTATATCCATTTATTCCTTCATTTATTTTTCTTATTGAAGAATTACATGTAATTTTTACATTAATTTCCTTCTTCTTTGATGTACTTGATATAATTTTCCTTCTTATTTATGATAATATAGTATTAACATACAGTGCTTTGTAGTTTATAAAGTGTCTTAAATATTGTTGATTTGATCCTAATGCGTATTTGGTCAGGTAAGCTGGAAAATAACAGTGACCACCACAAACACTTATTGAGCATTTGGCAAGTGGTGGGCTCTGTACAGTGTACTTCACATATATATCCCATGAATTCCCCCAAACCCAGCGAGCTGGAAACTATTAGGATCATTTTGCAGTGAAGAAACAAGTTTCAAGAGATAAGTAACTTAGCTAAAGTCATATGGCTAACTAATGGTGGAGCTGGACTCATCCCAGGCGTGTTGTTTTATTGTCAGTGTTTTTCCTAAGGCCTTGCTCTAAGACAGATTGTTCTTTTTTGTAGTCATTTTATAAATGAAGATAAGGAGGTAATAGCTGTGTGTAGTGTTTCTATGTGCAGAGCACTGTTTTCGGTGCTCTCCATGCGTTAACCCCTTCCTCCTCTACGGCAACACAGGAGGAAAGTGAGACACAGGCAGGTGAAGTGGGCTGTGCTCCGGGGTAGTCTAGTGTCACAATGTGTGCTCTTCACCATAACCCCGTAGTGGTTAAAAGAGCCTCAGTGACTTTTTTCAGGACCTATATCCTGTAAATGATGGATTTGGGAGTGAAATCCGTGCTGAGTCACCAGTCAGTCTGCTGTGTTCTCACATTACGCTGGGCGCGTCTTCATCAACACGTGGCCACAGTCCCTTACAGGCTTCGTCTCCCAGTCAGGAGGGCTGGGACTCTTCTTTTCATGTCTGATTATCCAGAGTACATAGTTCAGCATATTTTAGGCACGGTGAATATTGACTGAATCTGATTTCTAGTTCAGTGCTTTTCATGCTGTAACAGCCTTTTCTCCTTTATGTTGTGAAGCCATTTACTTTCTCACGGTTTTCATTTTTTTCTCTCTTGGTTATGGAGCACTTGTTTATTACATAGTTATTTACTCACCTTCTATTTTGGTCATCTTTAAGGTGGTGCATTTAAAAGCAGCCCCCTCTTAAAAGAAAGAGGCCCTCTCTAAAGGAACTGCTCTCTCGATCCAGCTGTCTTCCTGTCATCTTCTGATTGTTTCATTCATCAGCATCAGATACTATTAAGTGTCTTTTAGCACTTGTGCTGTGCTAGGCATTCTGTGAGCAAGTAAGACTGACATGGTCCCTGATTTTGAGGAGTTTCTAATCTCAACCAGCTTTGGAGCTCTTTAAAGATACCACTAATCTTGAAGATGGAAGTATTTTAAACTAGGGACGGCCTGAGGACAGTCTGAATCAGGTAGTGACCAGTCATAATCTCACTTTCATCTTACTCCTCCTCAGGGTTGTAGCTGGCATTTTTTTTTTCCCCTTTTGGTTTTTAAAATGTGCCTGCAATCCCAGAATCTTTGCATATGTTATTTTCTCTGCTTGGATAGCTTTTTAGACCCACCTGCTATCACCCAACTGTCACCTAGTTAATACCTTTTCTTTCTGTTAATATATAAATCAATTAAAATTTCACTGACTAGATTTAATCTAATCACACACACACACACACACACACACACACACACACACACACACACACACACACGCTGCCCACGTGATCTTCATTAGCGTTTCCTTAGTTCTTACCAGGCACTTTTACTAACAAACTGATCATTTTTAGAATTAAGTGCCTCTCAGCTACCTGTTACCACTTCATTCAAATATCTGTCCTGTTCTTCACATCATATTCTTTCTGTCCATCAAGTCTCTCGTTGATTGCTCTATGTTGTGTATCATTTAAAAGTGATGCTTATGACCATTCTTTTAAGTGAAGTATCACAAGATGGAAAAACAGACACCACATGTACTCACCATTAAATTGGAAATAACCGATCAACACTTATGTGCACATGTGGAAATAACATTCATCAGAAATCAAGCAGGTGGGGGGGGGGAGGAGGGGATTGGTAAATTCACACCTGATGGGTGCAGTACACACTATCTGGGGGATGGGCACACTTATAACTTTAACATAAATGGTACAAAAGCAATTTATGTAACCAAAATGTTTATACCCTCATAATACTCAGAAATAAAAACAATAATGCATGTGAGTTGCAAGAGGAAATTGCAAATATTGCAAAAGTTGCAGGATTTCTTGATGGTAATAAGATATGCTGGAGGGAGTGATTGACACATGAAGGACTTGCAGATTTAGGTCAGTAAACAGATGAAAGAGAAGGAGGCTGTCAGGATTGGCTTTATTAAAATAAAAAATGATTTGAATATCAACCAATGAAGGGAAGCCCATTGGGAGAGTGGCCTTTATGATTGTGCTTAGAGTCAAAAAAAAAAAGCAGAGGATGTTGACTTGTATTAGCCATACAGTCTTGTCAGAAAAATCATGTACATACACAGACTCGGCCAATAATATCTCTTTCTTTCAGTTTGAAAATTAGTGATTTTAAAAATAATTTTAATCTAACATTTGTTAAATTTAATATAAACTTATTTTCATATTTTTTAGTTTCACCTTTGAAGATAAAGTTCCAAAGAAACAGTCATGTCCATAGTTTAAGGGAATTCACTTTAAGTTGACTTTTTGCATACTAATTACCCTTCTGTAGTGAGGATCTCTTCTATGTGATTATTGCCTGTCTCCCGTGCACATTGAGATTCAAGCTTGTTCCTGTCTCATGAGGGGTGCTCAGTAAATATTTGTTGAATGAATGAAATAACACGTAGCAATTGGTGTGAAAACCTTATTTAAGAGCCAGTTTTAAATCTGGAGATCACTACTTCTAATGAGGTGTACTTTGTTTTTTATTCACAGACTAACAGATTCCCTGGATACTCTTTCAGAAATTTCTTCAAATAAACAGAATCATTCTTATCCTGGTAAGATTACACAGTTTTGCATTCCTAATAATTATTTCTTTGCTTTCATTTATTGACAGTTTTTTTTTATTGTGAGGTATACATGTAAGTAAAAGAGTATATAAATTGTATAGTTTGTGTAAACATGGAGTAAACGTGTGTTACCCACCCCCCAGCTGAAGAAAATAATTACCTGTACTGTAGGACCCCTGAGCACCCCACACCCCACATCTGCCTCCCTCTTCATGTACCCCATCCTCAGGTATATGAGTCTTGAATTTTATGTTCATTATTCCCTTGATTTTCTTTATATTTTTAAAACCTAGATATATCAATAAATAACATATATTTAGTTTTGATTGTTTCCTACTTTGTTATTTAGCATTCCATTGAAATATTCTATAATTGATGGTTATTTGGGTTATATCCTGTTTTTAATGTTACAAACTATGCTATTATGCACACGTGCAGAAGTTTCTCTAGGATTGCCAGGCATGGGATACCCATATTCTCAACCTTCCTAGGCAACGCCAAACTGTATCGCACACTCCCATCCTCAGTGGATCCGAGTCTTTGTTCTTCCTCACCTCGCCAACACTACTCATGACTAGAGTCTTTGCCAGTCTGAGGGGTGTAAATGGTATGTCATTATGGTTTTGATTTGCATTGTGCCCATTTACCAACCTCACTTCATACTGCACCCCCCTTCCTTGGCCTCTGGTAACCACCATTCCACTCTCTACCTTCATGAGATCCACTTTTTAGCTCCCATGTATAAGTGAGAACATGCAATCTTTATCTTTCTGTGCCTGGCTTATTTCACTTAACTTAATGACCTCCAGTTCTATCCCTATTGCTGCAGATGACAGGATTTCATTCTGTTTTTATGGCTGAATAATATTCCATTATGGACATATACACCATGTTTTCTCGACCCATTTATCTGTTGATGGACACTTAGATTGATTCCATATCTTGGCTATTGTGAATAGTGTTGCAGTAAACATGGGGGTGTGCATGTCTCTTCCATATACTGATTTCCTTTCATTTGGTTATATACCCAACAGTGGCATTGCTGGATCATATGGTAGTTCTTTTTATAGTTTTTTGAGGAACCTCCATACTTTTTCCCATAATGGCTGCACTGTTTTACATTTCTACAGTGTACAACGGTGTCCAATCAACGGTGTAATAGTGCACTATATCTTCTTTGATGAGGTGACCATTCATATCTTTTGCTCATTTTTAAATTGTTTGTTATTTTCTTAATACTGAGTTCTTTGTGTACTTTGAATACCAGATATGTATCAGATATATGTTTTGCAAATATTTTCTCTCAGTATGTGGCTTGTCTTTTCCCACTCTTAACAGTGTCTTTCATAGAGCAGAAGTTTTTAATTTTAATGAAGTCCAGTTATCAGTTTTTTTCTTTCATGATTTGTGCTTTGGTGTTTTATCTAAAAAGTCATTATCAACCCCAATATCAGTCTGACTTTTCTCCTGTGGTACCTTCTAGGAGTTTTGTGTTTTCTATTTAGATCTATGATTCATTTTGAGTTAATTTTTGTGGAAGGTGTGTACCTAGATTTTTATTTTACATGTCCATTTGTTCCAGTAGTATTTGTTGAAAAGACTATCTATCGAATTGTATTTGCTCTTTTGTCAAAGATCAGTTGACTATACTTGTGTGGGTCCATTTCTGGGCTCTCTGTTCTGTTCCATTGATCTATTTGTGTAATCTTTTGCTAGTACCACACTATAAAGATTACTGTAGCTTTATAGTAATTCTTCCAGTTGAGTAGTGTCAGTCCTTTGATTTTGATCTTCTCCTTTGATGTTGTATTGGTTATTATGGGCCTTTTGCCTATCCATATAAACTTGACAATCAGTTAATATCAACAAAGTAACTTGCTGGGATTGCATTGAATGTATAGATCAAGTTGAGAATAACTGACATCTTAATATTGAGTCTTTTTAATCTATGAACATGAAATATCTCTCCATTTATTTATATCTGCTTTGATTTCTTTCATCAGAGTTTTATAGTTTTCCTTATATAGACTTTGTACATGTTTTATTAATTTATACCTGTGTATTTAATTTTTTGACATTGATTTAAATGGTATTACTTTTAATTCTTTTTACATTATACCAGCTTTCTTTTGGTTAAGTATTTGCCTAATGTATCTTGTTCTACCGTACTCTTTGACTTAAAACCTTTCTGTGTCCCTAAGCTTTTAGAATATTTTCTTTTTTTTTATTTTTATCAGAATATTTTCTAAATAGAATATAGTTGGTTTTATTTTTAAAAAAATATTGTCTGACAGTCTTCATTTTTTAACCTGAGAGTTTTATCCATTTGCATTTATTGTAATGACTGATATATCACTGATATTATTTATGCTGTCTTATATGTTTTCTATTCACATTTTTCCTTGTACTCAAATGTTTTTTTCTTTCTTGACTTTATTCTGTTTATATTCCTACATTGCCACCTTTTAAAAAATTTCATTCCCCGTCCCTATTTGTGTAAGTTATATTCTAGGAACATACTTCTTCTTAATTACTGTAGATAATTTAACATACATACTTAGCAGAGCATTTTTACCCTTTCCCAAGTAGTAGAAAATCCTTAGAAACTGAGTTGTCCAGTTTCTATTTTATTTCCTCTATAAATTTGGCATTATTATAATAGTTTTATATAATATTTATTTAAATTACTCACACATTTACCAATATCTTTACTCATTAATCCTCAGAACTTCTACTTGGGATCATTTTGTTTTTACCTCATGTACATTCTATAACATTTCTTTTAGAAAGGCTCTATTGCTAGCAAGCTCTCTCAGTTCTTGTCTTTTCTAATGATAGTTTTACTGATTTATAGGTATAGAGTTTTAGGTTGAAAGATATTTTCTCCCTGCACATTTGGTAATATCTTTCTACAGTTTTCTGGCTTCTGTCAGTGATGAGAAGTCAGCTATGAGTCTAACTACTCCATATTGTTGTAGGTGATTTATCTTTTCCTTTCAGATGCTTTTAAAGATCTGTTTCTTTCTGTAGTACGGTTTCACTATGATGTGTCTAGGTGGGGATTTCTTTTTGCTCATCTTGTTTGGCATCGTGGGTCTTCCTGGAAGGGGAATTGGTGTCTTTGATCAATTCTGCAAAATTCTTATCCATTATACTTCACATTTTCCCCCCTCTATTCTCTTTATTATCTCCTCCTGAAACTCTTTTTAGTTGTATGTTGGACTTCCTCTTTCACCTGCCTCTTCTGTGTTTCTCACACTCATCACTTGGGACTGTGCTCTGGGTGTCTTCAGACCCGTCTTCTGTTTCCTGATTCTTTCTTCAGTTGTGTCTATTCTGCTGCTTAATCCAGCCATGGTGATTTTAATTATACAAATTGCCCTTTTTTTGTTTTGAAAATCTGCTTGTTACTTACCATAGCTTATTCTTTCCCCATATTTTCAAGTTTTTCTTTTATGTCTTTAAACATTTTAAATTTTGTTACCTTTTATTTCATGTTAAATAATTTAGTATCTAAAGTTTTTGTGAGTCTGATTCTGCCATCTGCTTCTGTTGAGCCTAACTTATGGTTTCTTCTTTCCTTGTGAATTCTGTAATTTATCATTGTGAGATGCTTATTTTACTTTATAGAATTTTATATATGAGGATTCTGTGGGGCCCAGGTTGATGCCTCCAGAGAAGACTGTATTTACTTCTGCCAGTTGCCTGGAGGCACTGCTGGCCTGGGACTACTTTAATTTATATTTGCAAGGTTTTGTGATATTACACAAGATAACGTGAATTTGACTCATGGTCACAAATTCCGCCGGGAGAGAATTTTGCCTTCTTTTGCGCATTAAGGTTGATGCAAGCCACTTTCCCTGGTCTTCATCTGACGGGCGTGTCATTTTGTTTCTCCTTTCACCTCACACTGACAGTGGGATGCCTGGGAGCCTCACACTAACCAAGCGACTCTGTGAGGATCCCCAGGTGGCAGGCGCTGCTTTGTTTCCTTCCCGGTCTCCCGTGCAGCCAGTTTGCTGGCAGCCCACGTGCTCTGGGTTCCGTGGAAACTCTGGTGGTGTGGGGTGAGGGTTGCTTTGGTGTTCGTGACCTCCAGTGGTTTCTCTGTTTGTTTTTTAGCCTCTTTGAAGTTGTGCCTTCTATGTCAGTTCAATTGTATTCTTAAAAAATTATAGTTTATTTAAATCAGAGCTGTTTCAATCCAGAGATTCATTCAGCACATCTGGTCTGCTGTAGCTGCCAGAACTGGAAATCTTATTTCTTTTCAAAAACATCTTTAAACATTTTTACCTTTTGTGAAGTCTTTTTGTTGTTGTTCTTTTATTTGGAGATGCCAATAATCATAAGCTCCAAAGTTTATTGTTCAGTGTTTTATAAATGGGACATCTTTAATGATAGTGTTTTGAAGCCATTTTATCCTTTTCTTTTTTCGAGTGATTATTAAGATTATAATATTTGATAGTACAAATAATCAGCTTTATCAAGGTGTAATTCAGTTTTATTTTATTTTCAAGAAATTTTATAATGAAAACTTCTAAAAGTAATGCCGTACTGTTAACTTATTCATACATGTACATACTTTGATCAGGAAGGTAAAGATCAAAATTTGTCAAGAAATCTAAACCACGGTTATATTCTGTATCTACTTACCTTCTTTGCTTTATTTTTCTGGAGAAACATTTGATATGATAGAACGTCTATAGAAGACATTATAAAAGATAAATAAGGACTGAAAGTTTCTGAGTTATTTTTCCTGTTCTAACCTTAACTTTCATATATTTAGGTTTTAGGAGAAGTTTCAGCACAACTTCTGCTTCTTCCCAGAAAGAGATTAACAGAAGAAATGCTTTTGCCAAGTGAGTATTAAGAAGATTTAGAAAAACACCTTTCAAGATGAACATGATGAGATTCTGTGAAGGAAGAAAAATGGAATTTGTATCTTTTACATTGCTTGGTAGAGTTTTAACACTTAGGAGAAAAGGTGTGATGAGTGTGTTGAGAAGAATTCTTCCTCCCTCCTTTGCAAGCTCTATTAAAAATGTCACCAGTGACTAAAAATAGTTTACTGCATATATTTTTCTCTTCAGAGAGGTTAGTACTGTTAATAAAAGTTGGAATTTATATTTTGTGTTTTCATTGAGTGGGGTGGATTGATTTTAAACTCTGTTTTCTTAAATAATCAGAGATTTGATTTAATAGTTTCAGCAATACATGAAAGACTTGTAAAGCCCGTTTGCATAAAGGAATCTTACAATTATCTAAAAAAAAATGCTCCCACTTCCCCCTTGTAGACTACTATATATTGCTCAAAAAGCTTTTTTTGTATCTTTGTAGAGGGAATAACCTTTTCCCTTTTTCATTTGTGTTTATCTCCTCCAGACCCACTTCACTACTCCCAATAGTTTCCCTAAACTTTTTGAAACTGTTTTACTTTTAGAGGAATATGAGGCTCTTCTAGACTGATTGTATTCAGAGGTTTTTTTTTTTTTTTTTTAAATACTGCGGATCAATCTATGCATAGTACCCTGGAGAAAAGGCTTAGCTGAGTAGGGAAGTGCACATTCTTGCTTTAGCAGTAGGTCCCTAGAGCCACTAAAAACTAGAGCCCCAGGGCTAGAGTTTGATGTCTGGCTGGGCACTGGCAGTCATTTGTGTGGCAGCCTGAGACGAAGCTATTGGAACAGGCTTCACAAAGATCTGAAATTTCAATCGAAAACCCTGGCTTGTCTTAAGGGACTGTTAAGTACTGTTTAGAGGGTTGGGTGTTTTTGTGTGTGTGTTTTTTTTTTTTTTTTCCTTTCTCAAAACCATTACCAATTTTGAGAAATTTGAAATTGGTCTTCTTTCTTGAGTAGAAAGGAAGAGTTTCAGGGCAGTCACTTTATGCTCCAGTTTATTGAAGGGATTCAGGAGTTCTTAGACAGAATGGAAGAAGGCAGAAGGAATGCTAAGAAGAAACAGCCAAAATACAAAATTCTGAAGGGGGAGAGGTATCAAAATCAGTGTCAAGATATGTTGGTGAGTGGAAGAAAGTGATACAGAGAACCAAGGGAAGGAGAAAGACAGTCTGAACCCTGGGAATTACACAGCAGGTATGGTTATGCACAAGATGGTCTGTTGACGTGAGGATGACATATCAGCACTTAATCTGTTTTCTATGAAAATAAAAAAGTTAAGCTTTACTAATATTTACACTTTACTAATATAAGATTGACACTGGCACCTTTTTTTTTTTTTTTTTTATAAAAGCAATACATAGGCCAGGCGTGGTGGCTCACGCCTATAATCCTAGCACTATGAGAGGCCAAGGCGGAGATTGCTTGAGGTCAGGAGGTTCGAGATAAGAGCAAGACCCCATCTCTACCAAAAATAGAAAAACTTAGCTGGGCAACTAAAAATAGAAACAAAAAATTAGCTGAGCATGGTGACAGGCACCTGTAGCCCTACCTACTTGGGAGGCTGAGGCAGGAGGATCGCTTGAGCCCAGGAGTCTGAAGTTGCTGTGAGCTAGGCTGACACCACGGCACTCACTCTAGCCTGGGCAACAAAGCGAGACTCTGTCTCAAAAAAAAAAATTAATGCATTTCATTCAGAGATAAAAAAGAAAGGGAGTTGGAAGCAGCTCTCTGTCTTCCAAATTCTACGTGTGTCCAACACCAAGAATGCAAGTAATAAACGAGCTTGAGAATTTGACACAGTCATCACAGAGTCCTGTCGGGCACAAGGCATCCTTCCTGTCTCACACTGTGCATCCAACTGTGATCTATTATATACCTTATCCCATTCTTACCAACTTATTTCAGCTCCTCTCCAGGAGGAGCGAATGTCTCTGATAATACAAATTGTAACTTTATTGTGGAAGAATTGGTAAAGCTTTCAGAGTCTCATTGAGTCCTGTCTGTAGATCCAGCCCATTGGCAGGATTTGGTCAGCACCAATTTGACTGCCTTCAGTAGAGCTCGTACAATCCAGTTTGCCACAGCTTCCCTAATTTCACACCAGATGTTTGCATTGTCTGGCTGTCCCCGAAAGCTTTTGAATTCCTCACCACGGGCTGAGGTCCAGATAGATCCAAGTCACAGCATAGAAGGGCCTGCGTGACCGGCTCCCGTGGCAGTAGTCTCACAAGTGACTGTAGTTCTCTCGGCTCTCTGTGCTTTTCAAAAAAGAAAAAAGTAGTAGGTATATTCTGCTCACGTGGTGACCTCTGCTTTCCCTTTCTGTCTGCTTGTCTTTCAAGTTAGCTCCAGGGTCGTGTCCCCGCTGGAGTGTCTCCCTGAGACCTTAGGAGAGATTTCTTCCTCTTCTGTGCACATTCTGCACCTCAGTATTTATAACATTTTACTCATATTACATAGAGATTCCTGGAACCTAGCCCCTTGCCTGCCTTTGCATAGGTGGCCAATAAATATCTTTGAACAAGTAAATGCAGTTTTCAAAAATTTCTCAAATCTCTGTGCTTTTGGGCTTTGGGGAACTTGAATCAAATTAATCTTTCTTATTAGAATGTAAAGTGTTCACCCAAACCATTAATTTTTGGTTTAGATATTGAATTCATTTATTATTGCCACCTTCTTTCTTTAAAGAAATTGTTTATTATGAAAGTTGATTGTACAATATTTGAAAACTTAAAAACTAAATGCAGGTAAAGATCGTCTGTAATTTTGTCACCTAGATACGATTATCACTGTTAGCAGTTTGGTATATACTTTTGGCATATGATGCATATGTCCTAATTTTTAAGCAAAGTTAGGTGAATCATATTCTATTATACCCTTTTGGAAGATTTTCCTCTTAATATGTCATGTGCATATTCCCCTATTCTTTAATAGCTTTCCTCAGTGTGACTTTTGTAATGTTTGTAAAGACTGTATTATGATATAGAAACATTTTTCTTTGTCATTTAAAAGTACATTCTTGTGCCAGAGCCACATTGTTTTAACTATTGTAGCTTTACAATTTAATATAACGGCAGTGTAAATCTTGCCTTATTATTTTTCAAACTTTTCTTTATTACTGATGCCCATTATGGTTGTATGATTGTTATTGAGAGCCTGGCCTTTGTGCTAGGATAGCCTTGGATCTGAGCCCCAACTCTGCTCTTACCATCTCTCTGACCTCAGGGACGCAGCTTAATTTCTGAGCCTCAGATTGTTTCTCTGTTATAAGGAGGTAGTAATCTCTTCTTCACTGGTTTGGGTGAGGTTGAATGAGAAAATGTGTATGAAGTGTTAGGCACATAATAAGTGCTCAAGAAGTGATAGCTATTGTCATTATTTATGTGAAAATTACGGTAATTCTGTCAGGTTGCAAACAATATCCATTGGGGTGAATTCGAGGAAAATTCACATATATACATTTATGTCTAGGAACAGAGCTCTTTATACTTTTTCTTACAGTCATTACATATTTGTGAAATTCATTGTATTTGTGCATCTGATATGTAAATAATCATTTAAAAATATTTTCTAATTACAATTGTCTCACTTATTGGCAAACATGGCTTAGGATAAATCCCTTGGCCTCACTTTTCCTATCCATAAAATTAGAGTCTTCTCCCTTTCTTATAGGGTGGTTAATAGGAGCAAACGAGGCATGTGTGTGATAGTGTATGTGAAATAAAATGTAAAATAAGTAGGACTTGGATTCTGTTCACAGTAAGATCCCCACGCAGTTTTGGTGACAGGTTGAAGGGTTCCTTTGGAGGAGAGGAGGCATGGGATAGAGGCTGGAAGGCTCCGGGTAGCACTGGTGGTTTCTGTTAGCCATTGTGGAAGGTCTCAGGTTGGAGGACAAGATGCTGGTATTGTTTCTGTTGTGGGTGAACATCAGGGTCAGCTCCTTCCAGTTTACAGTGGAGGAAGCTCTGGGGTAGGTGAGCCTGAGGCCTTGGATGAGTTCATTGGTGAGTCCCAAGCAGTTGTGTTATCAGGTCAGGTTGGTGGTGGGAGCTCGGAGGCATCTCTTGCACATTGTAAGTAATCTTACGTTGTAGGGAAAAGGAAAGGAATTCTGCTCAGGGCAACTCAGACCCTCTTGTGTGTTAGTGGCAGGGAGGGTGCTAAACTCTTTAGTATAACTAGAGTTCGTACATAGAAGATTATATATATATATATATACACACACACACACACACACATACTATATATATAAATGTATTTTCTAGAGTTGTGGATTGACAATTTTTAAAATTTGCTTTCATATGAAGAAATACTTTAAACAGAAAGTGATTTTAATTTACTACGGCCAGGCCGGTCGCGGTGTCTCACGCCTGTAATCCTAGCACTCTGGGAGGCCGAGACGGGTGGATCGCTCAAGGTCAGGAGTTCAAAACCAGCCTGAGCAAGAGTGAGACCTCGTCTCTACTATAAATAGAAAGAAATTAATTGGCCAACTAAAAATATATAGAAAAAAATTTAGCCGGGCATGGTGGCACATGCCTGTAGTCCCAGGTACTCGGGAGGCTGAGGCAGGAGGATTGCCTGAGCCCAGGAGTTTGAGGTTGCTGTGAACTAGGCTGACGCCACAGCACTCTAGCCCGGGCGACAGAATGAGACTTTCTCAAACAAACAAAAAAAATTTACTACAGCCAAAATACTAGATTCCTTTTAATTTTATTTGATAATACAGATAGCAGTTAAATAGGTATTAATGTATGTTTTCTGATTACTGTTTTACTAAAAGCATATGTATGTGTATGTATATTGTAATACATATGTTTATATTTATAAATTGCAGATGAAATCTTAAATCCAGATTAGGTATAATATTAAAATAACCAAAAGAGAAAAACTTTTTTAATGTTAAAAGTACAATTGACTCTTGAACAATCCAGGGGTTGGGGTGCCAATCCCTTCACCCCTGTATAGTTCAAAATCCACTTACAACTTTTGACTCCCCAAAAGGTAACTATTAATAGCCTACTGTTGACTGTAAGCCTTACTGATTATATAGACAGCTGAGTAACACGCATTTTGTATGTTATATGTATTACATGCTGCATTCTCATAATAAAGTAAGTTAGAGAAAAGAAAATGTTAAGTAAGAAAATCATAAGGGAGGGAAAATATATTTACTATTCATTAAATGGAAGTGGATCATCATAAAGTTTTCATTCTCATCTTCATTTTGAGTAGGCAGAAGAGGAAGAGGAGGAATTGGTCCTGCTTTTGCAGGGGTGGTGGATGCAGAAGAAAATCCACATATATGTGGACCTGTACAGTTCAAATCTGTATTAAGGGTGATCTGTATTTTCCGATACTGCTATTTAGAAGTTAAAAAAAAAATCAAGGTGTAACCATAAAGCATTGTCTTACATGAATTAAAATAATGAATTCTGAATCTAGCAGTGGAAACGAATATGATAAATTACATCATGTGGCTTTCACCCTGAGGAATTTTCCCTTTTCCCTTCTGAACAGATCCAAAACGGCCTTACGCCGCAGCTGGAGCAGCACTCCCACCGCAGGTGCCACTGAAGGGAGCGTGAAGCTGCACGAGGGGTCCCAGGTCCTGCTCACGAGCTCCAACGAGATGGGCACTGTTAGGTACGTGGGCCCCACCGACTTTGCCTCAGGTATCTGGCTTGGACTCGAGCTCCGAAGCGCCAAGGGGAAAAATGATGGAGCAGTGGGTGATAAGCGCTATTTCACCTGTAAGCCAAACCACGGCGTGTTAGTTAGACCCAGCAGAGTGACCTATCGGGGAATTAATGGGTCAAAGCTTGTGGATGAGAATTGTTGAGTTAAACTTCTAAAATACTGAATGAGCTTGAATACGTACACACACACACACACACACACACACACACACACACACACGGAGTAAGTAAAGAGTCCATGGCAAATGGTTTATTTAGCCATTATTTAAAATTTGAAAATATAGTTATCTTCATAAAAACCATTACAACAATTCAGAGGGAGTCCTTTCAAAAGCCACAAGTATGAACTCTGCGAAATCATAGTTCTTTTAAAACAATTTTAAAATAAGTACTTTTTAAAGCTTTAGGTCCCAAGAAAATTCTGGGACTCAGGAAAAAATGTGCCATTAGGTGACCATCTACGGCATTACTTAGCTTATTTTGCTTCACTTTTGCTCTTAATATTGGATTTCTCTTAGTGCCATGATTGTGAGGGCTTTCACTAGCTTTGGTTAACATAAATGTTCACATTACCTTTACTGTCAGGCAGTTCTGGAGTTTTTCTTTCTGTGCTTTATTACTAATAAGTACAATAAGAATAATAGCTAAATGACTAGTGTATTTTTTATATTTTTTTGGTAAAATTTTTGTTCTTTCAGAAATGCCTCATTTAAAGACATGTTAGAACTTTGGAGCCAGAAGGGGCCTCAGGGACCCTCTAGCTCTGCCTGTCACCCATTGCCAATACTGAGATGGAAGCCTGTCCTACCCAGGCTCACTAACTAGCTGGTTAACAGAGCTAAGGATAGAACGTGGGTCTCCAGACTTGTGGCTCAGTGCTCTTTCCTCTGTACGAAGTGTGTAATCTCAGATTTTTCTTCTGCTGCTGCTCCATGATTTAAGGTTTATGAATTCAAGTCATAATTAGAATTTTTTGCACAAAGTTATTTAACTTCCTTATTGAGAATATTTGTAACACACACAAAGCACTTTTAAAACATGATGCACTTTTTATATTTGTGGAGAATTTGTCATCCTTTCCTCCTGTGATATGAAAAACATTTTAAAAAATGTATTTAACAGACGAGAGCAAATTGAGATGTGCTAGGAAGGATATATTTGTTATTCATTTAAATGTTTATGATTTCTGGACTTTTTTGGTTTTATTACTCATGAAACTGGTTGTGTGTTTGCTATGGTGGTGGTTCTACTTCCAATTGTCGTAGAGTTCAGCCTGTTGTAAAGCTATGGGACTATATTATGTTTTTATTTTTCTTCTTGAGCACATGTTAAACTAAGCTTCATATTAGAGTGATATAATAATGTAAAACATTTGTATTGTGGATATGTATTGAAGTTTTGTCCTGTATGTGTAAAGATTTATCTTTTATTGTAAATACTTAGACTTTAAACTACCACAGAAATATTGGAGCAGTTTGCTTTATAAGATTAAAAGTATCCTTCAGAATGGAGCTCACTTTGTGCTTAGAAATAATACGTTGAACTATTTTGCAATATACTATTTTAAATCTAAATTCTGTCACTTTGCTGCCTTTTTAAAATAGTGTGGTATTTCAAATATTGGTAGAGCTATTTTCCTGAAATACATTTGCAAATTAAGGCTGCTATATATTATTTTTATTGATTGAAGAAAATGACTGTACTGCAATTCAAAAGTAAACTTATTTTATTATACAGATTATTTCTTTAAAACTCTATTTATACTTTGACCTTAATGAAATCCATTATGGCACCAAACTTGGGTATCCATAATTTTTTGCTGTTAAATACAGAACACTTTAAGTTCGAAACAGTAATGCTGATACTGAATTTATTTTTGAAGTCAAAGAATCAATTGCTCTCTTCGTATTTAGGTTAGGATTATTAAATCCACATAACGTGTATGTTTATATACACATACAAATTAGGTGTTTTCGTTTGTGTTTCGCTTATTAAATGTCATTTAAAGTTCACTTCTTGAGCATTAATAAAAAGGGAAGCTGTTTGGTTTTGGAATGGTATCTTATCTTTTACCCCTGCTTGCAACTCTGCCTTTCTCAGTAACGTGGGGTACATGTGCTTTGAACTCTTTTTCCCCTTCTAGAGATGGCTTGGATTATCTATCCCTATAAACAGTCTTAACAAGTATCATACTTTTCACTTAACACATAAAGTTATGTTTTTAATCACCCTCCTATTAGTATTGTTTTGATGAACAGAGAATCACTTAAGAATGTTTCTATAGTTTTCCAAATCACTTTCTCTTATGAAGTTTCCTCATTTGTTTTTTAGGGTAGGATGGAACACTTTGAATTTAGATTTTAAAAATATAAATAATTACCTACTTTTTACTAAAACTTTGTTTTTATATTTTGGATAATTTGGGGGGAATATTTTTCAATTCTTAAAAATGTTCAGATGCATTTTTTTTTTTTTTGCTGAATATGAATTGTGACATTGTAATTTTCATATGAGTCCCTGGTACCCTCCTCCCAAGAGCTTCTGTTCCCCTCTCGTGTTTTATTTTTCTCGTTAGCATTTACTGCCTTTGGTCATGCTAAATTTTTGCTTACTATTTCTCTCTTCTGTCACTAGATTGAAAGGTGGGGTTTTTGACTATTTATCCCCAACTCCTAGAATAATACTTGGCACCTAGGAGATGCTTAGTAAATGCTGGTTGAGTGAACAGAGGCAGTGAAGGCCATGGGTTGTTGAAAATGTAGATACTACCTAGCTAGCTTCCGATGGGTGGCCTTGAGAGACTAGCCCACAGGACAGGTAAACTCGATGTGGAAGGAAGGAGGACAAGGGGGATTGGAATGTGGGAGCCCAGCTGAAGGGTGACAGAGAAGAGTTACGATGTCAAGGGGCGCAGAAGTAGGGGACTTGGGGACGACACGGTAGGGACACCCGAGGCAGCTCCTTTCTCTGTTTCCCAGGGCTAACTTTGAATTCATATTTTAATATGACAATTTAGAGAACATGGTAATACATGTGGTCTACTGTAGAGAGGATGTACTGGCTCCTACCCAATTGTGCACAACATTGATCTCCAGTGCTCAATATTTTTATTTCAGCTACTTATTTAGAATGTGTGATAATATTATTTAAACCACATTGACCAATGGCTAGAAACCTAATGTGCTAAGAATCATTCTTAATTGAGAAATAGATCTAGTAACTTTACTCAATGGATATTTGTTATTTAAATGATCGGCTCAGACATGTAATATGTATTCCCATGTTGCAAGCTGGTAGAATTTTTTTTCTTCATGCCCTTTGCTTCACTATACTTATTTATAATGCAGATACAGTAGCTAATACAAAACTGTCACATATATTTAATAATTGTTTAATGATATCCCTTGGTACATAGACCCTTATAAGCAGTATCAGATACACTGTTTGGATGTACAGCAAACATTCCTAACGGCGCTTGTGTCAAGGCTGAGCAAGTTAGACTTGTAGGACACACTAAGATTTCATTATAAGCAGAATATGATGCCTTTCTATAGGCAAAAAGATTTTTCCTACCAAGATGTTTGCTAATGCTTCTTTTTACAGGAGGGAAAAAGAAGTATGTGTGTGGGATTAGAGTAGACAAGCATGTGTTACTGATATTAACACAGTTTTACTACATTTGGTAGAAATGAAACTTCCTGGTTTATAGCTCTTCCTTAAGAACAACTCAAGGGGAAGGGGAACCTTCTATTCTCCTTTTAGAATGTCTTCCAAGGAATAGACTTTTTGTAATGATAAATCAGCAGCAAATTTCATCATTTACTACCCCTTTCAAATAGGGAAGTGTGGTGGTCCTGGTGGGCTGAGGAGGGGCGGGGAGTTCTGGATGATGTAAAGATATTAATATTTCAGGTGTTTAAATTGAGGCTATTAGAATATAACCTGTTCCCAGTGATCACTGGTGTCATTTTAAAAATGCTCATAAATCTGATGTAAGCTCAGCTCTGAAATCCTAAGTGAACCCAGATATGTGAGTTTATGCTGCTGTGGACATTTACACACCCCCTCCCTCCAGCAGATTTCCCTGTCAGGAGGAGTTTGGTGTCAGTATTGAATAGTCAGAGTTGTTTGAATTGGCTAAATACAATCAAATAGGAAGTTTCAGAAATCTACCTACCCTGTATGGAATTGGAGTTTTAGGTATCTCTAAAGCATAAGAGTGTGCAAATGCCGGGTCTGTCTGGACCTGTCCATCTTACGGAGGTGAAGTTCTTTCACTTCCAGCCTCATAGGGCCCTTCATGGCTTTCCTTGTAGTAGACTTAAATTACTGAAGACTGAACTAATTATTATTTTTCACATAACAAATCAAATCAGGCTGACATGGAAATGAATCATGTTAAAATTATATGCACAGCTTCAAGCCTTTTCTAAAACAATTCTTTCTCTACTGCGTCCTCTGGGAGTCAGCTTAAAACTCAGTCAACGGTGTTAATGACATTGGCTGCCCCTGACAGCCCTTGTTATGAAGGACAGGTGTTTCTATCCAATATCTTTGGAAAAAATATCCTAAAATGGATTTTTAAATGCATTTCAGTAGTCATAAAGAGTCTCACATGGGTGGCGGGGAAAGTGGATTTTGCATTATAGACGACATAGAGCATTAGAGCCGAAGAGTCAAGCCCAAAATTATAGTCACCTTTACTGAACCTGCTGATAAAAATAACTTCTAGTAAGAATTCCAATAGATTATAGATACTAGTTAAAAATAGTGTGATTTTTTTTTTTTTCAAATGGTCTTTTCTCTTTCTTGAAAGGAAGAGAGCTTAGGGAATTAAGAAATAGCATGAGGTTCCTGAGGCCTCAGTTCACACTCCCTGGTGGGTGGCAAAGGAAAATCCAGCGTAATGCTCTGCTTTCATTTCTTATCCTTTATAAAACATTACCAGCCGCTCACTGGTACATACATGAGGAAAAAGAATTTCTGCCTTCAAAATTACTTTATTTCTCCCGAGAACTGTGAAATACGGTATAAATATTACTTTGAGAGCAATGCAAAAAGATTTAAATTGGTTTTTTTTTCTCGATCATTAGATGCAGTAAAATGTAGGAAATTACCCTACAGTCTTCACAATCTTATCTTTGTGGGGTGTCTGAGTTGGCCGTCTTTTTGGATTCCCTGTTTCCAGATCTACTATAAAGCCTTGTGATTCACAACAGGTTTCCAGAAATTGCCATCAGATGGCAGTGGGAATCTCTATAAACCTGAGAAGAGGGATTCTGTCTAATCCTGTGGTAATTAGGAGAGGGGACTCCTGTTCTTAATGAGTTCCCGTCACAAGGGGACCCAGATGCATCGTGGAGGAGCGCCGGAATCCACGGATACTTCCTGCTCCCAAACACCTGGCTCGCTCTGGGCACTGCCACCTTGTGTTGGGAACGGGTACCGAGAGGTCCACGTTGACAGCTGACAGCAAGAGCAACAGATGTATCGCCAAATATTAGGTGTGGAAAGATAGCTTTTAACGATTTTGCTTTGCTAATAAGGCTGCAATTGTGGCAAATGTAACAAAAGAGAAATAAGGGGTGTGACACTGAAGGCACGGAGTCGTTAAATGGACGTGACTCTTCACAACCCTGCCGGCTTCGCTGCTTTCCCAAGGCCACCCCTGGTTAACCTCGTTTTGCTGTGGTAAGGACTTCATGATTCACTAAGGAGATCTTTACATAAACAGAGGACGGATACTAAACTTTCTGGTCTACTTCTGTATAAAGATTACATATAATCCGTCTCACTGGGATGCGAATCAGAGGCGAGGACACGTACGTACACACACACACACACACACACACACACACACACACACACACACACACACACCCCACACACACACCCCACACACACACACCCACACACACCCCCCCCCCCCCCCCCCCCCGTCGTGTCCTGCTGACTGTGGGCTGGGTGTTGGGATTTACCTCACACAGGTAAAGTTTTATAGAATCACAGACTTCAGAGTTGGAAGGGACCTTTGAGACCAAACCCTTTCTTTTTTTAAAAGAGAAAATGAGAGTTTCAGTAACTGGAGTCACATAGGTAGGTGATGACAGTCTAGTCCTAGTCTAGTCTAGTCTCTTACCACCTGCCCGGTCTGCTTGCTGTTTTCTCCAGTAATCCATGAGTGCTAAACCAGCCAAGATGATACACTCATCCAAAATTTCATTAATCTGATATCCATAGATATTGGCAAATAACCTCTTTTGATGTGCAAATATTCTAGGGAGAATCACTACCCTAGTTGCTAAGGCTCGGTGTGAGTTAGTTTAATGAGACTGGCCTTCAACTAACACCAGCTGAAACGAGCATTTAGTGATTGTGGGGGAATAATTGTGGGTAATTGCTGATGAGGAGGCTGTAGGCCTTAGGAGATGGATGGAGTTGGGGGAAAGCCCGAGGGAGTGTCGAGAAGCAGAATGTAAGAAATGGATGTGCGAAGGCACTCAAAACTAACTTTGGTATTTGCGGTTTTTCTGAGGTTAGACTAGTTGTGCCATCTCTACCTGAGAAGGATGACACCCTTGTTTTACATTTACTGAACGCTGAAGAGAGGAAGGTGGTTGCCGTAGTTTTGTGGTCATAGTTCATGTAACCCCCTCCCCCTCCAAATTGTATATAATAATCTGTTCTTACCGAGCTTTTCATATGTTTTACAGTTGTTAAGCTAGATTTAAAAATAGACTTATACTTGAGTAGAGCATTAAAAATTAAATACACCTATTCAGGATACCAAATAAAAATTCTTAATAGAAGCCTTACTGTTTGTTCTTAGTAATTATCTTTTTATTTTAGGGCATCATGTTGAGCGTTACGGAATGCTGGTTTTGTTTTGTATGTTCACACAACAACACGGGGAGCCATCTGCTGCAGTGAAATTTGCAGAGTCCAATTGTGTGTTCTTTAAGGACCCATTTAAAACGTCATTAGCTAAAGACAGATTGACAACACACTTCATGCAGTTTTATGAATCTTGTCATGGGAAGTCTGTTATTTAGAGTAGTTTGAATTTCATATGCATCTTGTTTTAGGTTTGCCGAACTCATAGGAATCTTAATCCTGCTATTGCTAGGGAAAATCTATTAAAATAGCCTGATCACTAGAATTTCTTGGTGATGTGCCTTGTGAACTTGGATGTAAAGGCCCCACATTTCACAGAATAAAGTTAATCTGCAGTTACGTAATATTTTACTGCTACAGGGTTTGCCAAGTACTATATGGAGATGCCGAAACTTTTAAAAAGAGAATTACTCAAATTGATTAGCTTCTTTTTGTGATGTTTGTTTTGAAAATGGTAGGGAGTCTTGGAGGGCTTGGCTCTGGTAGGATTCTTGCTACTGTCAGTAAAGTTACAGTCAGGAGGAATACGTGCTGGTGTTCTGTTGCATGGTAGGGTGGCTATAGTTAACAATACTGTGTATTTCAAAACAGTGAGAAGAGAGGATTTTGAATGTTCCCACCACAAAGAAATATGTGAGGTGTTGAATATGCTACATACCCTGATTTGATTATTGAAACATCACACTGTACCCCATAAATATGAACAATTATTATGTATCAATAAAAACAAAATGGCAGCAAAAAAAATGAGTGACAGATAAAGTCAAACATGGTACAAATGGAAGAACCAAGAGAGCTGGATGTGGGTGGGTACAAGAGCTAACACCGAGTGTGAGGGCAGGGATGGATGCGTAGACAGTCTGGCGTGCACCCAGCCCCACGTCACTTGGGGACTCCTGAGGAGTAAGAGCGGCTGCTTCTGCTTTCCCACAGTTTATGATCCCCCTAAGGGGGCAAGGAGAGGAAGGTATTGTTCTTTTACATATGGAGACATGGAGGTACCAACAGGCCACATAACCCAAGAGGAGTCAGGACTCAGACCCTAACTGGTGGAAGAGAATCTAGTCTTCTAACTACTAAGTAGGGCATACTCTTAGAAAAAAGTTTCTTCCTGCTATGTTGAATTGGTATAATTTTGAGGTGCCACATTTTAACAAACCCCGGGCATTTCTTTGCTAGTTTCCCAGTGGAACAGTTGTGAACTTTTGGTGGGCTTCTTCATATGCATGGAATATAAGTAATTATACCAGTCTATGGCTTAAGTAACATAGCTGCTGCAGACTGTAGTTTGTGCCTGTTCACATTCTAGGTGGAGCTTTCTATCATGGTTAATAAATGTATCCGAGTCCATAGCATCTGCAGGGATTGCCGTAGCCATATGGCTAGAGTGAGATTCAAGGGACCACCGTCCAGATTAATGTCATGCTGCTACCTCACAGTTACACCAAGTTAAATGAAACATCTTACGGGCACCACATCTCAGTGGACTTGTTTATTAGCTTATCCATGTATACAGGCTTTGAAGACTTGACTATTATTTACACAAAAACTGATACCAATAAAGACAATTAAAGAAAATCAACAAATCAATCTCTGTGGTAGAAAGGCACAACCTGAAAATGTAATGGATTTGTAGTTTTTAAGAGTGGAAGGAATAAGCTATCTACCCCTGCCCCCGTCCATTAATAATGATAAAGAGTTGGCTATTTAACCATGTAGCTCACACCCTGCTTAATTGGTTACTGGTTTGACAAATATAACATGAAATTGTTTTTCTCAGTTATTGACAGCTCCTCTGTCATTGTCCTTTAGGAGGGACAGTGAAATTCTTGAGCCCCTTCTGGTGGTTTGTGAGTTCAAAGAATGTTTATATGATTAGACTAATTTTGTACCTGGCATGAACCAAACTTTACTGATACAGTTAGAGATGAGTCCATTGATGTTTCATCTCCATGTATGTCTGACGAAAATATTTTTGGCAGTTAAGCAGATAAGGAAAAGCAGTCCCCAGGGTGTCCCTACTCCTACAAATGTACACCACCACCAACTCTAGGGCAAGGCAGCTGCCTTTGGAGGAGTGAACAGTTGTCTGATGTTGGCTTAGAGGATGATGACTTTCCCATATTCAAAGTGATGCTTTTAATGTAGGTGAAACTGAGCAGGTGGGGAAAAGGCATAAATAGATATACATGTACATGTATGTATAAATATAGATATATATACACACAGAGTCCTTTTGTTTGGGAATGTTTAGAAACTAGCAAGTAATAAAATATGCTTTCCTCTCAAAGAGATGCTTTGGCACAACTACCACCAGGAAAGAAACTGGGCGTGAGAATAGAGGAGAAGCAGAAAGAAAGAATGAAGTGAAAACTTAGTGGTAAAACATTATTGCATAAGTATGTGTGTAACATTTAACAGATTCTCAATTCATTTTCAGGGAAATTAATTCCATCTGCCGAAACCAAGTTCAGAACTCCCACTATGACATGTCAATTCTCCAAGCGTTCCTTAATTCCTTGCTTCATTGCCACCCAGAGGAAAACTTCTTTGTTTTTAATCTACACTTGATGTTTATGCAAATTATGCTATGTGTATTTCAGCACATGTGTGTTCCCAGTGTACCAGGACCACATGACTAAGGGAGAGAACGCTCAGGTTGGCAGTGGAAGGAAAGAAGCGGCATTAGGCCCTCTCCTTAGGACGGCTGGGAGGGTCTGTTCCCCCCCAGCCAGTGCATCGCTTCAGGGAGAAACTGCGGTTTGGTGGACTTCACAGCTGAAACTGATGGAAGGTTTTGGCCTAAGATGTATTGACACTTACGCCCACAAATGGACATGTTTCTATGCTTCCATGTATCACTGCTGCTTAAAATTTTTGTTTTTAAATGATCAGAGTTTAATTAGTGGAAAGTTTTAAAAGAAGTAATTTAAGCCTTGAATTTTAAATCCAGTAGGAAACCTCACACTCAGTTTTTCACTTTTAGTAGGAGGATTTTAAGGCATGAGGTATATTAGTAGGACGATTGAATCTCTGGATCTGTATTGGTGTTTTCTTCATACTCAAAGCACTTGGAATGTATGTATTTCATTTAGATGAATATATACACAACTTTTTCCTATTCTACTGGAACTATTCACGACATTTTTTTTTTAAACAATCAGTGATGAATCAGCACAATTAAAAGCATCTAACCATCATCTAAAGTGACATTTCAGTTAGTTGTCTATGATTTTTCTTTTTTTCTTTTTCAAGTAAAGAATGTCTTTCCCCATGCTGAGTCATTACAGGTAACTCCTTTATTTCTGTTCCCTCTCCCGTCAAATGGTTCATGTCCACATCAACAAGGTCAGGAAACGTCTATGACTCCGACTATGAGACACATGAGCAGCTAATTCTGACTACATTGAAGCAGAGCACACACAATTTAAAAGAAGCATAAGGAAGTATACAGCGACCATGCATAAAAACCTTATGCAACCACATCTGGGCCTTATATTTATCACTCGTTCTTATGATATTTTCTTCTTTCGAAAGAATAGGATGAACCCATGCTCAAAACCTTTCTAAAGCATTTTGAAATTACAGCTCTTTATGTGGCACTTCAAAACAAGTTGGCACAAAATGAAAAGTGACGTTTGGTCTCTGGTTTATGGAGGAGCCGTTACCTCTGCCTCCTCCAAGGGCTCAGGGCTCCCAGGGAAGAGAACGAGTGCGCCGGCTCAGGGCCCAGGCTGGTTCACACTATTCTTGTTTTTCAGAATGGTGTCCTCGTAGTGACTAGTTCCAGGGGCAGTGGTGGCCTCCAAAGGCAAGCCCTGTTGCTGGTAGCCGTAGTTGACATTCCCACAGGGGAAGTGACGTAGCCTGAACAGAGGCACCTCCTTCATGTTGGCAGTCAGCGAAGACGGCTCTAGGAGCAGAGAGGCCCCAGGGAGTCTACCAGTCGCAACATTGGGTGGGACAGTACAGCTTCCCTCGCGCCCCAGGTTTCCCCTCTCCTGTTGCTGCTTCTTGGCTACAGGATTGTTCTTTTTGGTGGGTTTCTCTGTAAACCATGAGCCATAAGTTGGGTTCCACAAGCTGGTGGGTTTGTTTCTGGATCCCTGGACCTTGTGCAGCTCCGACGGTGGGTTGGACTGAGAGAATGCCATGTTGACGTGTCCCCCTTCCGCAACCGGCCCTCTAGGGACTCGGACAGAGACCTCTGCCGCTGTGGGTTTCTTAACAGCTTTGCCAGAGGAGGTGGTAGGCGGAGGAGGTGGGGCAGCTGGACCGCGCTCCTCCTCACGCTTGGCCTGTTGAGGGGAGACTAGGAGAGGAGGGATCCCCTCGGGGTCCTTGGGCCGCACGGGCACTTTCTCTTCCTCTTCCATAAGTGGACCATACTCTATCGGCAAAGCGGTATTGATTACATCTGGGTCCTGCGGTAGGAGAAATGAATTGATTAAAAACTTTGGCTCACAGACAAATGCTGGATCTGGAAGATACCTTAGAGATGATCTCATCTATGGTTATTTTACAGATGAGGAAACCATTCAATATTTATTGAGAATATATTAACTTATAGGCACTGGAGCATAAGAAATGAATGGGAAGTCATCCTTATCCTTGAAGGTTTTAGAGCTGCAGCCCCAACCCCCAGGTCTTGGACTGAGACCCATCTGGGGCCTGTTAGGGACTGGGCTGCACAGCAGGGGATGAGCGGCAGGCGAGCAGGCGAAGCCGCCTCTGTATTTACAGCCGCTCCCATCACTCGCATCACCGCCTGAGCTCCGCCTCCTGTCAGGTCAGTCACTGTCTCCCACCACCCCCAGATGGGACCGTCTAGTTGCAGGAAAACAAACTCAGGGCTCCCACTGAGTCTGCATTATGATGAGTTGTATAATTATTTCATTATATATTACAATGTAATAATAATAAAGTACATAATAAATGTAATGCACTTGAATCATCCAGAAACCATCTCCCCCTCCTCCCCACCAGCTGGTCGATGGAAAATGTCCTCTATGAAACTGGTCCCTGATGCCAAAAAGGTTGGGGACCACTGCCTTAAAGGATAAGCACTGTGCTGGAAGTTGTACAAGTGCTAGGAGGGGGTGTTGGGAAGCACCCATTGCCCGGGACAGGGGAGTGGGATCAGGAGAGGCTTGGCACTGGAGGAGACTTTTGGCCAAGCTTTACAGATTAGTGGAATTTTTTAAAAAAATCTTTAAATTATTATTTTTTATTATTCCAGTCTATTCCCAATAAAAACTGTGCAACTTCAAAAAAAAAAAAACACAAAAAAAACAAAAACCCTATATGTTTGACTTCAAGTGTTGGAATTGGGGAGTGAGAAACACACACCTTGTTAGCTTACGAGGTTTATTTTTTGTTCTCTTCCTAGCTGCCTCCCACTTCCATCATATTTGGATGGGTTACACTTGATTATAGTTTTTCCTGTGCTATATCATCACATGTGCAGATGTCACAATGCTGAGGTTTTTAACTAGTTTGGATGTGAGGGGCCCTTTGTGGAACCCAGGAAATGCTAAAGTGCTACGAGGAAAACCATTTACAAAAGCAACTTTGTGCCAGATCATTCTTCACAGCAATAGATTGTAAGCATAGAAGAGCAGAAGCAGTTGCCAGAGGTTTAAGGAGAATTTGTGGAAGAAAACTTAAATTTGGTGAAATTTAATTCATTAATATTTTATGCAAATTGGGAAAGACCACTATTACTTGAGTTTAGCAAAAAGCACATTAGTAGTCATCAGTAAAAGAGTTTAAAAATAAAAAATATTCTGACTTTTAAAAATTCTTCAGTTCCCTCCCTGTTTATTATTAATTTCCATAATTGAGTCACTTAAAATATTCTGAGTGAAACCACCCACTTTTAAGAGGGATGTTATATACTTTGGGGAAAAATACTCCAAAAAAGATATGTGTGTGTGTATATACATATATATATATATATATATGTTGATGTTTTCTATTCATATTGCAACATAATAACCTAAAATGTCATTAAACAAAATTCTCTGGAAGAGCCCCCAGTCAATTAATACATGAAGTCTGTCTAGAGTAAAACCCCACTTTATCTGTCTGAGCTGAACAGCCTGTGAGGATGGAATAGTGAGATTAGAAAATGACAATAGTCTGAAAATGTGCCCATCCTTTGTCACAATGAAGAGGATGGGATTTGAAGAGGTAGTGGGTCATTGTTTCAATCTTGTAAAATACTCTCAGAATGAGCTATCCTGGCAGAATGAGAGGCCAGAGAGGGAAAGGAAGCAGGTAATAGAACAGAGGAGGTGACCTGACAGAGCAGAGTCCCCAAGGGGTAGCAGGTGACGCAGGTGGAAAGAGGAGCCTGGGAGAGGAGAAGGGACTGGGAGGGAGGAGATGAAAAGGGCTGTAGGCACAGCGAGGTTTGTGTCGGAGACAGGGAGGAACCCGAGGGTGTTCCCACTTGCCAGTCTCTGCACTCTTGCCGAGGGGGAAGACATAGTCTGTGAAATCTCAGGGACAGACGTGAATATTTAGAGTCATTACTGAAGGAAATGGGAGAGGGATCTCCTTACGGACCCACAGGATTGCTAGAAAACTGTCTGACTTGGGCGTCCTCTCCCAGCCTTAACTCCTCATCTGTAAAATGGGGACATTTTATGTTCCTCAATAAGGATAAAATGAAATACAAAAAAGTGCTTCGTGTAGTACAAAGGCTATTACAGATGCTATACAGACGCTACTGATGATGTTATAACTTCCTCAGATTACTTTGAATTTTCATTCTCTTAATCCCTCTGACATATATAGGCATATAATTTAGCAATTATATGTTGTTCATTATTTCAAATGTTGTTATTTCTCCAGCCAAGCTATAAAATATTTGAGAGCGTGTTCCATACTTCTCTGAAGCTTTAATTTTGTCTAATAAAACATTTGGAACCCAATAGGGACTTGGCTAATACTTGCTAATTGAATCGATTCCCTGATATTACAGAGTATCTGGCACTGTGTCACATGTTGGTGAAGAAAGTGGAAGTCACTAGTATTTTTTTTACAAAATGGGCAAACTGAGACATCAGTTGTGACATTTTATAAATAATTAATATTCATTCTTGTGACCATTGCTCTTATTCTCAGAAAGGTTTAACTCATTTCATATTGTTGTATTTTCTATCTTTAAGCCTTTTCCATATAGAGTAATGTTGGCCAAGGGGAAAAAAAACGTGTATACCTGGGTGCAGTATTCAATCCTCTCCAAAATTATGGCAAAATTGGGCCTGTCTTCAGGCTGATGTTGCCAGCACTGAGTCATTATCCGGTATCTAAAAGAATAAGCAGGTTAGTTAAAATCAAGAGAAGCACGGGATGAAAAATACATTTCTCCTAGCACTTTTATAATTGGGACCAGAGTTGGCACAAATGTCTATGAGGATGGGAACTCATCTAGGTCCCATGTGGTTGGCATATGCTGCCCCCTGCTGATAAGCCAAGGAATGGCGCCCAGGTGTAAAGGTATAATAACCCAAGCGCCTGGACACTGACATCCTGGAGTTTACGTTAAATATGGCTCCCTTCCTTCCGTTCCTGAATTCAAGCCACTTCTGGGACAGAATATTCTGATTCTATTTGCCATCTGCTTTGCTCGTGGGAAGGAGATGAGGGATGCCAGACAGAGCAGCAGAAAACTCAGGGAATGGTGATCTTTAAAGGAGACTCAGACATACGGTGAGGGACTGCAGGGGCTGAATCTGGGACACAGATTCCTAGGAGGCGCTTGAGGGGTGTAGACGCGGTGATAGAGGCGGTGAGTCTGTAGCCTTAAGCTGGAGAGTGGATACTTTGTCTGGGTTGGCATTATTGCTTTTGAAGGGCTGGAAGACTGACCCATCTCATTCAAGTCACAGACACATTCCTACCTTGGGGCACTTTGAGTGAGGACAACCATCTGCTCTTTTATTTTAAAGAAGCACAGGTGGCCCCAGATATTTTTTAGAAAGAAAAACTGTGCTTAGTAACTAGTAGAAATGTTCCTAAAAGAGTCATACACAGGCCCAGGGCAGTTCTTAGGTGGATCCATCCGTCCTCCACTGGTGACGAACTCCAAAACTTCCTGGTTGCTCTTGCTAGGGTATGGCATATATCCAAGAGAAAATATCTCCCACAGCAGCACTCCAAAGGACCTGAGCCAGGACAGAAGATAGGGACACGGATGTGGACACACACACCCACACATGCACACACAGATGTAACATTTTAATCTTTTTTCATTATAACTTTTTCCATGAGAGATAATTCTTAAGATGCAGAAAAAAGATGCTCCATTAAAAGATAACCACTGTTATGTTTTTTTTTTTGTTTCAGTCACGTTTCCGTACTTAGATTTTTTTTACTTAGTTGCAATTATATTCAATGTGTAATTTTGAACCTTGATATTTTTGCACATTTCATTATGAACATTTTCCATTTTAATATATTTTATAAATAGAATTTGAAAAGTCTGTATAAAACGTTCCATTGAGTAGCTGTGCCATAATTTGCCTTATCATTTCCACATGGTTTTCAATTTTCAAAATATTTAAAATATTTAAAATACTATGATGAACATCTTGAAGCATTTTTGAAAGGAGGATTTCCTTCGGATAAATTCTCTGAATTACTAGATTAAGATAATCTAGTACAATGTAGGATAGATCATTCTAGTAGAATAACTAGATCAAAAGAATATGAACATTGAAAAATTCTTGATGCATATTATTGATTTGATTTCCAAAAGTGTCTGTTCATCTACCAATATCGTGCAGTAGTAAGGCACCCTCACCAATATTGAGTGTTCTTATTAATGATGACAACTCTTGCTGATTTTAAGGCAAGGTAGAACATTTTAAATTATGTTTATTGACTTGAATTATGTTTATGCTTGTTGACATTCAACATGGTTGAATGTCTTCCCAAGTGTTTGTTTATTAATTCACGTCATTTTTTTCTCCTGTGAATTGTCTATTCATATCTTTTGCCCATTTTAATCCACTGAGGCAAATTGTTTTGGTATCTTTCAATTTTCTTTTTGATTTGTAGATACTCTTTACATAGAAAGATGTTAACCCTTTATCAAAAATTAAAATGCTTCCATTAGTTGCTTTCTATTTTACTTTTTGACATACTAAAGTTTTTTATTAAGTAGTCAAATCTATTTTTAAAAAATTTTGTGATTTCCTCCATTTATTTTATAGTTAAACAATCTTCCCTTCACCAAAGATTAGATAAATATTTGCTATTTTCTTTTAGTGTTTTTCTCTCTTCTCAAATCCAGTGAGAATTTAACTTGGTGTACAGTGTAAGGATCTAAATTGATTTGTTTTTCTAAACAGCTATACTTTACTATTCATAAAATAATTTCCCCCTTACCTATTGACTTATGATTAAAAACAGGTCTGTTTCAGGGCTGTCTCTTCATCCGTCTGTTTGTCTGCTTCTTGGATTGGTATTATTCCATTTTACTTTTTGTGTATTTGCTTTAATATCTGATAGGGTATTTTTTATCTTATTTGTCTTTTTTAAAAAATATTTGATTTCTTAGTTGTTATTTGTTTTAAATAAGCTTTAAGATGATTTTTATCATGTTCCAAAATAATCTTTGATATTTTGATTAAAATTTAAACCTTTAATTTGTTAGCTTTTTGATAAGGAAAGCCTATCTTTGTTTTAGCATCTGGTTGTAGTTTTCTGATGTAAATAAATATTACCACAAAAAATTATAGAGAACTATAGCTCTTCATCTTCTAAGAGACGTGAAGTGCTTTTATTGTTGTCATCTTGGTGAAATTTCGAAGACTCTAGTGAGAAGGATTGGGCAAAGATATTTTCTGTATTTTTCAGGTGAGAAGGTTGAAGCAGAGATGATTATACAGCTACGCTGAGATGAGCTGGAACACATTATTAGATTTCTTGATTCTACTACCTATAGATTACCTGGCACATATATTTTTGCTCTCTGTTTGGTGGTATTTCTGTCCTCCAAGGCAAAACAAAACAGGCAAAATCAAACAAGTAAGAAACTGGCAACAAGGCCTAAAGAATTACAGCTATATGTTTTCTGCTTGTAAATAGATAAATATAGATCATAGTATTCTTTGAGAGAACTAGAATATAGATTGCAAGTAAATCCTTATTTTCTTAGTTTAGAGTTCAAGAGAACAGGAAGTAGTATTGATTGTAGAACTTTGATAATTCCAGGCAAGTAGGATTATCATATTTACAAATGACAATGCAGGAGTACCAGTTAAATTTGAATTCTAGATAAATAACAATTACTTGTTTTAGTATAAGTATATCCCAAATATTATATGGGTCATACTTAAACTAAAAAGCTGTTTAATGTGCATCTGAAATTCAGTTTTAACTGGCCATTTGTATTTTATCTAGCCACCCCTACAGATAAGGTAAATCTATATTTTGTATGATAGATGGTTCTTTAATCACTTGCAAGCCTGCCCTAAATAGGAGGAATGAAGCTCAAAGCTTTGCATCAAAGCATTCAAAATCAAATAAAAATAAGTATTTTTTAAAATCCCATTCTTACTCTCTTGGTATTAAACTTGCTCTGCCTGAAATTATAGAAATAGCATAAATGATTGCTGATTAAACTATTTTAAATATTCAAATCAATTAAGATAGCATAATATGATGCAAACATTGTTAAGATCATGAACTGTGCTGTATCAGCCCTTAAAAGCTGAATTTTATTGTCCTTTGATCACAACCTGGGGGTGGGAGATCGTCTCCAGGTGTGGTAGAGGGCGAGGGTGAGGCATGTTCTTAGGAAAGACAGGAGCCAGAGATTCTTGTACTATCCTTAAGTGTCCAGCAGCAGGTTCCACAGTCTTTGCAATTCTCTGAGCTTCAGGTCCATATATCAGTACCCACTCATCACCACTGGCCAGTTTTAACAGGCAACTCCAACTTAACCTGTCCAGGCAGAACTCTTTCTGCACCCAAACCATCTCCTTTTTTCTTTCCCTGTTCAGCGGCACTTCTGCCCCTCCGTTTGCTCAAGCTCCAAACCTGGGAGTCATCCTTGACTCCACTCTCACACCCCCGCCCCCTCCACTCCCAGCACTGGCAGTCCTGTAACTCTGCCCTCAAGGGAGATCGTGAATCTGACCACCTGGCACGACCTCCACTGCCACGGCCAAGACAAAGCCCCTCATCTCTCACCTTTCTCTTACCCACCTCTACTCTATTTCCAATGGCAGCCAGAGGGATTTTTAAGAAAACAAAGATCACGTTGCACTCCTGCTTACAGTCCTCCACTGGCTTCCCAATGTGCTTGGAGCAAACTCCACGTTCCCTCCTGTGAGTTCTAGGGCACCGCTGGTCCTCACCCTGCCTGACACTTCTTCCCAACTGCCACTCGCCCTGGGCTCCCTCAGCTCTGGCCATGAAGGCTGTCTTCCTTCCCCCGCAATCCTCCAGCAAGCTGGGCTTGTTCCCATGGTCTGCTCCTGCTGTCTTTCCTATTGAAGTCACCTCCTCCAGGGAGCCTTCCCCTCCACCTTTGCTGTAACAGAACAGCTTCCGCTTTCTTGTCTCAGAGCACTTACCAGTATCTGAAGTTACATAATTCATTCGCTTAAGCACTTTATTCATGAAACAATGTAAGCCTTGAGAAATAAAAGTAATATAATAGATATCCGTGTATCTGGATGTTAATGTTTTGACTTATTTGTGTCAGTTCTCCCTTTCTTTTTGAAGAAATAAAATAGATACAGGTAAGCCCCACCTCCATCCTCCCTCCCTCCCTCCCCTCCACCGAAGTTGGAAAGTAGCCCTCCCTGTATGTTTTCACATTTTGAAATAATGTGTGAGAGCATAAACAATAAAGACTGTATATTATGGACTTATTTTTTTGTTTTGTTTTGTGGAATTATACATAAATGATATCCTACTCCTTTCTGTACCTTATGTTTTCCCACTAAACATTGTTTTTGAGATCCATCTATGTTGATAAAGATTTGTGGTAGGTTTGGTGTGTTCTTTTACACTGCTGAATAGTTTGCCTACCGGCAAGTAAACCACTGTTTATTTTCCCATCCCCTACTTGAGGGGTGGTTAGGTTGTTTTTGCTTTTTCTCTGCTGTAAACAATGTTGCAGATGAACATCCTTGCCCAAGTCTATTTGTGGCAACACTTAAAACTAGAATGTTGGGTCATAGAATTTGCATGTGTTAAAGGCAATTACTTAATGACTTAAATTACTCTCTGTCTCTGGAGAGGCGAGGTTGCTGGCGCTCTAGCTTTGGTGCACGTCAGAATCACCAGGCAGGCTTGTTAAAATGCAGATTGCTGGGCTGCAGCCCTAGGGTTTCTGTTTCCTTAGGCCTGGAGGTGGGAGCTGAGAATGTGCCTTTCCAGCAAGTTTCCAGGCAATGCTGCTGTGGCCGAACTATGGACCACACTTTGAGAACCACTCGGTTAGGCTAAGCCAAATCTCACTGGCTTACAAACAACAAAGGCTCCCAACGAGAGTCAGAAAGGGGGCTCTGGCCTTTGTGGCTATACTGCCTGATGACATTATCTCCACATCAGTCAGGGTTTTAGAACGTGGAGGACGTTCATTCACCATCTTCCTGGCTTTCCTGTGTTGCTGGTAAGATACTCGATGTCATTTGGATTCCCTATCTTTAGTCTTTGGCCATTTTTCCTTTTAATTATTATATTTTTTCTTTGGAAGCTTGCACACTCTTCATCACCATTGCTCTGAAATTTCATGATGATGATGTTCTCTCATGTGGTCCTTTTTATCCATGGTGCTTGGCACTCAGGGAATGCTTTCATTCTGGAAATTTGCGTCCTGTTCTAGGAAATCTTGAGTTATTTCTTTGATCTTTCTGGGACTCCTATTTTGTCAGCTAATTGGATCTATTGATCTAATCCTCTTGATTTTCTTATCTTTTCTTTCCCAACTCTTTATAGTTGTTTTCTTTTCTATAAGATTTATATAGCTCCATATCCCAACCTTGCTATTTTACAATTCTGTCATATTTTTTTAAAAAACTTTATTTTTCAGAACAGTTCAAAGTTTGAAGACATTGTGAATACAAAGTGTTCCCATGTCACCCACACTCAGGCCCTGCTATTTTTAGCATCACATTATTATAATACATACATTTGTTATAATTAATGAGCCATTATTAAGGCATTATTGACCAAAACTCATATACTATTCAGATTTCCTTAGTTTTTAATGAATCTCCTTTTTCTATTCCAGAATCCCATTAATACATCATCTTACATTTAGTTGTCATGTTTTCTTGGGCTCCTCTCTACCATGACACTTTCTCAGACTTTCCTTGTTCTTTATGACCTTGACAGGGTGGAGGGGTGCTGGTCAGGGATTTTTATAGAACCCCTTCAATTTAGATTTGTTTTTTCATGATTAGAGTGGGCTTATGAGATTTGGGGAGAAAGACCACAGAGCCAAAATGCCATTTTCATCACACCAGATCAAGGGTACATGCTGTCAACATGACTTATTGTCACTGTTGATGTTGACCTTGACCACCTGGCAGAGGTTGTGTTAATCAGGTCTGTCCACTGTGGAGTTTTCCTTTTCTCCTCCACCCTGCACTCTTTGCCTGCAGCCCACATGGGCTTCAGAGGGGTTATACTCTCTCTCCTTGAGGGCTGCTTTCATATTTTTATTTCCAAGAGCTTTTCCCTCTTAAATGTATTATTTTTATTTTTTTGAGACAGAGTCTCACTCTGTTGCCTGGGCTGTAGTGCTGTGGCGTTAGCCTAGCTCACAGCAACCTCAAACTCCTGGGCTCAAACGATCCTCCGGCCTCAGCCTCCCGAGTAGCTGGGACTATAGGCACGCACCACCATGCCTGGCTAATTTTTTTCTATATATTTTTAGTTGTGCAGCTAATTTCTTTCTATTTTTTTTTTTTTTTGAGACAGAGTCTCACTCTGTTGCCCAGGCTAGGGTGAGTGGCGTGGTGGTAGCCTTGCTCACAGCAACCTCAAACTCCTGGGCTCAGGCGATCCTCCTGCCTCAGCCTCCCAAGTAGGTGGGACTACAGGCATGTGCCACCATGCCCGGCTAAGTTTTTCTATATATATTAGTTGGCCAATTAATTTCTTTCTATTGATAGTAGAGATGGGGTCTCGCTCTTGCTCAGGCTGGTTTCGAACTCCTGACCTCGAGCAATCCGCCCGCCTCAGCCTCCCAGAGTGCTAGGATTACAGGCATGAGCCACCACGCCCGGCCTTCTTTCTATTTTTAATGGAGACAGGGTTTCGCTCTTGCTCAGGCTGGTCTTGAACTCCTGAGCTAAAACGATCCTCCTGCCTTGGCCTCCCAGAGTGTTAGGATTACAGGTGTGAGCCACCATGCCCGGCCTAAAAGTATTATTTTAAATAACCTTTTATCCTCTGTTTATGGTGGCAATATTGTTTATCTTTCTGAGGATATTATAGTTTTTAAAAAAGTTTTCCTAAGTGTTTTACATTTTTCTTCCTCTAAGTTCCTTTTTAAAAGCTTGTTTTCTTCAGATTAGACTCTTTTCTCACATGTTGATTCTTGGCTGTCTGTTCATATTTGAAGACTGGGACAGTAAGAAGCAGATGGAAAGTTCTAGGTGAGTGAGACTTGTCAGCAGGTGGGCAGCTAGCTTGATTGTTTCGCTGGGCATGTTAGTTTTCTGTGCCTGCTGTCAAAAATTGCCACACAGCCGCTGGCTTAAAACAATGTAAGTTCATTCTCTCCCAGTTCTGAAGGCCGCGCGTCTGGAATGGGGAGCACGGGCTGAAATCAGCCTGTCGGCAGGGCTGTGCCCGCCCAGAGGCTCTGGGGAGACTCTGTTCCTTGCTTCCTCCAGCTTCTGGTGGCTGCCGGTGTTCCTTGACTTGTGGCCGCGTCATTCCAGTCTACACCTCGGTCACGCAGCCTCCTCCTCTCCTGTGTGTGAAATCTCCTGCCCTCTCTTACAAGAACACTGTGGTGGCATTTAGGGTCCACCCGGGTAATCCAGGACAACTACTCCACCTTAAGACCCTCAATGACATCTGTAAGGACCCTTTCTTCTTCTAAGGTAACAGTTCTGGGCTTCTGAGTTAGGCCTGATACCTTTGGGTGGTCACCATTCAGCCTGCTACACTGGTGGCCCCCTTGTCAGTACCGTTTCCGTAGTTTCTCTTTGTTGGTCGGTTCCTCCAATGTCCCCTGGACTGCCTGGCGGCCAGTGTTCTTGGTGCTGAGGGGACAAAGGCTACAGCACACCCTTCCACAGGTAGACTGTGGAAGAGTGTCATCATGAAGTCATAGGTAGGCTTTTAAGAAGTATTCCTGCTTATCCTAGAGGACCTCGCCTTTAGTGAGGTCTGTGTCCCCAAGACCAGAGAGACCAGGTGAATCTCTTCAGTCTCACGCTGAGGATAGAGGAGGGGCAGTCAGCAGCTTCAGGTGAGGGACTGGGCTTCTTAGACCTCTTAGTTACTCCTTAAACAGATCTTGAACTAATTTTCCTGTTTGCTGCACCTCTACTTTCAATTCCTGAGCCTTTCTGGGACTCTCAGGCAGAGTGAACCAGCCTGCTTCTGGACCCAAACCATTGGTTTAGATACCAGCTTGCTAGTCTCCTCAGCAAGGTGGCATTTGTCCATGAGCTTCCCAGTTTCTAAAATGTTGTCATCGATGTCTTCTTTGTTCTTGTGGGGTTTAATACAATTAAAATGCTCCCTTTGCTGGGGTGTGTGTGTGTGTGTGTGTGTGTGTGTGTGTGTGTGTGTGTGTGTATGTGTACCTTGAGAGGGAGCACAGGTTCAGTCTGCCATTGAAAACTACATGTGGCTCTCAGCATGTGGTCCCCCAGCCAGCAATGCAGGCATCACTTGGGAACTTGTTAGAAATGCAAAGTCTCAGCCCAGTGTCAGGACTTCTGAGTCATAAACTCCCCGGGTGCTGTCCAGTAATCTGCATTTTATCAAGCCTTTCTGCTGATTCTGAGCTATGCCAACATCTGAGAACCGCTGTTGTGGGAGGTATTAATTCTTCTCTTCTCCTTCCTACTGACATAGGGTCTCCCTGCTGAGAGTGGAATCATTTGGCCCAAGAGCACCGCCTTAAGGCCACAGTCATACCTGGTGGAGGGTAGCAGAAAGACTCACCACGTGTCTGTTTTAGAAGTGAATATTCCTTCCATGAAGGCCTCGGGGGGCATCCACTTAACGGGCAGCATTGCACAGCCTCCCTTCCTGTAGTAGCTTGCTCTGTGGGGAGAAGAGGAAAACCAATCTGGGATCTGGAGATGGCACTAAGCAACAACTCTGCCAGGAAACTTGAGAAAGTGGCAACAATACCGTCTGCACATTAAAGGATTGAAATTAATGAGGGGTCCTTGGTGGTGCAGGAGGAGAGCAGGGGCACACAGATCATTTAGTTAAGAGCTGTGGTGTCATTTAATAGGAGACAGAACAGCCCGCTAGAGCACAGAAGAAAAGATCTATGCAATGACTAAGGTACCTGCTAGCAGATGTTTAGATTTCCCTGTTGGATTTTGTTTATTATAACTCACAATGAATAACATTACTCTAACCTTATAAGTACAGTGTGTTTCTGATGATCTGCAGTAATGCAAGATCTAAAATGGGAGAACCGAGAGCAGGGCTTGTGTTTCATTCATTTTGGATCCTTCATGGCAACTCATACAGCATTTAGTTCAATATAGGCAACCAACAAATAATCTCGACAGCTGTCTGGAGGCTGCTCCCATAACATTCCCAGACAAAAGAACCACAGAGCTGGGTGCAGAGTTGGCTTAAAAGGTAGATGAATGAATTTATTAGCTTTTATCAGTAAAGTCATTAATGCAACTCACTGACAAAAGCCCATAAATTAACTCATCTACCTTTTAAGCCAGTTGCATGGCTAGCCTGGTGTTCTCCTGCCTGGGTGTGTAATGGCAGGCAGCTTCCTGCCAGCTGCTTACATTAATGAATTACCTTAAGAAACATGTGCTGTATGTTTAGTATGTATCAGGTACTCTGCCATGTGCTGAGGACATGAATGAGTCACGGTGTCTCTTTCCTAAGGACACAGTTTCATGAAAGAAATGGATATATACACAATTGCAGTACAGAGCAAAACACATGATAATGCAGATATCTACAAAGCGACACAAGTAAAGAATTGATTCATTGTCTTCGAGGCAGGGGTCAGGTGCAGGGAAAGGTGCTCAGAGGGGTGCCTGTGGGGCTGAGTGGTCACGAAGCTGTCCTGGAAGCACATTCCTGACCCACGCAGTTGCGCAGGGTACAGGGTCTGTGGGGACCTGTGGGACTGTAGGTAACTCAGGGTGGTTGGAGCCCAGGGCTGGCAGCTGTCAGAGCTCAGGCTGGGAAGGAAGAGGTGGATAACAGGGCTGGGGAAGTGACACTGCAGCGTTTGTGTTGGAAACGAGGCCGTCCCAGCGTCTTCTGAGAAAGGAGGGGAAGGAACGCCGAGACTCCGGTGGCAGAAGATGAAGCGGAGCGTGTGAGGGGAGTGTGACGCACAGCAGCGGCACGTGGCTCCAGAGAGGACTTTACTAGCTCAGTCTTCCACGTGCTGCTGCCGTGGGCAACGTGACGGCATCGGCACGCTAACCCTGGGGATAGTGACCACTTCTGACCGAGGACTTCGGGGCTGTCTGGATCCATCTCCCTTTTTCTCCAAAGAGTTAAAGCTCTGGGTAACATCACCCCTCACTCTACCCCGGTGAATTAGGGAGCGGGTAGTTAGTGACTGTGCAAAGGAGTGACTTATTTAGCTTGTGTAGCAAGTCAATTTTGTAAAAAACTAAGGTGGGGGGGAAATAACTCTAGGAGTTGGGAAGAGAAGGTGGGATAAAGTTCAATGAAAGTAGTATTAGTTTTTAAAATTGAAAAAATGATGATGATTTTTTATGTAGCAGTGAGAATATGATGGAAGAAGAAAAGAAGCTGAGCTAAGTAAGAGTCTGTCGCTTTGAGCCCCTCCCAGGGCTCCTAGTGTGGGTGCCGGGCCCAGCACCTGCCAGCTCTGGGGTGCTGGTGCGGGGGGTGGTGGGTGCTGTGACCACTTAGAGTTCCTGAGTCTTGAGAAGAGGGGGTGAGGAGGTTCAATAAAGTTTACTTGGAAGCTTTTTCTGCATCAAGTATCCAAGTTTTTCTGTGTTCTCCGGTCGTGGCAGGATTAGAGCGTTGGAACCAGAAAGACAATCTACTTAAGAACTTGGTGGCAGTTATTGGAGGCAGCACGATCCTAGATTTAGACCTTCATGTTTGGACACTAATCATGGTTTTCCATATCCTGGAAAGGAACTTAATGACATTTTAAGGGGCAAGTTGACAAGGTCCTGGGAGATGATGTAACGCACAAGCGGCCCCATCCCATTGTCTCGGGGAGGCGGGAGGGTGTGCTGGAGGAGATGGGCCTGGGTGCGTCCTGGCAGTCGTGACTCACCTGTAGATGTCTCGGGCCATTCCAAAGTCTCCAATCTTGGCCACTCTTCCAGGGCCTGGACAGGTCAAGAGGCAGTTCCTGGCAGCAATGTCCCTGGGAAGAAAAAAAAAAAAGCAAAATTGCATTTCTTAATTTTACCCCTGGGAAGATAAATGTACAATAGCCACTGCTAGGATTTTTACCTCCAATGTGAAGTTCAAATAGTTCCCTGCTCTACCCTATATTTTTCCTCTGTTATATTATATACTTCAGTGTGAAAGAAATAGTGTTACCAATTCTAGGCCTCAGAACTAACAGGAAAATGGAAAAGGATAGGGGAAATGATTGAAAATGTTTAATGGGACAATAATAATGAGATAATTATAGTAGGAGCTAGAATTTGCTGGCCTTTTACTATGTGCTAAGCATTATTGTAAGTACTTCATGTCTAATTCTCACAACCACCCTATAAAATACAGGGTGCTACTATTATTCTCATTTTATTAAAACAATAAGCTAAAAAGCACATAATGTAGAAAGCATAAGAAATGCTATTTGTTTTCTATAGACCACTGGTTGGTTTCTGCCAGTTGTTTGAAGGAGTGCTTTAAAAAGCATGACTTCTGTGGTATCAAATTCAAGTAGTTTAAGATATTCCTAAAGAGTTCTAGTTTTTAAAGAAATAAGCCATGATGGTTCTCATATCCATGGTTTTATCTAAAGCTTTTGCTTAGCCACGTGGCTGAAGAATCACTTCTTTCAAGTTATGAAGTTGTCTTTGTCGTTGGGCTGCAGATGGCCCGTTTTCCTGTGGCAGGCCTCTGAGACGTGGCCAAAAGCTTTCCAGAACTCATCCACTTCTCCTCTCCGACTGCTCACTCACTGTCGGCATGCATGTGGGAATGAAGGATGCAGCTAGAAGTCTGGAATGGGTCTCTAATAATATTAAAGTCCTGTGCAGGAAAAAATAAGAAGTGCTTAGGGGCCACAGGTGGAGTTTTCATATTCAGTTGGTTTCGTGAAGATTCTGGTCCTTGGTTGAGAAACGACTTATAGGATAAACAACTGGCTGTTAAGATAGTATTAAAAAAATATGATCTGGATTGAAGATCGTGGCTGAGGATATAAGAACAATGGGATGTTGTTAATGCCATTGACCTGATCCAGAAGGTTTAAGTTGGATTTTGAGGGGCGATGGTGCATAAAATGCCCCCATAAAACCATAAAGGCATAGCACATGTGACATCAAAAAGAAGAAATATAGCTGGACATAGCCATTAATTCTCAAGAGAAATATGGCAAAGTAGACCAGGAACAATATTTATGGCTCCAGAAAGGTTTTTATGCTGATGTGTATGGAATGATTGTTTAAAAAAGTGATCTTGAATTTAAGGGCAAGAAAGTAAATATAATATCATAGAACACACCAAGAGTTGATAGAATGACACATCATTCTTGAAATGGCAATAAACTATGTGCAAAGGAAACCGATCTAATGAAAAATTGGAAGCACGTGGATCTGGTGAGGGAGTTCCACTCTGAATCCAGGAAGCGCAGGTGTGTGGAAGCCCGTGAATGTGAGGGCAGATACAGGGGAGGGAGAGAGAGCACTGGAGGGCTCTGTTGTGGTGTGTACCCCAGATCTCTTAGTTAGTAGGAAGACGTAAAGGCTGCTTTCTGAATACAAATGACCAAATTACTCCAGAAGACAAGCTTTGATTGAGATGGACAATTTCTGCCAGATGTTTTCTTTTGCTTAAAACAGATCATCTGGTACATTCTTGATTTGGTCTTCAACAATTTAATTTCTTAAAAAAGATAAAAGAGCAAAAACTGTTACTCTGGGAGCTAATTCTGACCTTCAGTGACTATTTATAGATACAGAAGTGATATGATTGGTGAGAGAATGTGATCCTGTGTCATCTATAACAACGGAATGCTGGCTATAGTCAAAACATATTGTGACTCCAGGGAAGCAGACTTCAAAAGGTCAGAGGAAAGATGGACATGATCCTTCAGCCAGAGGATCTGTGTGCTGCAGTGACCACCGTGGGCTGGAGATGAAAAAGCAGAGAAGACCTCTATGAGAAATGAAGGGTGACTTAAGGTTGCTCTGGTGACTTCAGGAGTCCAGACTTTAAGGACTCGGACAAAAGATGGGACGATGGCTCTAACCACAGATGACTTCTGGAAAGAGCACAGCCTTGTTTCGACTGAGCAACGACAAAGCCTAGAGGAAAGATTTAGGGAAAGTTCTGGCTATAACGAAAAGGACGAGCAGGAATGACCCAATCTTTGAAGTTGGTCCCAGCTCCTCTTTTGCTTCCGTTATTTCTCTCAGACAGGAGGATCCACGAGTTGGAAAGGTTTAGAATCAAGAGGAAGAGCTGAAGACAAAAATGGTGAAGCAACAGTAAAAGGATAAGTTATTGTGAGAGACTCTATCGCCTTGTGTTAGGGTGACTTTGGGAACTCAGGTGAGTGTACTTCCTGATCTCTGGTTTCCCCATTTTTATTAGGGAGAAAGCACAGCTTATTATATACTTAACATGCTTTGCTTTCTTTCTTTCTCTTTTATTTTCTTTCTTTTTCTTTTTTTTTTTTTTAGACAGGGTCTCACTCTGTCACCCTGGCTAGAGTACAGTAGTGTCATCATAGCTCACTGCAACCCCTTCAACTCCTGGGCTCAAGCCAGCCTCTAGCCTCAGCCTCCTGAGTAGCTGGGACTACAGGTGTATACCACTATGCCTGGCTAACTTTTCTATTTTTTTGTGGAGATGGGGTTCTTGCTCTTGGCTCAAGCTGGTCTCCAACTCCTGGCCTTAAGTGATCCTCCTGCCTCAGCCTCCCAGAGTGCTAGGATTACAGACATGAGCCACTGGGCCTGGCCATATACTTTTCTGTTTCTAAGCTCATACAGCATCTCTCATTTCCTGCTTTGTACTTACATATTCTAATCATTACGAATATGCCTTAAACTCTTTGAAGACATGGGTTAATAAATGACTGTGAGTTCAGGTTATTACTTACTGAATTAGAAGCAAATCAGTAGGGAAGAGTCTTGCGAACAGCCTAACGATCTATTTTACTTTTTAGATTTCAGAATCAAGCTGTCAACTGAGAAAGTCACCAAGATCCACAAGGAAAGCAATGTGCGATCTGTGATGTTTGTGGCATCAAGTGTGGACATGATGTCACAGTCCAAATAGCATTTAAACACAAGGATTATTGTAGTAACAGAAATGAAGTATAAATGTAAAGAAAATAATCATTATGCTTCATTTCAGAGTATTTTAGAAAAAAGTAACATATCCAACAAACATTTATTGTGCAACAAACATTTATTGTGCCCCCAGTATATGCCAGGGATACAAATATGAATAAAACAGGGTCTTTTCCTTTGAGTCACCTATTGTCAAAAATGTATTCATGATTCTTCTAACTTCCCTGTAAGGAGCCCAGTTTTCTAGATGGGGAAACCTTAAAGTGATATAGGACTTGAACATTCAAGATATAGACAGGAGGCCCCACAGGAGTTCAAGAATAACTTGCAGGTCCCCGGCACTGGCATGGATACATTATGATACCCCTGTCACAGTGGGGCAAGTGAAGCCCTGACAAAGTTACCCCTCAAAGACAACGGAGCGGAATCATCCAGCGCATGCTGGAGAGAGACCCAGAATTCCATTCTGACGGGGACGTGGGCCCTCAAGATGCACAGGGAAGCACCAGACGGCGTGGGAAGGGCAAGTTCACTTTGACTCACCGGTGGATGAAGTGGTTCTCCTCTAAATACTGACAGCCGCAGGCAATGTCCCGAGCCACGTGCAGAAGGTCCAGCATGGCCAGGGAGGAGGGCTGGCTCTGCGGGAGACAGAAGCAGCCACTGAGCAGAAGCTCGTGGGGGAGAGGGAAGGTCTGAAATGCTGGCTCCAAGGGCTCTCCAGAGGTGTCAGCCCCGGCTGCACGTTGGAAATCACCTGGAGGCGTTTAAAGGAACACAGATGCCCGGGCTCCAACCCAGACAGAGGAATCGGTCCCTTGGGGTGGGCTCAGCACTTGTACGCCTGAAAGCTTCCTGGTGATGCCAACGTGCAGCCAGGCGACAGGCATCCGGGATGGGGCAGATTCCTCCCCTTTTAATGTATCCTGCACATTCTCCTACCCCTATCTTCAAAACCATCTGAATACCTCAAATCTATAAACAAGCCTGTGAGGAAACCAAGGGGATAAGATATTGTTTAAAAAATATTCTTAAAATTACTTTTCTTTAAGGAACAGAGCTAAAGAGCATTGAAAAAGAAAAGCTTTTGGAAAATGTTGGGCGATTAGCAATCTCAAGCTTTTCTGCAAGAAGCCTCCTTCATGCAAAAGGAGATGTCACCCCACCTCTGGGCACATCCTGTCTTGGCTTCCTGGACAGCTGTGACATCCCAGCTTGGTCCCCCTTTAATTCCTAAATCCCCGAGTGTGCAGCAGCTCATCCTCGTGCAGAGTCCTAGTCCCTGTGCGTTTCACTGTGTCCCCGAGTCCGCTCTGAGGTCTTACCCTCCCAGCACAATGCTGGGCACACTCTGCATGTTCAGTGAGTATCAGGTGGTGGGATGGTTGATTATAGCTCAGGGCTATAGGGAGGGCTATACCTAGAGGGGCATGATTCAAATACCTACCAGGAAGGCACAGTGGTCAGTCAGCTCACCCGATGCAGGGTTGGGTTGGATTGTTTAAGCCCCAAGAAAGGTGTCTAAGCTATTGACTCTTGAGTACCTGAGCAAACTCCCTAAAGGAAACCCATGCTCTTGGAGTTTGCTCTTCCTTCTAAGAAAGTCAGAGCCCTTGACCCTGTCCACGTCGCATCCTCAAGGGTGGAGCGAGCACTGGGTGCTTTAGTCACGAGGTGAGCACAGGGAAGTCACCCAGCCAGCAATGTAACCAGGGTCTGCATGCGGGGCTTAGCCTGCTGGAGTTTCCTCTGCCACTCCCGGGCCCTCCCGGGACTCCTTGGATCAATGGTGTGGGTCTGGGGGAGGCAGAAAGGAGCCTTGCTGCTCAGGACTGTGCTCCAGTTCTGGGGCAGATGGCAGGGATGGGCAGCGCCCTGCCAGTGCCTCACATCGGATAGAGCAAGGCCAGGAGCGTGATCCGTGATGGTGTGATGTGCTGCGCAGTAGGTAGTGAGGAGAAGGTTATCTCCACATGAAAGATGAGAGGGCTGAGTGCACAGAGAGGTTAAGTGACTCACCCAGGTCACACAGCTAATAAGGAGAAAGTCAAAGCTGCCCAGAGCTGGGCTTTAAGGATCTGAGTTGGGGGGTAGGGAGGGATTCAAGGAGTTAAAATTGAGCTTCTTAGGAGAGAGCCGCTGAGGGGGCGGAGGGTATGTGACTACAGTGCACAGGTTACAGAGTACAGCACATGAGGACAGTGAACAGCACACTTCAGTCACTCCTCTGCCAGGTACCCCAGGGAGGACCAGCTCAGCTGGGACGGCTGGAGCTCGGGGAGGTGAGAAGCATGATTGGGGTGCTGCCGGATGTGGGTGCACCAAGACTTGGGTGTGTGGTTGGCAATAAGACCCACACCCAGGGAAAGTAGAGCCAAGAGTTAGAAGAGCAGGTTTGGTGGGTGGGATTCTGACCCTGAGAAGTGGCTCTCCCAAAGGTTGGTGACTGCCGGTGCCTGCTGGTAGGGGGCAGAACTGGGCAGCAGGCTCCTGCTCCGACCCTGCTGAGGGTGGCGGGCGGGGAGAGATCGAACGACCCGCCTTTCCTTGCTGGGGCTTTGTTCTTTGGGACAACGTGTAAATCATCGCTCATCATCAGAGGAGAGAGATGGCTTTGCCTGCGGGAGAGGGAAGCCCTGCTCCTGACTCCTGCCCCTCCCGCCCCTAAATTCCTTGGACTTGCCAAGCGCCGGGTTCCAGACTGCCTTTGTGGGGAGGACTCTCTCCTCTGCACGCACAGTACTTTCTTTCCCTAAGCCCAGGAAGGTCCAGTGAGAAAACCAGAGCTGTGCCTCTCCCCGAAGTGTGATGGCATGTGACCCCCATTTGACCTGGGCCAGCAGTCAAATCTGGCCCAGCTGCTAAGTCTCAGGGCACGAGGGCCGAAGGCTCTGCCGTCCTGGGTGGTGGTGGGCATCCAGTGAAGCGGATGCTTGGCTCCTGGAGGGGACACCTGGACACCTGGCAGTGTCGGCTCTCAAGGACACAGCCTGACCTTAGCACTTCACAGCGTCCCAGAGAGGACCCTTGGGTAAACAGGGGGTTAGAGAGAGCACTGAATCAGGAGTCACAGGTGCTGCATTCTAGTCTCAGCTCCTCCACTTCCTGTGTGGCCTTGGCAAGTTGCACAGCCTTTCTGGCTACAGTTTTCTCATCCATAAAATGGGGGCGAGCTCTGCACTGTCTACTCCATAGGGCAGTGCTGAGAGACGGGGAAGCTCTGAGGAGGGCAACGGTGCGCAATGAGGGTTATGATGCATGAGTCCGTCTCCCCAGGCCCGCCCTCCTGCCAGGTGTGCTCAGGTGCGCACACACTCATCTTGTCAAAGGGTAAGACAGGATTCTTCTTAGATGCCAAGAGGGGTCGCCAGGGGCTTGTAGAAACAGTGTGGAGGCTCCTAAGGCAAAGGCATTAGACATTGGCCCAACGAAGGGTGGAGATTGGATCAGCCTCGCCCTTTCAGGGCTTCCACCCCACTGTGAGTCCCCGAGAGAGGTGTGACCAGGCTGGGCCTTCTGTAGCAAGTGGCTATAGGGAAAGTGAGTCTTTCTCAGCTTTGCTAGGAGCAGGAGGGTGCCACTGCGCTCCCTGTGCTAGTCTCTGCCTGGGTCCCCCACAGTCTAGCATCAGCTCGAGGAAGCCTCAAGCCTGACCACGGGCACCTGTGCGGCTCCAGGCCTAAGGAGCAGGGGCTGCTGAAGACCCCAGAGACAGGCGTGGGTGCTAGACTCAGGGTCACCCAGGGAGCTGTGCTTCATGATTTAGAGCCACCTTTGAGATGTTTTGCTCTCACCCTCGCTGTCACCTGTGCAGACACTGAGGCTAAGGGGTTGACTGCCCTAAACCACAGGGGTGTCTAATGGCCAAGCGGGGGCTGGAGCTTGGGGTTGTTGGGTCTACCCTAGGTTTCCTCACTTCCCAAGCTCTAGCCCCTTAACCATAACACGGATGCAGCACCTTCCAGAATATTTCAGCACTTTGTTTTTATAAAGGTCAGAACGTCCAGGTGCTGTTGTCTCTATTTGAGGCATGAGGGTAGTGGGTTCAGAACGAGTGGCTGCAGAGTGACCTGCCCTAGGTCAGTTTGTTGAGTTAGCGACATGGCTGGTGTGAAAGTTCCCCTCTGTGTCTGTCGCTAGTTTGGGTTTTCCAGATTCAGCAGGCCACCACAACAGGTCCAGGTCACGGAATGCATTGCATGAACCTTGCACAAGCTCCCTGGGGCTGGGGCTCAGCTGTCACCCACCTCTGTCCACTCCCTCCTGGCCAGGCCCCCACATCCAAGCCCAAGCTCTGTCTCCCTCTGTCCCGCTGAGAATGTCACCTCCCAGGCGGCCCAGGCTGGCTCCTGCCATCCCTGCTCCTTTCCTTGGCACAAGCACTCACCGGGCGAGGGCGGGTCTCTCGGAGGAAGGACTTGAGGTCTCCGCCTGCCATGAGCTCCAGCAGGATGAACCGGGGCAGGGCCTGCAGGCTCACCCCGATACAGCGCACAATGTTCTGGTGGTTGAATTTGCTGCAGAACAGAGGGGGATGTAACCAAATTTAACTGAGCTGAGTCTGGGCAAATCTTAAGTGGAAGAAGTAGGATATAAAGTTACATTTCAGTATTCGTGTTGTGTAAATGTGTTCCGTAATACCGGCGCTGGGTCCCAGGATGAGCCTACAGCCAGAATCAAAACCAGGCCCACTAGAGTTCAGTTTGCAGGAGAGTATTTGGCTGGAGTGGGAGGATGTGGCTGAGGCACTGGGGCGAGAGTGTGGGGACAGGAGAGATATCGGTGCCTGGACCAGCGCTAGAATTCAGGGTTGAGTTCTCTGAGGAGGGGCTCAGGCAGAAGCTGAAGGAACTGCTTCTAGGAGGGACAGTGTGAGCCATGCAAGGTGACAGCGAGTGAAAGAGAGAAAGGAAGAGGAGGGTGGCCTCATGGGTCCATGCAGCCTCCTGTGGATTCCTCATGGGAGGGAGCAAGTCAGGCCAAGGGACCCTGAGATTTGGATTTTCTTTGTTAACATGATGCTATCAGGACCCACAGGGCAGTGGGGCCAGGGGACTCCACGTGGGAACGCACATGCACGCACACACACAGAGTGAATGGCTAGTTATCACCCGGTAGTGACATGGAGTGACTGGAGTTTTCTTCCATATAGTCCCATACTTGCCAAGTTTTATTCAATAATCATGTACTACATGTACAATCAGAAAATAAACACTTTATTTTAAATTTTTGAGACAGGGTCTGCTCTGTCACCCAGGCTGGAGTGCAGTGGTGTAATCATAGCTCACTGCAGCCTCAAACTCCTGGGCTCAAGCGATCCTCCTGCCTCAGCCTCCTGAGTACAGATGCACATCACCACGCTAATTTTTGGGACTACAGATGCACATCACCACGCTAATTTTTAAAAAAATATTTTGTAGAGATGGGGTCTTGTTATGTTACCCAGATTGGTCTCAAGCTCTTGGCTTCAAGCAATCCTCCCACCTTGGCCTCCCAGAGTGTTGGGATTATAGGCATGAGCCACTGTACCCAGCCAATAAATGTTACTTTTAAAGCAAGGTGTTGACCCCACCATACATTCTCCTGTGGCTAGACCCCACAGGCACATCACTCACATTGCCTGGACTTGTTCCCCCTGCCTATTCCACCAAGGGGACACCCCAAGCTGCCCCCACCTGTCAGCATGTTCAGAGGCTTCCCAGTACAATCGGGGGCCCTGAGGCCCCCCCAGATCTGGAGGTCAGACATCTGCCTCCTCCTCAAGCAGGAGCAGAGGGCCTCTGGAGCCCCAGGCGCTGCGATTCCCAGCTTAAATGCAGACCCACGAGTTAGAGGGTGCAGGCCAGCTGAGACTCAGCCCTGCCAATGTGGACCTAGGGTCGGCTAGCTTCTCACATTAGGGGACATTTGTACTACATCTACAAGCTAGGATTGGCTAAAACTAGCATGCTCTGTTTCTTAAGAAAACTGTCAAAAACTAGCATGCTCTATTTCTTAATAAAAAGTGAGGGAACAACAACCAGCGGGTGACCACAGGGGCATTGCTTGCAGGCAGCATTACCAGTGGTGTTATTAGGTCGCACAGATTTTTTTCTGAGACAACTGTCCGGAGTTGTCCCACTCTGGTAAGAAGTGTCAAGAGTGCTTGGGAGCCTCCTATGGGGGAAGAGGGACATGCGGGGCACAGCGCCATTTTCCTTGGAGACATCTGTCTGTTGGAGACGTCTCCCCCTTCTTTGCAGCAGTGGGGTGCGAGTGTGTCTCTGTGGCTTTACCTGATGATCAGGGCTTCCATGAGGAAATCCAGCTCGTCCTGCTCGGAGCACACCTCGGGCAGCGTCTGGGCATGGAAGGGGAGCAGGCTGTGAGCGGAGGGCTGTAGCCCGCAGAGACCGCAGCCCAGGTCGGGCTCCAGGGGACCTGCCTCTTACCTTTACAGCCACTTGCTGGGGGCTGGGGTCGCTGGGCATTCCAGACACCTGGCCTTCATACACCTCCCCAAATGCGCCATGGCCCAGACCCCTGTGCAGAGGAGAAGATGAGATGAAGCAGAGTTAAATGGGTCACGATAAAGAGGCAGCTGGTGCCCCCAGGCTTGGGGTCACATTTAGTGGACAAACATGAGAGGCTGGGGTAACTTGCACGCTCAGGAGTGGCAGCCTTCACATGCTTTGCTATGCAGTCCCGGGCCTCCATTCTTTGTGAGAAAACTGCCAAGATAGGTTCCAACCAGGGGTTCGTGGCAATGGTCAAACGTTTATTCAATCAATAGTTGCTGGCTCTCTGATACGTGCCAGGGACATGGATGGCCCTTGCCCCGGCAGGGCGGAGGGGGGGGGAGGCTCCCACTCCTTGGGGAGGGACAGCTCTCTGGCAGATACTTGCTGTGGAGTATCTTCAGTGAATGACAGAGGGAGGCTCGGGCTGCTCTCCGGGTGCTCAGCGGAGGGGCACTATGTCCCTCCTGAAGGGGGTGGGCCAGGCAGGCTTGGGAGGGACCCCCTGAGTGGAGTTTTTGGAGAGCCCTATTTCTTCCAATGAGTTTCCTCTCCCCGTATAAACTCCGTGAACACACAGGACAGCAGCAGGGCACTCACCGCAGGAGAGTGATGTTTTTCCGCGGCACCTCCTTCAGGTCGCTGATGGAGGAGGTCTTGCCGGCAAAGCAGTAGTTGGGGTTGTAGTCAGTCATGATGGTCGAGGTGCGGAGCTTGCTCAGCTTGTACTCAGGGCTCTGCAGCTCCATCTGCATGGCCTGCAGCTCCTGGTGCTTCCGGCGGTACACTGCAGACAGACGGTCAGTGGCACTGTGGCTTGGACCAGGTGGTCTGGCCCTTGAAGGCCAGAAAAGGCCACCTCCTCCAGGAAGCCTCCCTGGATCTCCATCTCCTCCCCCAAGCTCTAAACCTTTCCATCTTACTTAGTAACACTAACAAATGATTACAGATGTGAAAGTGTATCTTTAAATGAAACATCATTTAAGGTAAAATTTAAGATCATAAATGGAAAAGATTTTATTGTATCAAAAAGGCAGTCATATCAGTTTGAGTCCTTCAAGAATCACACTCAAGATGGGATTGGACATGCCAGGATTTTGTTAGGGGAACTGCCTATAAGAGGAAATGGGGAGGGGGCCAGGAGTGGCCGGGGAACCGTTGGACTATTGCAAGTCTGACCTATGAGAAGGAGACGGGAGGGAAGGGTGGGTAGAAACTCCCTAGATGCCATGCAGTCTCAGAAGTTGCTGCAAGGCCCGTGGGAGTTCTGGAGCCAAAGTCGGCCGTCAGAGGAGCCCCATGTCTCCAGGAATTGGCCTGCTTTGGTATTTCTGCTCCACTCAGTCACTGGTGGGGCAGCCTCAGTGCAAATGCAGCAGTGGATTTGAGGGTGCGGCCCGGGCCTTGGTCCACCATGTTTCCTATGGTTGGAGAACTGCCCCCTAGTGAAAAGATTTCTAAATCGGTATCTGAGGACCTGTGCTCTGTTCCACCTCTGCTACTTACAAGCTGAGTGACATTGACCAGGTCATGTGACCTCTTTGGTCCTCAGTTTCCTTTTCTGCAAGCAGGGATGGTAACTCTTGCCCTGTTTCCCTAAGCCCCCTCTCCCCACCCACTAGGGTTGTCTGAATTCACCGACATAAAATGGTTTAGAAAAATTCTGAAGTGCTCTCCCAGTGTGGGTGACCATTGTTATAGTTGCTCTTACATGTGAGGATGTCTGTAAGGCCAACTCCACGTGAAGCAAATGAACTTGCCATTTGGAGTGTGGGTTCTGCGGGTCAAGCCCAGCTCTCCCCACTTCCCGGCCTGTGCAAGTGAGTCAGCCGCTGTGTGCTCAGCCCCCTCCTCTGTGACCTGTGCCAACCATCGTGATCACAGGGTTACTTGGAGAGTTATTAATAATAAATGGAGATGTGTAAATCGCCAGGCATGTAGTAAGCATGCAACAAGTGTTAGCTCCTACCGTCCTGTACCCTTGAAGGATGGCATGTACAGGGACACACGTATGGTGCCATCTCCTATCCACCTGTGGATCCCGCTGCCTCCCCCGGGGCTGGCCTGTGAGGCCCCCTAGGGGCCTTTCCCTCTGCCCTCCTCACGCCTCTGCCCATCGTCCTGGCCATCCTCGTGCCAGCAGTAGGCACCGGGCAGGACCACGTGCAGCCCTTGATGACCCACAGGTCAGTTCACTTCGGCTCACAGGCCGAGAGGAAATGCACGCAGAGCAGCTTTCCATTCTCTCCATCCAGAAAGGGGGTGTCTGGAACAGCGAGGGGCTTGAGCACTGCGTGGGGAGTCAGCCGAAGCAGGAGCCATGCCCACGACAGCACGTGAGGACTGGAGTGAGATCTGAGGGCAGGCGCAAGCTTCAGCCACCGCGTTGCTACTGAAGAGTCCACCCCTGCCCCCCACCCCCAGCAGCCAGGAGGCTACACAAGGGGCTGAGGTTCAGAATCGGGGCCTCCTCCAGGGAACAGTGGCTGCTCTACTGGGGGGAGGGTTGGGACCTTCTGTTTGGCTTGGCCCAGGCCACCCTAATCACCACCCCGCCCAATCGCAGGGACCAATAGGCCAGAGCGACACCTTGGCAGCCGCAGCACAGCCTGAGACCCTGCTCAGACCTGCCTTCCTGCCCCGGCAGGAGCCCCAGGGCTGCAGCACTCACCGATCATGATGCCAGAGAAAGCCAGGACCAAGGCGGCCACGAGGGCGGAGGTCACCACGGAGAGCACCAGCGAGAGCGGCAGGTGGGGCTCCGGGGTTGGCGACACTGGAAGACAGGTCCCCACGGGGCACTGACAACCACGCTGCTTCTCCTCTGAGCTGGGCCCAAATCAGAAACACCCTCCCCAGCTGGGACAAAGGCCCCCTGTTCCTTCCCCTCCCTGGACACTTTATCACCCCTGTCTTTTCAGGGGACCGTGGACAGGTCATAGGCTCATCAGGGTTTTACAGGCTTTCAGCAGCAGCTTTTGGGTGGAGGGAAGATTTGACAGGGTTGAGTAACCCATTCTGGGTGTTGGTCCCAAACATCAAGTGCACAACTCTAGGATGAGGACGGAAGGTAGACAAAAGTGGATACAGAAGAGATTTGGGGGTGTCAGGTGGCTTGGCACTCAGTATGACCAGACAGTGGAGTGGGTCACCAGTTATACCCTCTGAGGCTGAAGTGCTTCCCTGTGGCCCGGGTGCTGGGCCCGGAGCACGGGGAGGCGTCCTGTGCCCTCCAGGGCCAGTCCACACAGCCTCTGTGCTGGGGCCTGGACACCACATTTCCAAAGGGGCACTGACGGCTGGGACACATGCAGGATGAGGGACTGCAGGGTGGGAGGGGACACAAAGCTGTGTCTTGTATGGACTGGGGTTATTTAATGAGGAGAAGATGTGAAGCCGGAGGGAGCACTGTCTTCACACACTGCACTTGACCGGCAACTGTAAGGAAGGAGACCTACGAGAGGAAGTTAGCAGGTTCAGGGTCCTGGCCCTGACACTCCCGATGGCACAGAGTGCCCTGTGAGTAGTGAGGTCCCTGTCACTGGGGGTGTTCAAGTAGAGATGGGATGGCCCCTTGGTGAGGATGTCAGAGTGCTCATGCCCCAGGTTAGGGATGGGACGGGGGGACTTTGCAGACTCTGTCAGGAGCTGTGGTCCTCTTTCCACACACCGGTGGTCAGAGCACCTGCGCTGTGGCAGGCAGGGGAGGGACAGGAAGTTTACAGAACTGAGTCTGGGGTGTTCTGGAACCCCGGGAAACCAGCTGCATTCGTGGGCCAAAGCTCAAGCTCTGCCCCTCCCCCACCCCGCCCCATCCCCTTACCAATGCAGGAGACGCCGTCCTCAGCCAGCACCGTCCCGTGGTCACAGAAGCAGATGACCCTGTGGCTCTCGGGGTCCATGTGACATTCGTCTACCTCACAGTGACTGCAGTTTAGGTAATGCTTAATGTTCACTTCCCCGTGGCCCTCCATCACTGGCGACAAGGAGGGAGGGTAAGTCTCGGCTGAGCCTGTGAGGACAGCCCTGCACCCTGTTCCCAGTCTCCGTGCTGTCTCTCCAGCTGGTCACCGTGGGCTCTCTGGTCCCTGTTCCTAGGTCCCATTGCTGCCGGAAGCACATCTGGGTAGGGAAGTCTTATGCATCTGGTGAGTGAAGCTCGGACAGAGGACATGTGGGTACCCGCGGATGTCTGCGTTTTTGTAAGTGGGAGAGTCCACTTGTGTGACCCTAGGGTGGCTGGGTCAGGTATGTGGCTGCTATTTCTCCATTTGCCAGGACCAGCCTTCCTGGCAGTCCGTATCCTGCCTCCATGTGTGTCTTAAACCACACGTGCTAACTTCCCGAAAACTGGGTGAGGCGAGCCCTCAGAAGACTTGCCTGCAGGGGACCCATAATTGTGCCTTTGTATTCTGGAGGCCTGTTAGTAACCCTGAGGTTTTAGCCTGTGGACAGGACTGGCTTAAGGAAGTCTGTTCCGCTGCCTGGCAGAGAGGTACCTTTTAAAGCCGGGGTGTACAGGACGCCCAGGGGACTGATGAAGGAAACCCCGTCCTCCCCGTCCATTTCAGGGTCATTGTTCGAGGCTGCGTTGCCGCCTGTGGCAAACCAAAGAAGAGTTTAACACAGAGAGGTGGGCGCCAAAGTCTCAACACACATGCGCATCAGCGGGGCGTGCAGCTCTGGCCAAAGCCAGGGGGTCCCCGGGGGCCTCGGGCAGGGAGATGGGGAGGGAAAGGAGGCTCAGGGCACAGTAGCTGCACTGGGACTTGGCTCAGTAGATGCCAGGTGTGTGGCCACCTCCCCCCCAGGTCCAGCCGGCTCCCATGTGGGAGTTGCCACTGCTCTGCTGGGCCCCACCAGGAAGCAGTCAACGTGAGCAAGAATCCCAAAAGTTCTGGTCTCCCCAGGCCGGGATACGCCCTTGGCGCCTCTTCCAGACCCCATCAGGACAGTAGCACTGAGGAGCTGCTCCCCATCCCATTGGCAAGGGTTGGGGCTTGGGGGAGATGAGCCCCTGTGCCCTAAGGTTCCTGTCCCTCCTTTCACCTGGGGTGGGGTTACCTCTGGGCTCCCCCCTTGGGCCCCTCCTCCCACCCAGGCCTTGGGAAAGACGAGCGCGTGGTTAACACGAGCATCTTACACACAGCGTCAAAGCAAAACACTGACAGACCATCACAGCACGTGCATGCATTCGTCCTAGTCTGTGGGGCGGGGCTCCACATCCCAGCCCTGCAGCATCAGAAGGCTCCACTGACAGTGCTCGGAGACCCAGAGGAGGCGGCTGGGAGCAGCTGCCCTCAGCATGGACAGCGGGGCCTTCTGGCAGCCGGGGGCTGGGGCTGGGGGGGCGGAGTCTGTGAAACCACAAACCAGTCCCTTCAGGAGCTGGCTTGGCCAGGCCGTCCATAGGGAGGCTGGGGGAGTCTGGCCTCCGAGGGTCCCATGCCAGCGAGTGCTTATGGGCAGCTCAGAGAATGTTCCAGAAAGCCAAAGCCTCTTTGTCCTGGGCTTTCGGGGAGATCAAGAGTCCCAGGGGCTCTTGATGCTGCAGCTGAGGGAGCCGGGAGGCAGGATGCTGGCTCGGAAGCCGACACCCTGCCTCTGGCTGGTCCCCGGCGGGGAGGGAGGCGTGCAGTCACAGTCCACACGGGGGGGCCGGGGGGGCAGGGGCAGGCTGGGACGGGGAAGAGAGGTGAGGTGCCTAGGACTAAGGGGGAGGGAGCGACACCTTGAACACGAATCATCTTTACCTATATATCCTCCGCCTCCTCCACCGGAGGAGCACCCCCCGCCACCCCCTCCGAAACCCCCTCTGGTCTCCCACCCCCACTTCTTCATGGCCTGGGGGCAGGAATGTCCTCCGGTGGCACCCTCCAGCAAAGACTTTCCAGCCCAGAGCAAGGAAGTGTTATCATGCCAGCCACCTCCACCACCTGCAGGGAGAGACGAGGAAGGGCTGTGAGGAGCTGGCGCTGGCAGAGGAAGCGGGACCATAGCTGTGAGGGGCACCCCACCAGCCCCAGCTCCCAGGGCCTTCTTCAGTGGGGCCTGGGGGCTCCAAAGTCCACAGTCGGAAACCAGGAGAGGCCGTTTGTCCGAGGGAGACCTGTCTGGCCACAGCCGAGCGCGTCCAGGTGAGAGCAGTCCTCATATCCCTGCTCCCCACCACACTTCTCTGGCTCAAAAGCAGCGCGTGCGCTTGGTCAGGGACGGGGCAGGGGAGAGGTGGCAGCGCCACAACCAAACTCCTTCCTCTGTCTTCTCTCTGTGCCCTACACCCCCCGAAGTGCTGGGCCTTCATTTCGTTAGCTTCTCCTCTTCCTAACAAGAACTGGGACGCACCCGTCTTTGTGCAGCCAACTGCCAGAACCCTGCAGAGGTCACGGTGCTGACGTTTCTTGCAGGAATCCTGGACTAGACACCAGATGGCCCGAGGGGCTTTCTTGTTTGCTGTCTGGGAAACCCTAGGCAAGAACTTCCCCATTCTGAGCCTCAGTGTCCTCACCTGTAACACGGGGATGATAAAACCCACCTGGTGGGGGTGGCGTGAGGGTCAGAGGAGACAGGGTGTGAAATGCTCCACAAACTGCCAGATGTGGGCTTGTCAGGAGCTCGAGAGGCAGAGTACGCGTGTGCAGACGCCTCTCGGTGCCTGCTTGGGCTGCCCCAGGGCCAGGCATGAGCTGCTCCAAGGTCAGGGGCAGAAGCCCCGGGAGAGGGATGGGTGCTACCCTGGCAAGAGAGGCAGCCTCGGGAGCTGTGCTTGCGGACGCCCCGGGCTGCTTTGGGCTCTGGCAACGGCTGACCACAACTCGCCTCTCCTGCTGGTGCTTGAGGTTCCAGGATATCCTCCCACCCCATATACCTCCACACCTAGGAGCCCTGACTATGCCCTGATTTCCTTCATCAGCGCACACCCTGCCTGGGGATCCTACCTGCCCCTGGAGGAAGGAGGAGCCTCAGGGGGAGGCTCTAGCAATTGCATTTCGTTAACACATGGGGATGGTCAGCTGTCGGACTGAAGGCCGCTTTTTGCTGCTTTTTCTCAGTGACCCTATCTGCAGGTCCAAGCTCCAGGTGGGCAGGGTGGCCTGTGGGCCCCCAGGGTGCTGCCTGCCCATCCCTCCCTTGATGGTGGCACCAATATCCAGGGCTCCCAGCATCTCAGCTACCAATAACAAAGACGCTTTCAGGTGATAATGGCATTGGACCAAGCTGAAGCCCACCCAGTCCCTGGGAGGTGTGCTGGGAGGGGGTGGGCCTCGGGGGCTTTACCTGCGGCTCCGGAATTGCCGTTGAGCCCTAGCACGGAGGAGTTATTCTCCAGTTTTTCTGGGTGGAACGCGTCTGTCTTGGCCCCGTAGGCCCTGCCGCCACCCCCGGCTGCAATGATCAAGGGCACGGGCACTCCGTCCTTCATCTGGCCAGGGGAGACATTTGGAAACTGAGAAACTGAGCCATGCGCTTCGCCCCTGGAGACCCTGAGCCCTGGTTTAAATGTCTGAACCTCACCGAGTGTTTGCTGGGCAGTGGGGTGACCTGGTGACCTCTTGGTGGCCTAAGGTGGCTTGAGGGGTCTGGACTGACGCTACAATAACCCATCAGCTCCCCACCAGCTTCCATAACAGCCGGGGTTCAATCAGGGAGGCAGAACCACCGGCTCTGACCACTGCAAGTTCCAGATTAAGCTCTCAGCATCGCCGTCCCCGTGGGAGCACCTGGCAGGAGGCCCCTGCCTTTAGCTTCTGGCCCGGCTGCGATGATGTCAGGGAAGTTCACCTCGGGACAGAGAGCTGGCCCAGGAGGGCACAGCGGGGCCCCCTGGAACTCTGAAATCAGGTGGTAAAGTGACAATCGGGCCTGTAAGTCAGCAAGGGCAGAGCCTGCCCTTCCTTGGGCAGGCACCCCCACATCCCTCTGGGCCTCAGTTTGCTCATCTTTAAATGGGGTTCAGAGCACCCAAGGGTTCTAGTCCAGGGCTGCACAGAAATCGCTGCCCTTCTTGGGACTGTGATGCGGAAGAACTTACCTTAAATACGTAGGTGGCTCCGCCCCCACCTCCTCCTCCTCCTGCCCACTCGTGCACACTCCTGTTCACGCGGATTTCTTCCTCTATCACGTGGTTCTCTCCGATGCAGACTTTCTGGATTAATTGGTTTGTCTGTAGCAACAAAAAGCACATTAAGTTTGTGTCCAAACCAGGGTTCTCCACTTGCCAACAGGCAGAGTGTCTATGCTTCAAGATAGGATCTGACTGTCTCTCAAATAGCTTACAGCTGAGTTGAGAAGGTGCTAACGGTCACTCTGGGCAGTCTTAGGGAAGGACCGCAAGGATGGCTGAGAGATAAAATGCTACGAGAAGTTGTGGGGAGAAAGCGAGCTTTGTTGCTGACTAGTGATCAGAGAGGACTGCCTGCAGGAGGGAGCTTCTAGTTGGGCCTTGAAGGACAGGGAAATTTTTTTTTTTTTTAAGCACAGAATGTAGAGGAAAGTTAGGTCATTCCAGGGGGAGACAGCTGCATTACTCAGAGGTAAGAAGGCGAGTGGGTGCTTCGGGAAAAGCCCAAGGGTCTCTTTGGCTCAGAGGAGTCCATTTTAGGACAGACAGATTGTCCAGGAGGACCTGTTTGAATCCTGTAGACTCTGAAGACAGGATGACAAAGGTCCTATATGGTGAGATAGGGCTGGGGGGCAGGTAAATGAGGGCAGGTAGAGGGAATTAAACGGAACAATCGGATCATGGCTGGAGCCTTGAATGCAGTCCCAGCAGCCACTGAGGTTTCTTGAGAGGCTGCAGTTCTGAGGCTTCATGGGAAGAGAAAAAAAAGCAACAGGAAGCCAGACTCAGATTTCATTCCTCGCTCATCTTTGGGAAAATCGGTTCTCCACTTTGGACATCTCGTTCTCTCATTCCTCCCAGTTAATGTCCCATTTCTCGCCCCCAGAATGCCTGGCACAATCATAAATTGAGCCCCCTGTCTGCCACGGGGAATAGGGAGGAAACCTGCAGTTAGCCTGGGCCCCCGCCCACCCCGGGCGACCGTGGCGGAGGCACTCGGTCCCTCTGACACTCCGGTGTGGAGCAGGAATAGACACCCCAGGCAGCTGCAGTATTTACTTCGGGTAGTACACGTATGGTGTCTAGTACAGTGTGTCACACATGCTAGGGCCTGAATAAATGGCTGCTCTTATGATTTGATTTAGGTTCATTTCTGGTCCTGGTGGGGGCTCCGGAACCTGAGAACCCCTGGGATTGTGCTGGAAATTTCTGTAACACAGAAAAGCCGGGAACCACTGAATAAAGAGGGCAGTGCTTGAAGAATGGCCACCCCTGCCTGCCAGCCACCACGGCACAGATGAATCCTCTGAACATCAGCCCAACCTCAGAGCAAAATGACTTTTCTTTCACTTAATAGAAAAGAAGCCAATAAAACATCACATTTCCATCCGATGCTGCTGTGTAACCAGCCAGTGGACATGGCAATCCATCGTGAGCTACTCCTTGTGCTAAAGCACTCAGGGGTGCCAGCAATGAGTACTAGAGAAATTTCCAGATAAATAGCTGAGATGCAATTTGTTTTATGGCATTTTGGATTTAATGATGGAAATAATTTGATATTTTTTAGAGTGGATTTAGTGTGGGTAGAAGGCTCTGAATTGCTGTTGTGGAGAGTTGACATTTCCGTGTGTGTATGCAGCGCTGTCCTGGGTTGGGGGAGACCTTGCTATAGTAACTGCCCCCTGGGCCGGGCGTGAGCTACAAGGCCACGCTGGGCCTGGGGTTGGGGGAGGGGATGTGGACTGGCAGCTGGGCAGAGCACAAGACACGGGGTCCCGTCTGGGCTCTTGGCAGCCCCACCATGTTGGGAGAAGCACCTCACCTCTCTGGACTTGCCTCCTCGTCTGTTACCAAGGGGCTGTCCAGTCTGCACCAGCAGTACTGAGAGGGTCCAGCCCCCCCAGATTCTGCTCACTTCCTCTGGGGGGCAGCAGCGAGGCCTCCACCTACTCGGGGATGCTCTCTCCCCTTGAACAGAATCTGGAGATTGCTGGGGTGGGGTTGGACCCACGCCCATCCCCTACTGCCCATGCTCCAGGAGGGTGGCATCTTCTTTACACTGGGCGAGGACAAGGAGTGGTCCAGTCTCAGTCTGCATCTTGCTGGAGCCAGCGGCAGCATTTGGCAGAGTTCATACACCTGACTTCCAGGACTCCACGCCCTCTGGGGTCCCCTCCTGTCTCCCTGGCTCCTCTCTTTTGGCCTTCTTTGCTCATTTCTCTCCCTTCCCTCACCTCTAAATGTTGGAGGTCCCCAGGGCTCAGTCCTTGGTCCTCTTCTCTATCTGTGCCATACCCTCGGCAATCTCATCCTGACTCAACTTTATGCTGATTTCTCAAAAATTTATGTCTCCACCCTGATCTCTCTCCTGAATTCTGGCAGTATATTTCCTGTTGTGTGCCCGTCTCCCCCTGGCTGCCCCCCAGGCCTCTACAGCTCAGCGTGTCTGGCCATGAACGCCTGATCCTGTCCCAGAGCTGCTCCTTCCACAGTGTCCCGCAGCTCAGGTGACAGCAGCTCCCTTCTTCCGAGGGCTCAGACACAATTTTTCCTGGCACCCTTGACTCTTTTCTTTTGCTCAGTTCCTCATCTGATCTGGCGGGAAATTCTTTTGGATTTTACATTCAAAATATGCCCAAAATTCAACTACGTTCACCATTTCCACGGTTACCACCCTGCTCTTGCCCGAATTAATGCAGTAGCCCTTGAATTCATTGCCTCGACTCTGCCCTGGTGCCTATTTGTCTACATTGCAGCCAGAGCCAGTGTTTTAATACACTTATCACATTGTGCCACTATTCAAAACCCTCCCATGGCTCAAACATGTCCTTACAATGCCTGATCTAGCACTAGTACCTCTGACCTCATCTGTCACCTACCCTTCCTTTTGCTCCCTCTGCTCCATCCTGGCTGTTCCTTGAGTGAGTGGCACACTCTCACCTTGGGAACCTAGCCTTTGCCGGGTCACTCTGTCCCCTATTTGCCTCCTCCTCCTGCTTGAGAGCAGAGAGCTTTCTTTTGTTCACTGATAGATCTCAAGTTCCTACAACAGTGACTGGCAACAGTAGGTACTCAATAAATATTTGTTGAACACATTTGAATGAATTGAGAGCTGTCTGACTTGTGGGCTGGCCCTTCACAATATTTGGCTCACAGGCAATGGTAGTGGTGAGATTTAACATGTGGACCAGTGAAGACCAGTGATTTTGTTCCCTGGGGGACATTTGGAAATGTCTGGAGGCATTTTTGATTGTTATTACTTGGGTGTGTCACTGGCATCAAGTGGGTGCAAGACAGGGATGCTACTAAACACTCTACAATGCACAGGACAGTCCCTCGCTCCAGCCAAGCACAAAGAATTGCATGCTCCAAAATGCCAATAGTGCCACTGTTGAGAAATCCTGATTTAGACTCATGCCTCCAGGTGAGGTTTGGAAGGAACTGGAAGAAACAAAGGCTGAGGGGCGTGTGTGTGTGTGTGTGTGTGTGTGTGTGTGTGTGTGTGGTGGGGGAGGGAGCTTCTGGCAGTGGGAGCCCAGTCCAGGTAGCAGGAGCCCAGGTGTGGCCAGGCACATAGGAAGAGCAACTCCCCACAGATGTGCAGTTGCACCAGCAAAGCTGCCACAGCCTGCGGTTTAATTTAGAGTCCATTTCATTCTCTTGAGGATCATCCCTAGGCATGATTTTTTTCTGCTATGGGAGAACTGGAGATGGAGGGGGTACCTGAAAACCATCTTTCTTTTTCCCTTTCCTAACAACGCCTCACGGAACACCAGTGGAAGACCAGCGACTTTCTCCACGAGCCCATGCTATGCCCGGCCCGACCAGCAGAGGGGGCTGCCCGCTGTCCCTGGCTGAGAATCCCCTTCCCCCGCCCGCTTGGGAACTCTCTGCGCATCCACAAAGTTTGAGAGCAAGTAGGTTGATTAATAAAAATGATAAAGTGCAGCAACTCTAAGGAACAAGTAGATTACAATTGAATTAAAAAAAGAGATGCGGTCCTGTGAAAAGACATAACTGATTACAATCCAATCAAGTAAAAGTCCCTTGCAGAAGTCAATGTAATCTTTCTGCTTAGATGAAAGAATTACATTAGCACTCAATAAATTCCCGTGAAAATTACAGCAGCCTGTAATTTAATGACTTAATATATTATATCAGGTTGAAAAGTTCTGATTATAGTTGCTAAATAAAAGTTGGAGTTGAGACATTTCTCATGCAGAAGGCTGCACTTGCTTGGCTTATGCCTACTGCTTTGTCTTAGCTCTGCAGGGGCAGGAGGGGAGGCTGAACTTGCCTTTGGATGCCCCTTCACTCCCAGCCCAGGGCCTGGCTCTTAGGAGCCCTGAGTTTATTTTGTGGGATTGAACTGCTTGCTTGGTGGCCCCTCTTCCTACATCTTTCCTCCAAGGCTGCTCTGGAATAAATTTTTGGAGAAGGAGCCCTGGGTCCTGGGCACTAGAACACAGGAATACAGCTCCAGGCAGGAGCTGTGCTTCAGGTGAGGGTGAGGCCTGGCCCACCAGGAGACTGGCCCTGTAGGGTGCTGAGTTCCTGCTAGGACATCCAGCACTGCCAGGTCCTGCCTGTCCCCAACACAGGCAAGAAGCAAAAGACTGGGGCGGTGGGAGTTTGCATGGCTGCTGCTTAGTCAGTCTTCAGTGTCTCCTTGTCTAGACCACTTTGGGCTTCCTCAGCTCCTGCTGTGGGAGTTCTCTCTCTTTGATAGCTGGACCCTCCTACAGGGTCAGAAACAGGATGACGGGCTGTCTTTGGGGTTGCAGAGGCTTGTCCACTGATAGGGCTGTTGATGGAAATGGGAAAAAGGCCACAGAAACCAAGGCCCAAGAAAGTGCAGGGCATAGCACAAACAGGAGCCCACAGTCCCTGCTCGGTGTTGCACTGTGAGTGACTCTGAGCTCTTTGGTCTTTGTTTTCCTTATCTGTAAAATGGGGGAAGGGATTACATGGTCTTCTAGTTCTGAGCCTATGCATTGAATATTTTATTTTGATTTTAATCCCTAAATAATAAATAATATATGAATAAATTCTTTTTGTAACATTTTAGACATTATTGATAAAGCCCCCCAAACTCCAGTCCTTTTCCCAGAAATAACTAGTGTTACTTGTACCTTTCAGAACTTTTTTTGTACGTGTGTGTGTGTTTGTGGGTATGAGTCTGTGATTTTGAGCTGAATAAAAAAATGTTTAACCTGGTATTTTCTTGTTTCTAAGGCTAGCAGCAGTCTAGCCAAAAAGTTCAGGAGGTGGTCTGCAATTCACTTTCTGCTGAGAAGAATAACCATTTGATCATTCAAATAAAATCCAATCTTTCTGTTCTAAGAGTCATTCATGAAAACCACACCTCAGCCTCAGTCCCTGTGGGGATGTGAAAGCCTGAAAGCCACCCATCACCTGCTTTCTTATGCACCCAAATGACCCTGGAAAAGGAGGTGCATTTGCAGGCAGAACGAGGCCCGTCCAGAAGGGGTGTAGTGGGTGTTGGTGGCTCCAAGAGGCCTCCGCCAGGCCTGGGTGAGTGTGGAGCAGAACCCCTGCTCCGGGCACTTACACTGGGACAGGCGTCCTCCCCCTGCTGCCCGACCAGGATGTACAGCGTGTCGTCCTTCTCCAGGTTGAAGAGGCCCAGCACAGACACGCCATGGGACCGCATCATGGTGTTCTTCCCGCCTTTCCCGCCAGCGGCTCCGTAGCCAGAGATGCTGCAATGAGACAAAGCCACGGTTTGAAGACTCACCCTGTCCCTGCCAGCCCAGCAGCCTCCTGTGAGCCACGCACGTTGCCATCATGGTGGGAGGCCAACGGGGGATTCCTCTGCCCACTGTCAGGAGATGACAGTCACGTTTACATATAGACAGGGAGTTGCCTCAGTCCCAGAGCTGGGAAGGTGAAGGACAGTAAGGGGTGTGAGAGAGAAAAAGGGGGGGAGGGAGAGAGAGACTGTATTAATGATGAATGTACTGGGGTGATGGCTTCCCGAATACCTAGGATTTCCCCACTGTGGCTTTGTCTCCTGGTCCCAGATTAAAGGACTCATGTGACCTTAGACAAGTAACTTAACTTCCCTGTTCCACATCTGTACAATGGGGGTAACAAAAGAACCTACCTCCTAGCCCACACACGCCATGATGATTCAAGGAATTAAGACATGTAGTCTTAGAACCGTGGCTGGCATAGAATAAGCACTCAATGAGTATTATTATTAATGATGGTAGCAGCAGTAACGGACTTGGCACAGTGTTTTAAAGTCTCCCCGCAGGAGAGACAAGGAGGCTGGAAACAAGGAGGCTCCTCATGGAATGACAGAGAACAGTGTCTATGAGCAAGGGCTGTTTATTCCCAACCCACCGGTGGCTCCTTCTGGAGCAATGTGTGGGTGACAACAGACAACCAATCACGATGACAATAAAAACAGAGCTCGGGGCTGTGAGATTATTTCTGCCGCCTCTTCTGTTGTTTCCAGGAAGTCAAGCAACGATGGGGAGAAAAGAACCCTCTTCCTAACCCTGTTCAGAGCGGTGTGTTGAAGGCGGCCGCTCACCGACTGACGAACGCCTCCCCAGGGACCGGCTGTCAGGGGGAGGGAATGGGAGGGTTTTCAAGTTTCTGTGTATTCAGATCCAAAGTCCCTGATGAAAAACCATGACGGGAGGCCAGGCCGTTGGCCCCCGTGCACGCGGCGTCTTCTCCACACGCGGTTCTAGGAGACGCCCCGTTGTGGGTGTGTGAGGGGCTCCCCTCTCCCAGGTGGAGCTCAGGCCTTTCCGTCGGGGGGTTGCTCATGTGGCAGGCGAGGACCGAGGTCTCCACGGCACGTAAATGGAGACTCTTGTGCCCGTCGCCCTGGAGGGTGCTCGGGCACTGAAGGGAGCGTACATGGAATGTCAGGAATGACACGCGGCTGTGTGCGCCTGGGACAGATCCAGGCCCTTGAAGAGCTCACAAAGAGACCGGGAAGACGTCTTCCTTACGAGGAGAAGTCCTATCAGAGGGTGGCCAAGTGGAGGGGACAAAGTGTAGGGCTCTGGGGCTCCCTGACTGGGCACCCTGTTCCTGCCCATGCGCCTTCTCGGAGCCCCCGTCCCTTCCCTAGCAGGAGGAGAATCATGTCTTCTTCTCCAAACCACATGGCTCAACAAAAGGGGGTGATGGGTTAAAACCCCGAGAAAGCAGCGATCTCTGTCCAAAGTGAGAGTCTCAGGTGGTCTTGGCCAGGAGGGAGAAGGGGGACTGTGGCAGATGGTTGTGGGCCGGGGGTGGATGTGGAGGGCTGAAGTCAGCTTCTCGGGGAGCTGGCAGATGCATGGGACTCTCGGACAAGCAGAAAGAGGTGGCAGAAGGAGCCAGGTGTCAGCAGCTCGACTGTATTCTCCTTGGTGGTGGCCTCAGTTCCACATTTCCAACCTGGACCAGGGCTGGCTTAAAGTTGTGGGGCACAGGCATCTGCCTGCCTGCACTAATTGTGGGGGTCCTGGGAAGGACTGGCTCCCGCATCAGCCCCCTGAGGCCTGAAGTCCCACCATGAGAGCTTCACTTCTTTGGCACTTTTAGTTGCTACTACAAGGCTGAACTCCTTGCAAGTGGCGTGTCCACAGTGAAAAGAGCAAGGGCTTGAATGCAGACAGACCTGGACGCAAACTCCATGCTCTGTGCCTTGGGGCCGGGAACAGGATCTCCCTGATCCTGGCCACTAGCTGTGTGACCTTGGTAGCTTATTTACCCTCTCTGAGCCCCTTTTCGTCATCTATAAAAGGGGTAAAATCACACCTACCTTGAAAGGTCGTTGTGAGAATTAAATGAAATAATGCTCATAAGGGACCTAGCCCAGTGCCACAGGGTACCAGTGAGTGACAAACGGGAGCTGCTGGTAGGATGTACCCCATGGGTGGGCCTGCCCACTTCTTTCCCGGGGGTGATTCCCAGAGGCAGAAGGGGGCAAGTGAATGAGACAGGGACCAGGTAGGTAGACCAGGGCATGGCCAAGGGGGCCTGGGTTCCAGGCTGTCCCATTTCTGCCAGGACCTGCCTTCCTGTAGAGCCAGTTGCAGCCCCCGCCCCTGAGAATCGCGTTACCCAAACTCACACAGCAACAACCACCTTTGACCGAATCTCTGAGGCTTTCTCCCCATCCCTTGTAAACAATTTATTTTTGATAGTTGATAAGTGACAAGAAATTAATATACCTGCCACTCAAGTGGGGAAAATGACTCACAGTGATTCCAATTTACTGGAAATTACAGGATACTGTTTTCGATGAGTTGATGCTGCAATTTTTTTGTTTTTCCTCATCTAAATCCATGTTCCCTGGTCAGAATGGATGTTTATTGGGTTTGTGTTTTGTATTATTGACCGTGAGCTATTGTTACCTGGTGTAATTGAGTTGTGAATCTCTTTTAAATAAAGGATTAGCAGCAAATCAAAGTGGCCGCCTGCTGGATCCTGAAATGAGTGCCCAGCGGGTGTGCGGCACGCTGGCCGTGTCCAGCCCAGCTGGGAAGGGACGCTGTGGGAGTGGACCCCACTCAGAGGAGCAGACGTGCCTCACTTCTCTCCTGCGCCCCCCTCCGGAGAAGCAGGAGACCTGCACTCTGCTCTGGGATCCGCCTGTCACTCCTGGTGGGACGCTGGGCAAGTCCCTTCCCTTCTCTGCCGGTCCCCGGTTTCCTCATCTGTGACATCAGGGTAGTAAGACCTGCCCTGCCGTCCTGCAGGGTTACTGGAGAGCATGTGAGACGTGCGAGTGTGAACAGGGCTTGGTCAGCAGGAAATGTCTGATCTGATGCACAGTCATATCATCCAGATGGGAGACACCCTGGGGGTCATGTTGAAGGGCCCAGTTGTGGAGGCACGTGCTCCTTGGTGGGGCTGTCCTGGGGGGGGGTCCATGCCTGTTGCATCGGTGACCAAGGCTCATGGTCTGCCTCTTCCCTCAGCACCTTCCTGACCAGCGCAGCACCTCTGAGCCGGAAGAGACCTCAGTGACCTCTGTCTACACACCCTCCCTCTGCAGATGGAGCCACCAGAGAGGAGGGAAGACAACTTTTAAGGTCACACGGTGCGTTGGTGGCAGAAGTTGAATCCAAACTCCACTCTGCCTGCAGTCCATCGATCTTTGCCTAGTGTCTCCGCCTCTGACTTTCCCTGCCCTGTGCCTTTCATAGCGATGGTATCTGCACAGTTGCTTTGTGATTAATCATGCCATGATGTCTCTGATAGCACTGAGTAAACCTTGGTTGGCACTGTGGACTGTTATTGAACTTTTCTGCCTGGAGATCTTTCCAGAGACCGTGAGGCTCCAGGGTCTCAGTCCTCTCTACCAGTCCTGCAGCACCTACCGGGCACACAGTGGGGCTCCATGGCTCAACGCCAGGCACACAGTGGGGCTCCATGGGTCAGTGTCTGGCACACAGTAGGGCTCTGTGGCTGTTGGTGGGTTGAGTTGAATGGTGGCGTCACCCAGCTCCATATGCCGGGCCCTGGAGCCAGGTGGGGAAATGAGTGTCATTGACAGAGACCATCAGCAACAGCTGTGGCCCAGGCCAGCTGGCTCCAGCTGGGATCTAGGGCGTTTGTATATTACATATGGAGAGCAAGTGAGCCATGGGAGAACTGCCACCAGGAGCCGTGGGCTGCGTTTGACAAATGTTTTTATACGTGCGCTCTGTGTGTGGGGGGAGCAGGTGTGTGGAGGAACGGGGGCTGAGAAGGGTGCTGAGCCCCGGGGAGGCAGGCAGGCAGGTCGCAGGGAGACAGAGAGATGAAGAAGAGGGTGGCCGACACCTGCAAGGAGCACGTCAAACAGACTGTCACTGAACCCCAGGCAGTGCTTGGAGCTGGGCTCTGCTGCCGTCGGTCTCCATTTTATGATGGTGCTGAGGATATTGACCCCTGTCCCCCAGCATGAACCCCATAATCCATGCTCTCCTCCTGGCATGACAGTGGCTTCCCACCCTTGAGACATTGTGGTTGCTCAGAGCACGGCCCGGACTCCCCCTTGTCAGGCCCCTGTTGCCATGGCCTTTCCTTCTTAGCCAGGTGCCTTAGGAGAGCAGCTGCCACTCACTGTCCTCGCTTTCTCAGTCTCCAGCAAGAGTGTGGTTGTTGTCCTCAAATCACGCTGGTCCTACCCCCCAACCTCGCAGCCACCTTTGGCCCGGCCCCTCCCCTCCGTCATCTTCCCCCTGCCCTGGCTGAGCCCTTTCCACTCTGGCCTGGGTGACGGGACTGCTGTCTCTCCCCCACCCTCACGCTGTCGCCAGAGGGGGCTGGAGACATTTGGGGGTGACGCTCCAGTCCCAGGCCCTTGGCGCTCATGGGCTGGCCTTGCCCAGGACTCAGGCAGCACTGACTTCTTGTGCCCGCAGCAGACACGGCCCTCCCTGCTTCTCTGTAGATGACTCCTGTCCCTTCAAACTGAACCCAGGTGCCTGTCTCCTGGTGGACGCCATATATGAGCTCAGGCTGGTGCAGTGCCCTTCTCCTGGCCTCTGGTCTGAACCTCCTGGTGCAGCACCTGGTGCGAACCTCCACTCAGTTCTTTCCACATTACACGCCCCCACCTCCACGGGCTGTAGCCCTCTGGGGCAGGGACTGGATCTTAATCGCCTCTGTACATTTGGTGTCAGGGCCAGCATCCTAATAGGTGCTTATCATGGTTCCTTGGGATTTGCAAAGGAGGAGGGAACAAGTCTGGACACCAGGACACATGGACTCAGAGATAGTGACTGTGTCAGCCCTCACTGTTTTGACAGAGAAAGTGGTCAATCCAGGGCAGGGCAAGCTGGGGGCGGGGGAGAGATGGGGTCAGAGGGCTGCTCCGGAGCCCCATGCCAGCCACTGTCTTCTCCTGCCCGGCCCTCCTTCCTTTGTGGTGTGGGCAAAGCAGGAGGGTGGGAGATGGGCCCAGGTAAGAGACCAGCTAAGAGTAGTGCAGGTGCTTTCAACTGTACACGTCCCTGAGGAAGTCCCAGGCAATGGTGGTCCCATCTTGGCAGAAAGTAGGTGCTCAATAAGTGTTAGCATCCTTTCTTGCACCTCCATGACCAACAGGCAGAGAAGTCACAGAAGCCATCCACATCTCAGGGCTGAAGCAGCCACCAGGCACGGTGGCCGGCACGGCACTTCCAGGGTGATGGATTCTCTCGGGCAGGGGCTCCGCCTTTCTGTTTCCAAGCACCTTTTTCTCACGTCCTCTGGTGTGTCCTGTGTTTTTCTCACCAGATGAACTGCACTTACTAAATAATAATAATTACTATGGAGAAAAAGGTTTCCAGAAAAAGGACACTGACTTCTCAACAGAGATATTCTGATTTGGGGACATTCTGATGTGGTCTAAAAAGGAAATCATTAAGTGTCTGCTTCTTTGATTATTAAGTTATGTGACCAATAGACACTGTCATCCTAGACCCGAGTCTCATCCGAGGTCAAGGATGAGGTGAAGTCAGGAATATCTGTTGGAGCCATTATTTGGTTAAAACATCAAGTATTTGAAAACAACAATGACGAAAACTCAAGCCCAGTATTTCTTGGTTTTGATTCTTCCATTTTGCTGTGGCCCTATCTTAGGGCAGATCAAATGTCCCCTTCACTAATTTGGACATTTCAAAAATGTCCTGCTTCAATGGAAAAATGTTTCCTTCTGCATACTTATAATGAGGCAGTTGCCGGGCACTGCCGGGCTATGAGCGAGTCTCAATATTTCAAAGACATAAGTGGAAACAGCTCTCGGATTTTGGTTGGATTCTCGCAATGCGATGTGGCAATTCTGCGGTGCTTCATGCAGATCAGATTCTTGACGAGACTTAGATATGGCTGTGATTAATAATAAATGGGAAAATGAATTAATTATTATTTAATAAGCGTAGTTCATCTGGCAGGCCCAATCTTTCAGAACACAGGGCTCATGTGAGGAAGTCAGAAAAAAGTCTTTGGAGAAAGAAAAGTCAGGACAGCTGGCTGTGGGGCAGATCTGCTCTCGGAAACGCCGTCTGGCTGCTGCCCGCTGCCCGAGGCACCGTCGCTCCAGCCGATTGCTCTGACCACAGGCCGGGGCGCACCTGCCGATTGCAGGCGTCGGGCTCAGTCCTTGCATGTCATCTTCACGACCAGCTGGCCTGGTGTTGACAGACCCTGCCTCTCACCGATGGGGAAACAGAGTCTCAAGGGATTAAATAACCTGTGCAAATTTGGAAGTGGGCCCGATTCACATTGTCTCGGGGGACACAGACCCAGAGGACCCCTCCCCATCAACAAAGCATCTCCGGACTGTTTGTCCCCCTCTGTGGGTCCGGTAGCAGGGCAGTGCTGGCTTTGCAGTTTCCCCGGGTGGGACTGGGACAACGGGCTCTACCAGGGGCTTGCTGTGGGGGTCCTCGTGCACCTCCCAACCCCTCTGCTTTCTTCTTCCTATTGGTTTTTGTACGTGGGGTGGGCTCGCCAGAAAGGGGAGGTCTGGCTTGCTGGGTGCAGTGGGGTCAGGGGTGGCCGGATATCTTCCAGGCTATTTACTGGGGTGTGCAGACCTGGAGCAGCTAATCTGATTGCAGCCAAACCTTGTTACAGTGTTCCTGCCCAGAACGCTGTTTAAAAAGCACTTAGGATGCTCCTCAACTCACTTACCCTGAGGCCCCAGGGAGGGGGCTACCACAGGATATGTTAAGCTAGAGAGAGAAAACAGGGCAATGCGAGAAGCCCCTTTCCTTCCCAGGGGGCTGAGGAGTGGTGGGTGGTGGGGGCTGCCGGAGGAGGAAAGCTCACTCCCCACCCGTATGTCCAACCCTTGAGTGGCATTTGCACCAGCAAGGCCGGAGGGTGACCCTTCTCGGTTCGATAGTCCTGCCAGGGCCGGTGGAGGCTGCCCGAGGCCATGCCTCAGAAGCCTGGGGCTGAGGCTGCTACTGATTGTGTGACTGTGGGAGGCCCCTGGCTCTCTGAGCCTCAGTTTCCTCATTTGTAAAATGAGGCCCTGCCTAGTCACAGAGCTTGTTTGAGGGCTGCACAGGTTTATCTAAGTCCACGGCCTGATCAAACCCAGTGGTTCTAAAAGGCTACAGTAACATCACCTGGGAACTTGTTAGGAATTCCTGTTCTTGGGCTCCACTTCAGACCTACAGAGTCAGACATTCCTGGGGTGGCATCTTTTAGTACCATGGCCTCAAAGTGGCCAAGTGGATCCAGGCCTCCCTCCAGGCCGGTCTTGCTCTAGTGGGATATTGTGGGGTTGGGGAGAACGTTCCAGAACAGCCCACTCTTCTTTCCAACAGTTAAGGCCCAGGAAAAGAAGCTCAAGGAAAAGAACATGCATCAGACTTCTGTTTCCCAAACATTTTACGTGCACTGCCACATTTGAAGAGCATCAAGTAATATTCAAAGACCAGTCCACCGCAATTCTCACTGTGAATAATAATTCTGAGGCTAGCTCATGCATGCATATCATCTCCATGAACAGTGTGAGCTCCTTGAGGACAAAGGATATATTTTCCTTTGTTGCCATATTTTACTATCCCACATCTCCCCAACTCCAGCCCTTACACCCCACTATGGGCCAGAGTCTGTGGCCTTTGATCCCGGGGTACTCGGGGGCATCCCCATAAGTGGGACTCCAGTCCTCTTTAGGAGGCTGGGGTGTGCCCCTCAGCCTCCCTCTTCTCCATACGCACCTGTAGGTGTCGGTGGCTGGCACCTTCCATATCTGGATGCCCTTCAGTGGGCCCTCGCTCCCCACCACCACGCTCAGGTTGGAGTTCTGGTAGGCGTTGTTGCACTGGGCCTGGGTGGGGCCGTGGGGCCCGCTGGCCCCGCACGTGGTGAACAGCCATTGAACTGCGGCACAAGAGGAGAGGCAGTCAGTCACTCGGCCGGGCCCTCCCTGCTCCGTGGGCCTCCCTGGGTTGCCTCTGAGGTGTCTGCTCCATGGCCCTAAACCCATGTCCTAAGACAGCACCAAGGTCAGGGCCCTTCAGGTGGGACGGTCACAGGCAGTCTCTCACTGAGTCCAGCACAGTGCTGGATAACAACAGGTGCTCAATCTGTGCTGTTGTGACTGCATCTAACCTGCTCCTGCTTGACATGTGCAATGGGAACCTCTTGGCTCAGAGAAGACTGAAAGAGTGAGTTGGACACAGTGTCAGCTTCATGACTCCACAGTGGCTCGGGACCCGGGCCAGCGGTGGGAGCAGGACACCTTGCACACCCTGGCCACGGCGTGGCCTGTCTGCCAGGCACTCCCAGCAGGCCCGCAGAAGGGCAGGGCTCGGCCTCCTCAACACAACCAGGCTGTGTTTGGAAATGCAACCAAAGCAGCTTTCAGGCTCTCTGTGCAACAGAGGGTATGAAAACTAAAAAAACAACAGGTCAAATTTGTCTTTGATGCGTGCCCCTCCTTTTCCCAGCCCCTCACCCACTTCCTGTGCTCTGTTCCTCACCCAGTGTCCTTGGGTGGCCTCCTGGGCACACAGCACAGACCCTTCTCCACCCTTCCCCCTCTACGGGCCATTTCCTTCCAAACTTTCTGTCTTTGAGCCACCCCAGACCTTGAGGAATTGTCAGATCTCGAATTGGCCAGAATTCTAACATATTTACAACCTACAAACACTAAAAAGAAGAAAGTGTTCTTGATAAATTAATTTTACTTAGAATACAAAAATCTCATAAGATTGCAGAAATTCTCTTTATTTTTTTTATTTATTTATTTTTTTTGAGACAGAGTCTCGCTTTGTTGTCCAGGCTAGAGTGAGTGCCGTGGCGTCAGCCTAGCTCACAGCAACCTCAAACTCCTGGGCTCGAGTGATCCTTCTGCCTCAGCCTCCCGAGTAGCTGGGACTACAGGCATGCGCCACCATGCCCGGCTAGTTTTTTCTATATATATTAGTTGGCCAATTAATTTCTTTCTATTTATAGTAGAGACGGGGGTCTCACTCTTGCTCAGGCTGGTTTTGAACTCCTGACCTTGAGCAATCCGCCCGCCTCGGCCTCCCAAGAGCTAGGATTACAGGCGTGAGCCACAGCGCCCAGCCTAGAAATTCTCTTTAAAGAGAGATTCAATTGAATTCTACATACAGAGGATGATGAAAAAATTAATTTGGTTGTACATAGCTTTGTTCACTAAAACTTTAAAGTGAAAACATTTTTGAAGACTTTGAACTAATTTAATGACATAAATGTGAAAGGTTAATTTGGGTTGCCAGTTATAAACTGCAGATTGAGATTATGCTGGGCAGGATAGATGACCTGAACGATGGACATTTGTGGTGGGTTTTGGTCACACTGCCCTGAGGTTGGGAGACGGAAGTTCTGGTTGGGGTTCTACTGCATACGCTGCTCAGCACTGAGTCCTGGGCACTATGATGGGCTTCTTTTATTTTTTTTCAAATAAAGATGTTGATTTCTATTTGGCTTTTGAAGGTCATTTCAAGGACTGGAAGGTAATGAGAATGGCTAATTGGTGTGAATGGTTGATTATTAATCATCTGATACATTTGTATTATAAAGGGTGCAAATGTGTTAACTCAAAGGAGGAATCTTTACAGAAGGCATTTTTAAGTAGAGCTTGTTTGGTCTTTTGCCCTTTACCCACTCCAGTGCCCAAAAATATATATGTGGGCTGTGCCCAAGGGGTGACTCAGAAAGAACATGGGTTTTGGAATTAGCAAGAACACCTGGGTTTGGGGTAGCCTCATCATTGATCCATTGGGGGACCTTGACCTAATTCCTTTGTCTGTAAAGGAGGCTGGACTGGCATATCCAAAGAAGGAAGGGGGTGTGAAAGTTCATTGCAAAGTCACAGACTCTGAAAGTTTGAGCATGGCTGGGACTCCTTCCTGCACCCAGGGCTGGTGCTGTCCCAGACATGGACATGTACATGTGGCCGGGGGAGTTTCTGTGAATATGGATCCTGTGTCAGCAGCACCTGGGAATTAAAACTCAGCCGGCTGGGGAAGAGGATAGGGGAAGGGAGAAAAAGACAAGCTCAGAAAGAGTTGGAAAACCCACTCTTCCATTATCTCCAGCTCCTTGAAGCCTGTTGTGCAGACCGGTCTGTGCCTGTAGCAAGCAGCCTGGTGTTGGGGCAGGGCGGCCTCATCAATTAGGAGCAGAAGCGTGGAGGGTCATGCAGTTAATTCAACCCTGGAGATGGAAGAGTAGCTATATTTTTTTCTCAAGAGCGTGCGGAGGAAGAGAGCCAAATCTATGGGTGTGGCACCCTATCTGAGTGTGTCACCTTCAGGGGGACCCACTTCTAACTTCAGCCTTGGTTAACATTGTCCTGAAGGTTCTGACAAGTTCCCAGAGGTGCTCAGCTTTTACTTTTTGGCCCCAGGGGGACATCTGATGAGGTAGGAAGAGGGACATGGGCTTTGCATTCAGATGGGCTGAGTTTTTTCATCCAGGATTTGCCCCTGACCAGCTGTGATACCTAGGGCAGGTTACATAACCTCTCGGAGCCTCAGGTTTTTCATCTGAACGAATGGAGATTGTAACACCTACTACTTAGACTTTCTGTGAGAACAAAATGATGACCTAGGCGAAGTGCTTAGCACAATTTTCAGCATTAGAGGTGCATAATGAGCATAGTTTAAAAAGTGTGTAACTTCATGTTCAATTTCTTACTGTGGGAAACAGACACCCAATATTGAGATTTACGTCCCCTGTTCCATAAAGGAAGGACTCTAGGGCCATTTCTCAATAAAGGGACCCGTATTTTCCCAATTCAGTGGACATATATTAGTCTCAGGTGGTTTCTATACACAAACTTTGTTTTTATTTTCAGTGATTTCAGACGGAAAGGTCCAGAGAAGAAGTTCTTTCTAAAGTGGATTCCATGGGAATAGAGGGTTTGCCACCCCAGGTCAGACTCATGATTCATCCAGCCAGAATTCTGTTGCTTCGAGGCATGGTGGTCCTCCCTGCTCCGTTGGATGGCTCTAACCCTCATAAATCTGCCCAGAGTTGTTTGGAATCGATTTATGTTTCCCACCAGCACCACTTCTTGGGGGGGGGGGGGTGGAGTTTCTGAGTTTCCTGCTCACTGTGCAAGAGCTTGTCCTACTTCGAGCATGTGCGCTAGTCTTGCTCAAACTGTGTCCCGCTGGCTCCCCCTGTTCATTCTGTCTGGAACCTCATTGACATCAACACTGTCATTGCAAGATGGGACCTTGAAGATCTCTGAATTCGGTGTTTCCTAAACCACCTGAGGACCTTTAAAATACAGATCCTAGGGCCGGGGAGATTCAGATTCAGTAGATCTTGAGTGGGAACGAGAAGGCAATACTTGTAAAATGTAAAAATCTTCCCAAGAGAATCCAATACTCCACCAGATTTGTACGCTCAGTGTCCAGGGGAGAACCAGCATTCTAGGGAGGGGAAGTGACTTTTCTGAGCAGACCAGCATTGGCGAAGGAACCAAAATTTAGGGTTCTTACTTCTTTGTCCAAAGACCCTTTGGTGGTGATTAAGCTCTTCCCAGCTTTCTGCCTTGAAGCCGTCCAGCCTCTTCAGGGTGTCCCAATGTGACAGTCTCTGATCCCCTGTGTCCTTTTCAGGACCTTATTTAATGCTAACATCTGCTTTTCAAGACGAGTCCCCTAGAACTGTGGGTACCTGAGATTTTGAATAAGGAGACACTTGCTATTCTGCTTTATTTCTAGTGTCCCTCTGAGGGTGCTCTACACAGGGCTGGCCTCCCTCAGCGGAGCACTGGACAGAGGCTTGCTAGGAACAGACTCCCCGAGGGTGGGCTGTTGCCCCCAGCCTGGTGGTATTAACTGTTGTGGGCCTAGGAGGGCCCCTCAGGAGGCACCTGGAACAGGGGACCCTAGAAGCAGGAAGGATCTGGCAGGTACTTTGGGCAGGGTAGGCATGAGACCAGTTCTAAGCTAAGGCAGGTAGAGTTGGAACCATAAGAAGGATAGGCAGATGCTAGGCTGATTTTCAAAAGTGTCACCAGAGAAGATGGCATTGGCACAAGCTTGTAGATCAAAGCAAACAGGTCCAGAACCTGAGAGGCAAGAGAATTAGCAACAATGGCTCCAGGGGACAGGAGAAGTCAAGGTGAGCTTTGGTCCCCAGGTAGAAGCTGTTTGTTTCCTGACTTGTTTCCTTCTGGGTGAGGGGCAGGGGTGGGAGTGGGGCTGAACCTTAGACACCTGAAGAGTAAACTCCACACATGAAGGGGGCAAAACCTCTCAATATTTATTGTGCACCCAATATGGGTCTGGCACTATGCTTTCACGCATGCATTAAATGCCTTCTACCTTGCTGAAACTTTGTAGTGTTAAAGGTAGAGTTATATTATCTCCTTTAAAAATCAGGAAATTCAAGTTCAGAGAAGATGAGTGACTGGCCTGCAGCACACAGAGTGGATAATGGGTGAAGCCAGGAATTAAATGTATTAAAAGATCTTCTAAGTTCAAGGCTTGAAAAGGTTCTAGGAGCACCAGGAAATCCCCTTGGAAACTTTCTGGGTGTTTTGCTTTTTAAATTCCTGAACCTGGGGCTCAGTTGTAGCCAGGACAAACCATGTCAAGGTTGCTCAAGCCCAGAGAGTAGGCAGGGCAACACAAGGGGACAGTGAGAATACGGCCAGGGTGCCACGGTGGCCCCTGCGGTAGCTTAGCCTACCGGACTGTGGGCTTTACAGGGTCAAGGCATCAGCCAAAGAAAGCAAGTGCTCAGGGTCAGGGCCCTGATCCCCAGAGAGACCATGGGGAGAGAGGCAATGTCAAAAGGGAAACCTAGCAGCGGGAATGTTTGCAAGGTCAGGCAGCAGAGATAACAAGAGAGAAGACTGTGTCCTAAACAGCAAGGCAAAACCTTGGTTTTTG